TGTCAAAGTTTCAACATGAATTCAGATCTAATCATAAGATTTAATTCAAAAGTCAAAACAAATTTTTCACTTTGACAACGAACATTTTTTTTCCTCATCTTCTCAAACTAATTATTTGTAATTATAAACGTAATTAATTTCAATTAAAAAGTTGCAATTTGTAAATATGAATAATTTCTCATGAATTAATCAAAGTAAAAGTTAAATTTGAAATGTAAAGAAAACAAAAACCACAATTAACAAATGATTTACAAATTAACTTTTCCCATATGAATTGGTTGAAAAGTCTATTAAGGTGAATGTGTAAACAATTTAAATTATATCAATGAAAATGTGATTTAATTGTTGGATGGTGAATACAACTACACTTAGATACACATTGAATAATATATTCCTGATAATATATCATGAAATTGATTCGGTGTAAACATTGAATTTAAATGGAAATCATGTAAACTAATTAATTCATCATCAGTATATTGTAACAATTGGTTAGGTTCAAATAGGAATTAATTGAATTTTTCAGCACATTTCATGGGAAAATGTTCATCAACTGATGTACTTTTAGGGTGAATATATCTTGAGATCATCCGATTATAGTAATATATATCACACATGAGATTCTGAACTGAATTTCGAACGATGAAAAGATATCTTTCTCTTTCTCTCTCTATTTTTTTTGCTTCTTTCTTTTTTACCTTCTCTCTTGATTCCACCATGGGAAAAATATCAAAGGCTCAGAACTTTCAACATTCATACATAGCATTTACCTTTACACCTAAGGGAATTTCTATCATTTCCATGATTGAAGAAATACTCAAAATTTTCAGATATATTTTTGCATCATCATGATAATACAGTTGTACATTATACCTTAAGAACTATCATGATAATGGTAATGATAATAGCTTGAAATGATATCAGAACTTTTTTTTATCTTCTAGCATCTAGCCTATTGAAGTTGATTGGTAATATTTTCCTTGATACTGATTGTTATGTATCACTATGATTATTCAGAGTAACAAATGATATTCATGATTTTTTGTTATACATTAGTTTATATACTCAAATTCCAATGAATTCTCATCATTATCATTTCCTGTTCCTATTTTTTAACAAATTATTTTATCACTTTTGATTCCTTTTAGTTGTAAACTGAGATAATTCTGGTAATATGATTTTTATTCATTCTTTAATAAGAGGAATTACAAATGCAATGGTGACATATCATGAAGACTTCTGGTAAGTAATAGGTGAGATTGTTTTGTTCAGGGGAAAATGAAACTTTTCTGCTTTTTTCTGAGAATATTTGAGAAAAACAAAAAAGTTTCCAGGGAAGGAAATTATTTCATGATTGACGAAAGGCAACAAACATTATCTTTTCAATGATTCCCTGAATGATGGTACAAAAGTGTAAATAAATCATCTCATGATAATATTATCACAATGAATTTGAGAAAAAAAGTTCTACTCACAGGAGATGCCAGAATGGGGATGTGAGAAAGAGAGAGATGAAGATTAAGATGATAAAAGGAAGAGAGAATCATGAGAAACCATGGAAAGATGAATATTATTCAGCTGATGATAGATGGAACTCAGATTACGAGTAAAAGATAATATTGTTTCTTGTGAATTGGAAAAAAAAACTTTTTTCTTTCTCTCTTCATATTGGACATTTTTCTTGTTCAATTTTCTTTGAATGGACCGATGGGAATTTTTATCACATGTTACTCACTCACTCAGAATTGACCTTTATGATAATATTATCATCTCCAAGATATTATCATGATAACAATAGAATCCATTGGAATCGGTATAATATCTCTCTCTCTCTCTACAGACAACCTTTTGGCTATCATTTATATCTCAATTTTTTGTTCTCAGAATCTGATAAGATTTTTTCTCTCTCTTCTTCATCTTTTCCTCTTGCAATATCATGAATTTCATATAAATACACAAAGTGTCTATTCATTTGGACAGAATTAAATGAGATAAATATCTTTCCTCTTTCTCTATCATCATCTTCATAATATTATCATTTTCATCTTACTTTTCCTTCCTAGAGAAAGTGTCAATTCTGTTAAATATTATTATCTGATCTTCGGGAAACTGGATTTCATTTGATTCACAATTTTCATCTTCTTCTCTTTTCATATCATCATCACCATGTCAAGAAAGTCACCAAATAATATAAATAATTCCATTGACCACTCGATAAATGGAATAAGGTGAAACAAAAGTTCCAGAAAAAGGAGAGAAAAAAAAAGTTCTGTAAATCAGATTTTCCAATACCAAGGATATAAAATATTGTCCAAAGTATTTTATTAGCTTTATCATGAGGCCGAACTTTTATCTCATTCGATTCTTTATTTTCTCAACAATAAATTATATCAATTCTTTCATCATGATCATCATCTCATTGTCTAAATTTTCAGTTCGATTTCAAGTTCTAAAATCCAAGATCCATTCAGTTGTATGAATAAATCAGGAACTTTTTTTTTCCTCAGAACTTTCATCTCATTTAATTTATTTATTATTCGATAAAAATCTCAAATCATACATATACAAGTATCGATTTTAAAATGATGGTTAATTTATTAATCCAATTTGAATCATTGATATTCAATAACAACCCGATGAAATTGATTGTAAATTATTTGCTTATTGATTAACTATTAGTTTACCAATCATTTTGTAGTTTGAATCACTTGATTACAATCAAGCTAATTGTCATTGTGAGGCTAATTAAATGGCAATGATTTAATTTCAAATTGAATTGAATAAAATAACTGGCTGATAAATTTAAGGCAAGTTTGGGTTAACCCAATTTGTGAAAATCTAATTTAATTACGGTTTTCTTTAAATTGTCAGAATTAAATCAATTCAACAGTTAATGTCAGAGTGTTTGTGATAATAAGATTACAAATTTAAATCATCATGATACTGATTAGATTTTGTTAATTTCAAATCTTGAACTGAATCAAATGAAAACAAAAATTGAAACAATCAACAAAATCAAGGAAACAAAAAGGTTTGATTATTGTAACTAAATTATAATCACGATACAATTGTTTCTAAATCAATGTAACGGTAAAAACAAAACAATCAATTACAATCAATCATTATCACTTTTCTTGTATTTAGATGGATATACCTTCACAATTAACGTAATTCTTAAACTGTTGTAGCATTTGATTAATGTGTATGAGAAGATGATTAAGTTTCTGGTCAAATAAAAGGTTAATTAACTTGTGATTGAAAGACAATTACAATTGTTTGGCATTTATTTACTAATGAAAACTCATTTTTACAGTAATTGATGGGACTAAGTTTTTGTGGTTTACTGTTCAACCCAATTGACCATTGGTCAATTTATATAAGCCTAATATGTATCATGATTATCATTCCTTATGAAAATTACATTGTTACTTTTATATCAATCCAAGTGTACGAAGGAAAAGTGATTAACATTGAATCGAGTTAATTGTTGGGTAAATTTTGTTTTATTTTCTATTTACATTTCGATAAATTGTTAAACTAATGTTGATTAGTTTGCGTGATTAAATTAATTATCCCCGATTAACTTGATCATTTTAATGACAATGAGGAGGAGGTGAAGAGGAAAAGGTTGATTATCATGTTGTTGATGATGATGATGATGATGATAATAGTTATGAATGATTTTCATCAAGTGAAAACGATCAACTCATTTATTATTAATAATAATATCAACAATCAATAAATCATCAATTTCAAACAATTAATGATCAAAGTTACATAAATATCATTGTAAATAACCATTTGTAAACAATTAAAGGCTCACTAATTGTATTGTAATTGTATTAAAGTTAATTTAAAGGTGATGATTGATTTAGATTTTGTATTCTCATGTAAAATGATCAAATTTTACAATCGAGATTCAATTGAATCCTTGTTTTGATAATCGATTGATTAATTCATATGGGGGATATGATTATCGTAATCGAAAAGGATCTGTTAGAACAAAGTTCTAAAAAAAAATGGAAAAGGAAAAAGTTCTCAATTCAATTATGAATACATTTAGATTTTTTTTCCTCCTCACCTCATGATGATCATTCAATTATCTTCATCAGATAAGTCATTTTGTTCATCCATTCATTTCCAGTTAATCATCGTACATCCATTAACTAATCATAGTCGAGATTGTCTTGGAGAAAAGGGAAAGTGAAGGAGAAGAAAAAAAAATTAATAGTTCTAATCGATAGAACTTTTTTTTTTACTATCTCATTCACTTTCTATCATTTAGGTCTAGAGAAACTCGAGGTAAGAGATTTAAATGAGAGGGGAAAGTTTGCCAAGAGAAATCTCAGATTAACATGATAATAGATTATCATGAAAATCGATACAATAAGAGTTTCTTAATTGTTGATAATCATTTTAAATTGTCAAAATTGATTGTTGAGATAAAGTGAAGCCAATTTAACTCATCTTGTTTTCTACTACGATTAATAAGATAAGTGTTTCCAAAACTCATTCATTGAGAACGAAAAACTTTTCATTAGAACTTTTTTTTTTCTCCTTCTCTCTCATCAACTCATCATCATCTCTATTGTAATAACTTTCGATATTTACGTTGATAATCAACTCACGTAACGATTGATAATTTATAATTAATTTGCTTTTCTCGAATTGTAATCACTTTGAAAATTTAATTTCATATTTTTTTCTGTGATATAATAATAATAATCTCAATGTGTCACATCATTTGTGATTTTTATTACAATTGATTGATCAACATGATTTAATTATATCTAATATGTAAAACTAATTAGTTTTTTTTCTTGTCTGTATTTTGATAATGATAATTTAATGGTAATCAAAAAATTTTACTATTATCATTTGTCTAATTTGATTGAGGAGCTAAATTAACAGGGTAACCATGGTTATCTTAATTAACAGGTTATTTTGTCATCAATTGAACGATTAATTAGTAATAAGATAATATCAATTGTGGTACTTACATTTGATGAAAAATATTGAAGCAATTACAAGAAGTACCGTTGATACGGTTAATACAGTTGAGACAATTATGATCGGCAGGTAAGTTACACCGTTATCGTTATTGTTGAGGTCACTATTTTCCGGTGGATATTTTTTTCTTATTTCATCAGGTAAGATTTCATGTTGATAGGGTGGGTCAAGTTTACTGTTCATGTGAACACTTGAACTTTTCACTTTGACACTGGAACACTGGGAATGGTCACATCGAGCATGTTGATGAGGATTCTGGTGATATTCATGGTTAGATATTGAACTTTTATTCAATCGGATATTAGGTCGTTGTTTAATTGAGGGTAAAGTTGACGATGTTGATAAAGGAATGATGGATGACAGTTGATTACAATGATTGTGTTGTCGATTATGATACTGATTGTTGTTGTTGTTGTTGTTGTAATGTTTACCTGGATGGGGAAGTGTTAAAGATGAGGATAAACACAAAGTACAAGGTTGTCTGGATGATGATGATGATGATAATGTTGTGGTGGGTTTGGTTGTAGTTAATACGCTTGAAGGTGATGAAGATGTAATAATCTCTGTATGTTGTTGTAGATGATGATGATGATGATGAGAAAGACATTGAGGTGATGATGAAGTTGTTAACAAATTACTTGCTTTCACTGAATTACTATTACCCTCAATACTAATATTTGGATCCAACAATTTAACGAAACAACAATCACAACATTGATTAAAACACTCAATTGTTGATGGCACATTTTCAGATTCAATTGTAATGTGATTAGTTGATTGTTGTAACAATGTATCAACTTTTGACGATGGTGTAGGTGGTAAAGGTGCTGTTATTGCTGTGGTCAGTTTATTATTATCCTGAATCGGAAGGGGATGGTCAAAACTATTTTCCGGTAACAGGGTAAATGATCCTGGTGATGATGAAGGTTGGTCATCGGTTTCCGTTTCATTAGTTGAGTTTAATTGTTGTGTTTGATGATGATTATGGTTATGGTGATGAAGATGTTGCTCATTTAAGTGATGATGTTGACAGGGAGGGAAATGATTGTTTCCATGGGAATGTTGCTCAAGAGGATGATGACGATGATGATGATGATGATTATTATGATTATGATTATGAGAACCATCAGTTTGATTGAAATAAGGTAAAAGATTAACATGATTGGTGTCGAGATGATGAAATTGTTGTTGATAATAAAGTTGATGGTGATGATTATCATCACCATTAATGTTATCATGTTCATCATTGTGATCATTATCATCAAATTGATGATGGTGATGATAACAAACATCTAAAGGGTTAATGATAATGTGTTTATATGAACAATGGTTATCCAATGATTTAGTTATTTCCGATGAATTAATTGTTGATTGGATTGTATTAGTTTCTGGTTTTATCATTGTTGCAACTTTAGTTTTTGTTGTTGTTGATTGTGATGGTGATGATGATGTTGATGAGGTGATTAGTTGATGCATTTTAATGATACCTTGTTCATTACAGTTAAATAAATTATGATTAACATTTGACTCGTTAACATTTTCATTACCATTATTATCACAATTAAGATTTGAAACTAATAGACTTGGATCAAGTTGAATGAAACAAGCGGAATCAATATCATCAATTAATATTTCCTCTTCCTCATCTTCCCCTGTCTCACCTCCTTCCTCATCCTCATCTTTCCCCTTACCAAAACCACCTTGACCACTGTTTCCACAATGACCTCTACCTTTACTGTTAACCTTATCAATTTCATCATTGACATCACCTTGATCATTATCAGTTAATTGTTGTTGTCCATTGAAGCTTGTTGATAGTAAACTTGTTAGATGGTGTGACGATGATGAAGATGATGATGATGGTTGTTGTTGCTGATGTTGTTGATTAGTTGGATGATGATGTTGATGATAAGGAAAAGGATAATGATGATTCCCTGGACAATAACCAGGTGATGATGAGGAAGAAGATGAATGATTACATGAGCAAGAACTTTGATTATTTAATGGAATTGATATAATTGCCTGATCATTTTCAAAATGAACTCTTTTATTACAATTAGAATTGATACAATCAATATGATTAGTTGAATGGTGATTAGTTATAATGATTGGTGATGATGATGAAATTGATGGAGATGAGGGTATATCTTGATGGTGATTTACTAATTGGCAGTTATCTTGTTGATTAGGCATGACTTTGATTAAAAGTAGATTAGAGTAATTAACATTGGAGCAAACCATTTTACCCAAACAATAATCACCGGATCATTATTTTTAATCAATTGATTATTCTGATAATCAAGATTGGTTGATGATGATAAAAGTAACTGTAACAATAACATAGTAAAGTTGTAATAATAATAATAATAATAATATAATATTGATTGTCCTTGATTGTTGTTGTTGTGGTTAAATAGTAATGGTTGTAATCCAAATGTAGCAACAAAGTTGAGGATTTGTTTTCATATATACAAAACAACAATTAATAAGTAGATTTGAAAAAAGTGTCACCAAAATGCATAATTGAGTAAACAAGTTGATTAAAGTGAAGAGAGTTAATTGTGTTGATTGTTAACTTTTTGATTACTATTGTTTGTAATTTGTTGGCTCTTCTTTTTTTCTGTTTATTTACTTGAAACAATTAAAACTTTTGCATTAATCATTGGGTATTTACGATGATTTTTTTTTACAATCAAAAGGCATAAGTGATATGTTATATTCATTGATTAATATTGTTTACACACACAAATAGAGAGAGAGAGAGAGTGACTGATATTAAATTTCGGAGTTTGATTAAAGTTTAATATCAATTTATTGGGATAATGTTGATTAATGTGAATCAATTGATTGTTACAGTTAAAATGAGGCAAGAAAAGTTCTGACTGTGTGAAAAAAATGATTGCTGGTAAACTAACATAAGCATGAAAAAAAAGCAAGGTTAGAACCTTTTATTCACGTCGACTCAACTATCTAATAGATGTTATTTAAGGTAAGGACATGCTCATCATCTTCATCATTATCATCCTTATCTTCATTATTATCGGTATCATTATCATCATCATTCCATGAAGATTCAATGTTACCTGAATGAAAATTTATGAGCACATGAAGAGACAAACACGAAAAAAAAATACATAACATATAATATTATCATCTCAGGACAATGATGAGTTAATAAAAATGTGAAAATTAAAGTAAAAGAGAGAAAAATTTACCGTTATAAGAATAAAAAAAAGTTCACCTGAGAATCATTTAGATTAATATTAGTTTTTATTTTTCTTATTCGTTTCTATTGATACAAATGTTCAGAATCGACTGAAAGAACTTTTTTCATTTCAATCTTTTCTCTTGTCCTTTACTATCTTAACCTTGATAATATTCAATTAATTTGATGATTAGTTGATCGATCTCAATAACCTTTAATTGCTTCTATTGTTTTAATCAATCAAATTGAAGTTTATCATCAATTTTCTAGGTGTTTTATTGTCACTTTCATTTTTCACTCGATTTCGAAAAAAAAAATTCTTTTTAGTTTCGTTTTTCTCTACCAGATGATGTTGGTTATTCTTTGTTTATGTTTTGTGAAATTCAATGATTCATATGTGTTGGAGGATAATTGTAATTGGAGTTTCATTTGAATTGTGATTAATTTGTTTTCGAATTGTTTATTTTTATTTTCATCAGATAATCATGGATGCTAACAGGGGTGAACCGTCTGGTTCTTCATCGTCTTCTGCAACCACTGGTAGAATCGATGAAATCTATCAATACAATAAAAGTCAACACATGGATATGTTACAAGCTAAACCTTGGGAAAAGGATCCTCATTATTTTAAAGATATTCGGGTTTCGGCTTTGGCTTTACTTAAGATGGTGATGCACGCACGTTCTGGTGGTACCCTTGAGATTATGGGACTCTTATTGGGTAAGGTTGATGCTAGAACAATGATTGTCATGGATTCGTTTGCATTACCTGTCGAGGGAACCGAGACTCGGGTTAATGCTCAGGCTCAAGCCTATGAATATATGGCTGCTTATACGGAATCCGCTCAACAGGTTGGCCGATTGGAAAATGTTATCGGCTGGTATCATTCACATCCTGGTTATGGTTGCTGGTTATCGGGTATTGATGTGTCAACCCAAATGTTGAATCAACAATTTCAAGAGCCCTTTGTGGCCATTGTTATTGATCCAACTCGAACCATATCAGCGGGTAAGGTAAATCTTGGCGCTTTTCGTACTTATCCTAAAGGTTATAAGCCACCAGATGAAGGTCCATCAGAATATCAAAGTATTCCGCTGAATAAGATTGAAGATTTTGGTGTCCACTGTAAACAATATTACTCCTTGGAAGTTTCCTATTTTAAATCATCACTTGATTGTAAATTACTTGATTCCTTGTGGAATAATTATTGGGTTCATACTCTCAGTTCATCAAGTCTATTAACTAATTCTGATTATACAACTGGACAGATTTCCGATTTAGCCGATAAATTAGAACACGCGGAGACCCAATCAAGGGGAACAAGTTTCATCTTACATTCTGATCCTGGTGAGAAAAGAGGAGAAGACAAATTATCAAAGGCAACCAAAGATTGTTGTAAGACTACAATCGAAGCCATAAATGGATTAATGGGACAAACAATTAAAGATTCTCTTTTCAATCGTATTATACCTTAATTGTTGGTTTAACTATTCAAAATGAAGACGATTCTCCAATATTTGTGTATGTCTCTATCTCTCTCTTGGTGTTACAACAATTATTGTCTTCATTCATCTGATTTCCATGTAAAATATATTCAATTTGTCAAAAAACACGAAAAAGAAAACAAATCTAATTGAATCACATTTGATTTGCTTCAACAATTAAGCAAAGTTGATTTTCTACAAGAAAAAAAAATGGATAAAAATAAACGAAATTGTCTTAATACTTTTCCTAAGATGATCACTTTTGGTCAACTTTGTACCACTCGATATATCCGATTCCTCTACACCCACCATAGTTTTCATGGTGTGGGTTTCATGATGTATTGGAATTAGACAGAAGAAGAAAGAAAGAAAGATGATAAACAAAAAAAAGAAAGAAAAGAAAGAGGAAAATATAAACAACCCACATAGTTTGGCATCTAAAGTCATTTCTATTTATGGTCTTGGATCTCCTTCCATTGAGATGAAGGCAAAGCTCGGAACAAGTTGAAACCTTTTCTCTTTATTATTATTTCATTTTAATCCAATTTCGATGAGTCAATTAATCCGTTAATTCTATCCATTGATCTATTAATTGTTCTTTTATTGTCAATTGTTTTGGTTTCTTTTCCAGTTTCCAATCTAATTAAAAGTGTCTTTGTGTCTTTCTTTCAAATTGTAAACACTACATTGACTCTTACACCATCATGGCTGCTGCTTCACCATCAACACCACCGACAATTAAATCTGATTCACTTCTTGATTATCTTGGGACAATTGGAAGACGTAAGAAAATTAAAGATGAACTTGAAGGTAAGCAGGTCAATTTAATTACATAGACACAATTTAGATTGAGACAATTACTCTGTGGGTTGTTAAATTTACCGCTGATTTGTTTACATTATGGTTACACCTCTTGTGGTGTGAAATTGTGTCAATGGTTTTGATTGTGATTTAAATGGATTAATCATAATAATGTTATTGTGGTTAATTGTTTGGGTTGATTAACTTTTGTTTTTTTCTCTTAGTTGAAGAGCTTGAAAAAGAGGGTAAAGATGCCATTGATGGACCAGCGATTATGCCTTCTATTGAAAATGGACCAGAAGAGTTTATTTTGGGTAATTAAGAGGAAGATTAATTGTTGACATTTTAATTTACATTTGATTAACTTTTATTGTTTCTTTTTGTTTGATTGATTAAAGGTGAATATGAGGAAAGGACCATGTTGGAACCATCGTCTAATCGTAATCATGGATATCAAGAGCTATTGAAAATATTGGTCAATTGGATTAACGATGAACTTGTGTATGGGTTTTTCAATTGTTTAGGATCAATTGATTTGATTGGATTAATTATATTGTTTTTCATTTCTTTTACAGTGATGAAAGAATCATTGTCAAATCCTTGACCAATGATCTTTACGATGGTCAAATTTTAGGAAAATTGGTTGAAAAGCTAAGGTAATATTATTAATCTTTTAACTTGATTTGGATTCTCATTCAAAAACTAATTTCACTTTCCCTTTTGATTGTTTCAGTGGACAAAAATTGGATGTGATTGAAGTTACTCAGAATGAGGATTTACAGAAATACAAATTACGAGTTGTATTGGAAACTGCTAATCGTCATTTAGGCCTACAATCCAAGTACTCTACGATTAAATGGACAATCGATGGTAAAATCGTTGCTTCGAGCTGAACAGAAAAAAAAATCATTCGATGATACAAATTTTCCTATTTCTTTTGTTTTTCTCAATCACCAGGTATTCATAATAAGAATCCCGTTGAAATTATTCACCTTTTGGTTGCCTTACTCAGACATTATCGAGCACCGATCCGTCTTCCCGAAAATGTTACCGTCCGAATTGTTGTTGTCCAGAAGCGAGATGGACAGTTACACACTCGAACCATAACTGAACAATTAACTGGATCATTTGATGAACTTGGAATGAGAGTTGAACCTCGCGATGCTTTTGACACTCTATTTGATCATGCACTCGATAAATTACAAATCGTTAAGCGATCATTGGTTAACTTTGTTAATCGTCATTTGAATACAATTAACATTGAATGTTTCTCTGGTTCGTCCGGACAAGATTTAGATGCTAATCAATTTAGTGACGGTCTATTACTTATCTTCCTAATGGGTACACTTGAAGGTTACTTTGTACCTTTGGGAAATATTTACACGACCTCCGATGCCGACCCTGTTGCCGATACACTGACCGGAAAGGAAACTGCTTTGTTACCTCACAATTACATTAATTGTTCACCAATCAATAAGCTTCACAACGTTAATGTCGCTTTTCAATTGATGGAAGATGCTGGTATCTATGTGAGTCGATTGATTACCTTTAACCTTTTCTTTAATTAACTCATTGTTTCGTCTTATCATTTTCTTCATCAGGTAAAACACAAGGTTCGAGCTGAGGACATTGTCAATGCCGATCTTAAATCCGTTCTTCGAGTTCTTTACACCATTTTCGACAAATACAAACACGCCTAATATTAAATTGCCATGAGATGATTAAATCACTGGACCCTCTATATTAACCAATAACTTACAATTTATTTTGTGTTCATTAATAAACCAATAATTAAGTTTCTCTCATTCTAACAATCGTAACATCATCAATAATAATAAACCAATAGTAAAATTTAACTTTTAATTTATTGATTTTGTTTCTAATTTTTATCACTAACATTCAATTAGTGATTTAAATTTTTTGCTAAATGTTAATTGTTACTGTTGTTATCGTTCCTACTGTTCATCAGATGCATAGAAATGAGATTGATTAGATAAATCCAATAGTCACAATTAGTAACAAACAATCAAGATGATTCTGAATCAATCGGTTAATAATTTCATAGATTTTGAATCAAATCATATGTTAAAAATATCTTTGTAACGGTCATCATTTCGTGGCTTAGAATATGATATCAATCATTGAATACAAAAGAGTCTTCGGAGTTCGCTGAAGTTAATTCGTACATCTCATATCTAATTCCGCAATTGTTACTCCTAAGCCGTGCTCCTATTGCGTTATCACATTCTGTCCAAATATTATCAACAAGGTCACGGATACAAAATTTACAGAAATCGTGTTTCAGTCCATTCCAACACATCCCGATAGCCCAAACATTATGTCCGTCGATGTTTGTATGTTCGAGAGTTTTAACTCGATTCAAATGAGTATTGGTCATAACCTTGTGAAGAACATCACCAACAGCGTTGAACATTTTACCGGCGCTCATTTTTGTCGGATTACATCGTCTTGCTGTGCTTCTTTTCCTTCTGGTCATTGCGACAATTTTCACTTTAGGTTCAACTCTACATCTTATACTTTCATCGTTCTGATTATCATTGTTACTTTCAACGAGTATTTTCATTTTCAATGGAACTGATCTGATAGAATCTTCTTTTTGGATACAGTTTGAACAGGAAGTAAAACATCGCTCTTCAAGAGTACCAGTTAGCTTTTGATAACGAGCTCTTGTTACTATTTGCACTCGATATCCTGGTCTAATGGTGCAAGAATGTCTCCCCTCTTTGATTATCGATTCTACAGAGCCGAAACCAGATTTACTGACCAATTGACCAACACGTCTTTTTAAACTTTCAAAACTTCTTGGATCCAAGTTCTCAACTCCTTCATATTGAGTTGTGAAATTTTTAGTGAATTTCAAAGTAGTGATACAATTAGCACTTCCATGACCACATTCAAAGGCATCACTAATTATTTCCTCAGGTCCAACAAAATATCCACTGTTATCTAAGAAAATAAAAAGTAGCAATCAGTCTAGATGTATTTAATTAGTAACATCAATAGGTTAATTTGTTAGGCAATTCAAATCATCATTACAATAAATGTAGGTATAATTGCAGGTAGTTGATCCATCAGAACTTGTCGAGGTCCAAGTGTCTTCTAGAGCTTTGGTTGATGCTAATAAACATAGAAACCCAATGAGTTGAAAATACATTTTCGTATGTATGAAAGTATTAATAAATCAGTAACTCACCAAAGAATCAATATAAATTATTAGCAACTGAACTAACTGGTTATCTGAAAACAAATTGAATGTGCTTATATTACTTACTACCTATTATAATACCTTGAAACTCCTTATACTCAGTGAAGTCATTCAAAGAAACAGTACTTAACTTTGATAAAACGATAATTAATATTGTGAAACTATTGATAAGCATTTATGAATTTTACTCACAAATCATTTAATCACCGCATAAATAATAATCATAAAAATCATTTTCCAAGATCTTTGTTTTCACATTGGATCAATTTGATAATTTATCGATGCTGATTTCTGTTTTCTAGTGTCTTTGTGTCTTTCTTTCAAATCGTTTATCATGTATGGATTAATGTTATTGTCATATTGTCATTACATGTTAATTGTTTGGGTTGATTAACTTTTGTTATTTTTTTTCTCTGTTAGTTGAAGAGCTTGAAAAAGAGGGTAAAGATGCCATTGATGGACCAGCGATTATGCCTTCTATTGAAAATGGACCAGAAGAGTTTATTTTGGGTAATTAAGAGGAAGATTAATTGTTGACATTTTAATTTACATTTGATTAACTTTTATTGTTTCTTTTTGTTTGATTGATTAAAGGTGAATATGAGGAAAGGACCATGTTGGAACCATCGTCTAATCGTAATCATGGATATCAAGAGCTATTGAAAATATTGGTCAATTGGATTAACGATGAATAATATTATTGATCGTACAATTTGATTTGATTTGAAATTTAACTTTCAATTTATTGATTTTGTTTCAATTTTTATCAATAGTGCTCATGATTAGTGATTTAAATTATGCTTCTTTGTGTTAACTGTTATCGTTCTCGTTGATTGTTGACGTTAATTTAGGTTATTTGCTTCATGATTCCGATTAACATCAACATCATACTACAATTACCTAGAACAAACTTGTGTCAATGAATTAAAATTTTGCTTGATTGTTAAATTAGATTGACTAACTTACCTCGACATATTGATTCATTGTTGCCTCGAAAACATCGCCAATGTAAAAGCCAATGAACGAATCACTAATCGTACACATTACGGTTCGAACCTTGAATGATTAAAATTTGAAACATAGTGTTTGGGTCAGCAATCAAACTGTCTAATCGTCAGAAAAATAGTTATCACGATGATCAAGTTAATTGTCGTTAATTCACTTACCTTTTGTTTTGCCATCACTTCAGGTTTTATCTTTTCAATTATTAGATGAAATTTACCATAAGATGAATAGGCCTGATTATCATGGTTAACATGAAGAAAAGTTAATCAATTAGCTGATTTAGTTTGATTAATTTTACCTTTGATGAAACTTTTGACAAGACAAGAATTATGAGCATCGATAGAAACAAAATTTCAACTCCAAGTCCAGTGACAATTATGTTATTGAAGAAACGGTCAGTTGGCATGACCGATGCTGAGTAGAGCAAAAAATCAGCACCGAAAGAAGCATAAAAATAACCAATTGCGATGTAATATTTAAGTTGATCACTTAGTTGACTAATATAACCAGAGGTGTGATTTTGTGAGGCCACAATTAAGTGAACCGAATTGGAAAAATCAACTTTGATCGGTGGATTGATTTGACCATAAATTTCATGAGTTTGATTCTGTTTTGATGATGATAATATTAGCCGATCAATGGTCAAGTTGATAGCGTCCAGTTGAAGGGAACAGTAAGAAGTGAGTAGGTAAACATGAACAACGAGCCAAAGACCTGCAACGACTGCGAAAGTCGCTTGGACAGTGATCAATGTTGACCAGAAGAATTGAAAGAATATTAATTTTCTTGATTGAAAGGAAAGAGAATTTGTTAAAAAAGAGACAAACATTATTCCAGAGATGAAAGAAACGGTCAGTGGACTAGCAAAGGTCAAAAATTTTCGACCCAAATAAACTTTATTGCGAAGTTCATTCGCACCCGCTGGCGTTATTCTTAAAAACGATGAATTAAATCCATGGTGTTTAATTAAAGTGAAAACTGTTAACCAAGATAATCTTTTAGCTCTATCTGACCAGAAAAGCATTGACCGGAAGATGACCACAAGCCAACCTGCAAGGGCAAATGTTGCGTTCATATAAAAACGCGTTGAAGTGCCAATGAAAACGTCACCACAATAAGTGTTTAGAAAATGATTATCGGTGAAACAAAGTAAAGTTATTCGGCTCATTGAGATGTAAAGACTGATCTCAATTAGTGAACTAATCAAAAAACAATTGTCACTCTTAGAGTAGTGGTCACTTTCTCTGACCGCGTCAACTTCAGGGTAACCACGAGTTGTTACGTACCAACGTTTCGCTGATTCTTCCAATGAGATCAAATGTTCAATTCCTTTGTAGGGATCATCTTGATGAGAGAAAAATAAATTCAATTTAGAATAAAATTTTTTAACTGTTACAAAAACTTTCATGTTAATTGTTGTTCTTGTTGATTTACATTTCGATAAATCCAACAATTTAGTTCACTTCTCTGTATGATTAAGATTTATTTCGATAACTTTTAAGGTAATTTCTTAGTTCATTATTAGTATTGGAACAATTAATTTAATTCCAAGTCTAATGTTAGTATTGATTCATTGATCATGATTCTAGAAAATAATGATTAATATAACTATTATACTATTGCCTAATTGTTGACTTGTTGATTAATTGAACTCTCTTTCTCTCTTTGTCTTTCATTTTAATTGTTAATCGATCATTAATTGTTACTTTTGATTGTTCCTCAGTTGGAATTGATTGTTAATCGATAGATACAACGAATAAAGTTAATTTTAGTGATTAAACTAAATTAATTGTTGAGAAAGTTTAACTTTAATTGTGAGGATAATTATGCGATCGGTTTAATTGTGAGAGATTAGTTTAATCATTTTCTGTTTGTGCATAGATTTTAATTACAATTGTTGGATAAAAAATTTACATAATTTCGTGATCTTATCAAATGAAGAGATGAAAATTTTGAATGAGTTTCAAGGGGAAAGTTTTAAATTACAATTATCATTTGTCGTCATCTAGATTAACATTGAAATCAACTGCCATGGATAAAGTAATCAACAAATACATTAGAATTGATTGTTACCAATTAATTTTGGAATTAAAACAATGGATATGAATACTTTCTTTGCATTTCTAATTGGCTCCTTGTCGTCTTTCAATGACCTTATATCGAGCTTTATTCACGGGTTGGTACGAGTTCTGTAGTTTAACAATTTCTTCCTTAATTAAACGTATTATCTCATCTCGAGCCTTTTTAACGGACAATTCAGATGTACCCTCAATGGCGAGATAAAGTTTCCTCTCCTCTTTACCATCCGGTGTTAGGCCAAGTTTAGCTCCTGGAGCGATGTAAGTACCTCTAACGGTAATACCCGACTCGGAGTATTCGGAAATTTGAGCGAGCTTCCTTACTTGTAACTCTCCATCGAGCTTGTTGAGGGAAATCATTAATCTCAAGTTCTTCCTCGAATCGTAGGAATACATCACCACTATTACCGTGTTCGTCTTGTCCGCCATCACCTTCTTCTCCGTATTCGGAATCTTTAGGTACATAGTTGAGTTTAGCGTTGATTCTTTCAGCTTTGGCCTCGGCGATTGATTTAGCAGATAGAGCTGGTGATATACTGGGAGTTGATTCGCCTTTGAGAAAAGCTTGAGCGGCTGATGTTGTCTTTCCTCCTGGAAGTTTAATTCGAGATGCTAAACGTTTGGCCAGTTCTAACTTAGCGTTAGCATTATCAGGTACAACTAAGGGTGTAGATGTTGAACTACCGTTAGATGAGGAGCCTGATGCCTCTGAAGTTCCAGTAGCAGCAGTGGGTTTAGTTTTCGAGACTTGTTTAACTGTTTGTTTGGGTGCGAGCATATTTTCAATAGTTTGGTCGATATCGGCATCAGGATCTTCATCGTCCGAATCTTGAATACCCAAAGCGGCTTTTTGTAATTTCTTTTTATCGATTGCCATTTGAGCTTCAGCTTCGTCAAATTTGAAACCTTTTCCATAGAAACCTGATGAACTTTTTACCTTTTTACCTTCTTGCTCCAATTTCTCTTTATAACTGGTCCAAAGGCTTTTCAATGCTTCAGGAGGATTGTTACCCGATAACTCGAGAGCTTTAATTATATCACCGGCGAATTTAGCCTGATCTGGAGTAATGAAAGTGTAAGCGAAACCCTTGTTACCTGCACGACCGGTTCGTCCACAACGATGAACATAATCTTCATAATGATTGGGACAGTCAAAGTTAACCACCAAATAGCAATACTTTACATCTAGACCACGAGCGGCAACCGAAGTAGCGATCAAAACTTTGATACGATTGTTTTTAAAATCAGATATTGTCGAATCGCGATCTTGTTGATCTATTCCTCCGTGAAGAGCTAAACAACTATAACTTGCGTGCATCAACTCTCTCAATAAAGTGTCGGCCTTTTCTTGTTTATCCACAAATATGATAGCACTTTTGTCACCTTCCAAATAAGATCCAAGAATTTCGAGTAATTTTAAAAACTTGTCATCCTCCTCGATAAGAACAATATTTTGTTCAACATCTTTACATACAACAGATCGTCCACCGACTTGAATCTCTATTGGTTTGGTCAATATTCTTCGAGCAAGCGCTTCCATAATCCTTGGAAAAGTGGCAGAAAACATTACCGTTTGCCTATCTGGCCTCATGTTCTCAATGATTCGGGTCACTTGAGGTTCAAAGCCCATGTCAAACATGCGATCGGCTTCATCTAAAACAAGATATGTACAACGTCGTAAATTGGTAACTCGACCTCCATTGGCGGCCAACATGTCAATCATCCGACCAGGAGTACAAACGACAATCTCAGCTCCAGGTTTTAATGCACCGATTTGTTCAGAGATCGGAGTCCCACCATATACACAGACTGTATTTAATTTCAATGATTTGGCAAACTTTTTACAATCAGCCCAAATTTGTGTTGCCAATTCCCGAGTTGGACTCATAATTAAAGCTATCGGCCCATCTCCTGAAGACAGTGGTGGTTGGTCAAGAATATGTCGTAACATTGGTATTAAAAAGGCCAATGTTTTACCCGAACCTGTTTTAGCGATACCAATAATATCACGACCAGACATTATTGCGGGAATAGCTTGACACTGGATTGGTGTTGGTTTCTCATAATTATGACGCTTCAGGACATCCATCACCTTCTTGCTAACTCCTGCCTGTGCCCAGGTTTTGATCGGTTTCGGACAACCTTTTCCTCTCACTTTTATACCTTCCAACTCTTCACGATAAGCCTCAACCTCTTGAGCTGACATTCCAGCCAATTCGGGAACTTCAATGTAAAAATTTTTTCGAAATGGAATATAAGTAATATCTTCTTTGGTTATTGTTAGAAGCTTTTTGGTTTTGTTCACTTGACTTTGTAGGTTAGTGTTCATGGCTTCCAAATCTTCAGCTGAGGTTGGCTCTTCTTCTGATGAATATTCTAGAGCATCCTGATTCTGTTCAAGAAGTTCACCTTTTTCCACCTTCTTTTTCTTGGAAACACCGACATAAATATTTTTATCTTCAGCCTTACGGACCAAATTTCCTCGAGATTTTTGTAAATCTTTTTGAATTGTCTTCATGTAAGCATCCAAAGTATCCTCTTCATCATCATCTTCAGCGACACTTTCCTTTGGATCCTCACTTTCAGGACTATCCAACATGGGAAAATCACTCACTAATTAATCAAAGATAAATAAGAAAACATTAATTTTAAATCTACAACAATCAACATCAGAATCTTATCAAATTAACAGATTCATCAAAACAAATAACACGACAAAAATGAGATTAAATTTACTTACTTGTTCCAATAAACTAACTTGTGATAAACGGTTGAATATTTGAACAGATGAATCAAAATGATAATTTAATTAAATTAGTCAAATTATCAGAATCACAAACAATCAAGACAATTTTGAATCGGTTAACAATTTCATCAAAATTTGAATCAAATCATATGTTGAATGAAAATCTTCGTACCTGTCGCCATCTCGTGGATAGAAAATGAAACTTTTACGTAATTTACTCAGTTTTCATAACGAAATCACTAAATTGTGATTGAATTTTTTATTAGTGAAAATTTGATTATTACTGATTAGTCAAGAAAGAGTCTTCATAATTAGAGGTAGTTAATCGGTGGAATTCATATCTAACTCCGCAATCGGTAACCCAAAGTTGACCTCCTTTTGAGTTTTCGCACTCTGACCAAATATTATCGACTAGATAACGAACACAAGCTCGACAGGCATCGCGATTCAGCCCATTCCAACACATTCCGATAGCCCAAACATTATTTCCATCGATGTTTGTATGTTCGAGAGTTTTAACTCGATTCAAAGGAGTATTGGTCATGACCTTGTGAAGAGCATCACCAACAGCGTCAAACATTTTACCGGAGGTCATTTTTTCTGAATTACACGATTTCTGCATTCCATTGATATTGGCATTAGGTTCGACTTTACAACTTATACTACCAGCGATCTGATTGTCGGTTTTACTCTTGACGGGCACCTCAATGGTTAGGGGAATTGAACGGAAAGAGACATCGCACTCGTAACAAGACTTTAAGCATCGCTCTTCGAGAGTACCGGTTAGCTTTTGATAACGAGGCTTTGCTAAAATTTGTACTCGATATCCTGGCTTAATTGTACAAGAATGTGTCCCCTCTTTGATTATCGATTCTGCCGACTCGACACCAGATTTACTGGCCAATTGACCAACACGCCCCTTGAAGCTTTCTAAATTTCTTGGATCCAGATTATCAGCTCCGTCGAACTGAGTTGTAAAAGTTTTACTGAATTTTAAAGTAGAGGTACAATTAGCACTTCCATCACCACATTCAAAAGTATCACTAATTATTTCCTCGGGGCCAACAAAACTTTTGTCTTTATCTAAGAAAATACATTTAAAAAATTGACAATTAGACAGCAATAAGTAGCAATGGTTAATCAAATTGGAAATTTACGAAATTCTTACTATAAATGTAGGTATATTTGCAGGTAGTTAGTCCGTCCGAACTGGTCGAAGTCCAAGTGTCTTCGAGAGCTATAGTCGCTTTAAATAGACACAGAAACAAAAAGAAACTCAGATTCATTTTCATTTAAAAAAATTTCAGAGATTCACCAAGAAAATGTCGACTGTAAATCTCAACCAACTAAACTATGAGCTTAATGAATGAGTTTCATACCATGAAAATGCTTGTACATGATGGAGTAATTCAAAGAAAGATTGAGAAATCCTGATTAACAGATCAAAAGATTAAAGTCTGGATCAACTCAAGCTGATCAAGGTGAATAACCAAACTTATTTGTTACCCGAGGAAAATAAACTAGACACTGTAATCAACAAGTTACATGTACTATAATTAGCAAAATCAATATAATCTTAATCATGATCCAAGAAACTTCCGCTTTATCATTGAAATGACCTTTGCAATGAGATAATATTTTGATTTAAGTTTACTCTTAACAAACGGGTTTCGATTTTGACAAATTGTAATTGACTTTTTTATTGATGGAAAAATTGATTATTAATGATTTTCATGATTGTTCAAGAAAAGAGTCTTCATAATTAGAGGCAGTTAATCGGTGGAATTCATATCTAACTCCGCAATCGGTAACCCAAAGTTGACCTCCTTTTGAGTTTTCGCACTCTGACCAAATATTATCGACTAGATAACGAACACAAGCTCGACAGGCATCGCGATTCAGCCCATTCCAACACATTCCGATAGCCCACACATCATTACCATCGATGTTTGTATGTTCGAGAGTTTTAACTCGATTCAAAGGAGTATTGGTCATGACCTTGTGAAGAGCATCACCCACAGCGTCAAACATTTTACCGGAGGTCATTTTTTTGGGATTACATATTCTGGTCATCGCTTCAATGTTGGCAGCAGGTTCGACCTTACAACTTATACTACCGGCGATCTGATTATCACTGTTACTTTTAACGGGTATCTCGATTTTCAATGGAACTGATCTGATTGATTCGATACAGCCCGAACATGAGGTAAGACATCGCTCTTCGAGAGTACCAGTTAACCTGTGATAACGAGGTTTGGTTATGATTTGCACTCGATATCCTGGATTAATTGTACAAGAAAAGGTTCCGTCTTTAAGTCGAGAATCTGTAAAACTGAGACCAGCCTTATTGGCCAATGTACCAACACGGCCCATGAAATTTTCAAAATTTCGAGGATCCAAATCATCGTCACCTTTGTATTGGGTCATAAACGTTTTATTAAATCGCAATGTACTGGTACAAGTAGCACTTCCATCACCACATTCAAAGGTATCACTAATTACTTCCTCGGCTCCATCAAAATCTCTGTCTTTACCTGAAACGCAAAAATAAAGATCAACAATTAGCCGATAATAATAACCAGACAATTGGGACTAATTATTAAACGAAAATTTCTTACGATATAAGTAAGAGTAATTGCATGAAGTTAATCCATCTGAACTGGTCAAGCTCCAAGTGTCCACCAAAGCTTCAGTCGAAACAAAAAGGAGACATAAAATCAACACATAACTGTAATTTAGAGCAATTTTCATTTCAACTACTAATATATAAGATCAATTAAACAGGTAAACAAGGTTAACAATCAAGTTCAATATCACAATTAACTATGAATCTGTTATGATGAGAAATAAGCAAATTAAAGAAGATCGATAATTTCAAGTATACATAATCAATGATCCTAATCAATATATCAATGAGAGGCTCTTGAAATGTTTGATCTCTAAAAAATAACAACAATTTGTTGTTGTTGCTTAATTGTCGTTAAAAATTGAGCAACAATTATCAAGTTATCGAGAAAACTATTAATAATATCAAGAGAAAATGTATTTACAAAACAAAATAATTACACAATTATCGTTATCATCCCTAAGAAAACAATCAACAATTTGTCAATCACCAATTATTTCAACATAATTACTAATTAATTTAAATTGTTTTCCACAATTAAAAAACTTTTCAAATTGTTTAATTTCTTTGGTACAAATGGTAACCAAGAGATGGCAGATCAATTGAACTCCAATAACATGTCAAAAATTTGGCGGTTTAAAAGATCAGTCAAAATTTTGAATCTTTTTTAGTTTCAGTTTATTTTGTGTCTCTTTGGTTTATTTAATTGTTTAGTCGATTCCATCAAGGTTTAATTAGTTTTTTCATCCCCTGCAACTATGACCAGTTTTAATGATCTACCTGATGATTGTCTCACAAGCATTTCTGATTATATCCATGATCTCAAACAATTATTACAATTATCTGAAGGTAAGAAAATGACCTTAATTTTTATCTGTTTACATCGTGGGTCCTTATGGTTCCTTGAGTATATGAATATCTGATTCTCATATTCTAATAATAATAATGATAATAATTCTAATTTCAATCAACAGTTTGTCCACGTTGGGGATACCTGGTCGAGAATCGACTTAAGAAAGTTCAAAAATTGGACAGTAAGTGTTAATTGTTTTACAATTGATTTTCCATTTAATTGTCATGATAAACTAAAAACTTTTTGTTTTGTTTTTCTATTCAAAGTTTGGTGGAGTACATTGGATAGGAGCTTTAAGCCGGACTATATTTACACGAATGATTATCAGTTGATTGAGAAAATCAACATTTCGAGTGTTCTACCGAATTTAAAAGTAAGTCAATCAACTTAATCTACAACTATTTGTATATAATTAATTTTGATTATTTCTTTTCTCTTCGTTTACTTATGGTCAGTATGTTCGTGTTGGTTATATTTCAATGAAAGGTGATTGTCTATGTAAAGCTTTGGCCAATATTATGAATACAGGTAATCCATTGATTGGACTTAGTGTCAACTATAGCTGTGATCAGAATCGTGATAAATATCTTAATCAAAGTAAATGTAAAGTTGATATGGATCAACAGATCGTCAAATATTGTGATAAAGTTAAATATCTGTCCGCAGATATTAATGCATTTACTGAAAGTTTTTTCAAAAAGTTTGAGTTCGGTGCCAATGTGATCAAGTTCAGTACAATTAAGACGTGCAATACACTAACTGAATTTGCATCTTCAATGGTTAATCTAGAAAGTGCCAAAATTGTGGACTTTGATGAAAGTAAGTGCAAATAATAAACAATCCGATCCACTAATCTAATCCCATTGAAACACTTTATATTTGTCCATTAATTATCCTGATTAATTTGTTTTTCCTTCTTCTCTCTCATTTTGGATTATTTAGCTGATTGTCTTTATGATGGACCAAGTTTGATGAAATTGAATCAACTTTCAATCTTTAGCTACGATTATACTAATCTTTCCTACGAGCTTTTGGAATATTTTCCTAATCTTAAGAATCTTTTATTGAAGATTATCCTTCGTCGTGGTGAAACAAATTATTTCGGCTCGATAGTAAATCGAAACATTGAAAATTTAGTTATTTACTTGGTTGAAGATGTGAGTAGATCTTTGCAATTATCTTTACTTAAATTGTTCTAATCTGGTTAATCTAATTGTTCTTTCATTTATTCTTAGGCACCTCCAACTAATACAAATTCATTGCATGCTCTCAATAGCATATTAAAAAGTTTCCCAACTGTAAACATCTACTAATTGGATGTCCATTGCGACTCACTGACAAGAATTTAATTGAAATAATTAAGATGCAACCCAATTTGATTCTTCTGTCCATTAAAGGCGCTGATTGGGTTAGTGAAAGGACCATCGACGCTATCGATAGACATTGTCAGCTCAACAATCGAAAGATCACTTTTAATGCCGATGGTAAAACCAGAATTTCATTAAACGAAGATTTCGTCAATTTAAAACAGATCGAAAATCGTTTCGTGAAAAAACATTTCCTTCCAATTCAAGTTGATCGGAAATATCGATATAAATTCGTCTATTAATTGGTCTCTATGATGATCTTGGAATTTTCAGAAAAATTTATTCTCTTTTATTTTTTTAATTCTGAACCATTTTATTGAATGAACTGACAAATTCACGCTCCAAATTGAACAAATATAAACTGAACTCGAAAAAATATTAAAATTTTTCCCTGAAATATCATGTAAATGTTTTCCCATCTTGTTCACCCAATCAAGAGGCTCTTAACTATTGAATTTCATTAGTGAAATTATTCAATCCCATGAGGTTTATACCATTGATTCTGAATATCAAATTACTTTCTCATAATCGTATGGACAGAATAATCAGAAAAATAAACCGTTCGCTAATCTTAATCATTTTCCAGCCAATTATCATGAATTATCATCGTCATCATTGAAAAAAACATCAACAATTTTCAACTCAAATCCATTCTCCGTTGACAATTTACTAATTTTAATCATCATGAAGCTGATAATCATCGTTTCCATTGGATTGTTATCTGTTGTTCAATCAGTACCAACTAATTATCGAAATTTAACCGAAATCGATACAACAATGATGCCCTTTATATTACACGGGGATATTGTCGATCGGACTTCAATCGATTTTCCTTATTATGTTTCCGTTCATTTCGTGGAGGAATGTGAAGTACCTGAATTTTATTGTGGTGGAGCAATTTTAGGTCCAAGTGTAATCATTTCGGCAGCTCATTGTTTCGTCAAGTAAGTTAACCAACAATTAGTATCCTTTATTTTATTGTTATATTCAATATATTCATCCCTTGACTCTAATTTATTAGCAAGGATACTGACAAGATATTGATCCGTCCAAATTATGATAATACGATTGACTTTTTATTGGCCTTGGATTTACCAATGTCATTGATTTATTATCAAGTTGAAAGCATTTTATGTAGACACCAACCTGGCCTAGTGGATGATATATGTTTGGTTTTCCTTCAAAAACCGATACCGTATTCTCATCATGTTCAACCGATCAAATTACCTGAACAAAGATATCCTGCTGGTACTGAATTAACTGTCATTGGCTGTGGTAGAACTGAACTTAGCTCTCGATCGGCTCACCTTCGAAAAGCAAATATAATCATCAGATCAAATGTGATCTGCGAACGAGAATATGTTCGTTTTAGTCGGGAAACACAATTCTGTGCAATTGGCTATGGAAATGCAGATGCATCTAAGGGCGATTCGGGTGGACCTGCGGTTTTCGTTAACCCTGACAAGTCTCACGTTCTTGTGGGTATCGTTTCATATAAGAAAGCCGATTGGCAGCCTGGTGTTTGTGTCAATGTTTGGCATTATATTGATTGGATAAAGGAGAACAGTAGGATTTTTTAATAGATTCAAGCAAAATGTGAAAATCTCCAAACAGATTAAGGTGAAAACTTTTAAGCCAAAAACAATAAACGGATTAATTTCAATTGGAATCTCTTAGTTTTGATTTTTTCTTTCCCATTCATATACTTTCAATGGTCAAAACTTAAAGAGATAATTTAATTCGCAAAAATTAAGCTGATGGATTTTCAATCTCAAGGATAGTCTTTGCTAAACTTAAATACACTTTGGAAAATATTGATCTGATCAATTCCTTGAATTTACTTTTAATTTTGCTTATCAACAATTAAAGCATACAAATTGTCGTCTCAATTGAATCTAATTTTCATCGCAATGATATTAATTAGTTTTCAAATGTTACAAGTTTTGACATTTGGAAAAATAATTATTTAAATAATAGGCTCATAATTAAGCTGATCCACCGCCGTTTTTAGGGATTGTTGAAGGTGCTGTATTGTATTCACTGTAATCAAAGCCACCATTGGGATTCGAGGGGATTGTCGCTGGTTCAGTGTTGTAGGCACTGTAATCGTATGAGCCCGATGAGCCTGATGAAGAGGTTTTATTATTTCCACTCGGTGATGCTGGTGCTCCTTGTTTAGTGTATTGACTGTAATCGTATGAACCTGAGCCACCAGTTGATCCATTCTTTGACTGACCAGAGCCACCGGAGACATAGGACTTCAATTGTTTCAATGAGAAAGAATCAGCTTTATTAGCTGCTCTTGTTGGTTCACTTGAATTACTGGTCGTTGATTTAATTTCCGTAGTGGTTGTTGAATTGCCGGTGGTTGATTCGACATCGGGACAGGGACAATCATCGGTCTTACAGGGCGAAGATACAAACAAACATTCAAAGAAACATTTAATCTCACAGCTTGTGGACGAGGCATCTAGTTGATTAAAAAGAAACAATTAAGATTCAGAAAAGTAATTACGATTGAGAAAAGTCTGAGTCGTAACCTCAGATTAACAGAATGAACTTACATGATAAGTTGGCATTGGAACTAATCACAATTAACATTAAACAGCACACGAGAGTTAATTTGTTCATTTTGGGGACTTGATTGTTGGAATATTTGTCGAACTAAATTTGATGAGTGAATAATTGTTGAGAAATAGAATTGACTTTGTCTAATGATCTAGAACAATTAACACGAAAATGGATTCTTATTAAGTTATAACGATTCTCCCTTTATGATTAATGAGCACGATAATCGTCATTTAAGATCATTTTCTTGATTATCAGATTGATAATCGACACATCATGTCGGAAATAATAGTTAAATAAATAGATAATCAGTAACCATGATAATAAAAGAGCAATAGAAATTAACTAATTGCTCTTTACATCTCTATTTTTACATGGACTAAATGAAATCATGATGATTGTATTGAAAATTCTTAGTAACAATCTGTATTTTCCACTGAATGTTGATCCTGTTATGATCACTTAATTATCATTTATTTTATTACCAAATCATAATTATCTTAATAATACAAAATCATGATAACGGAAGGGAAAAATCAACGAAAACAAACAATTAATTACACGTAAACATCGTAATGAGTCAATGGCAGCGAACGAGGAAAAAAACTATTAATAATTGTATCCAAAGAAATTAACCTTTTACATGTAATTATACATCCATATTTAGCTGAGAAACCACAATTAAAACCTCAATTATATTGAATTTATCATCGAGTGACTTATTGTTTAATATTTGAATGCCCTTCAGCCAAAATTTTACAGTAGGAACGAACTTTAATTATTAATAGATAATCGACCCTAAAATCAAACTTACCTTCAAATAGGATTGACAATTGAGTTAGTTAAGAAAACTCCGAGCAGGCTAATCATTCAAATTGATTTTATAGCAATCACACAATTCGCACAATTATTACAATTCATGTTTTTTGATGCAAACATTTATGAAGAACATGAAGCGCTAGGAAGATATCAAAACTACCATTGGACAGCTTTTTGAATCCTGCACCAACATGAAATAGAACCAATGTTTTAGGGGTCAATTGTCAAAAGTTATAATTTTTTCAAATTTTCTCTTTCTTTTCTCTTTCTATTGACTTTTGCTTCTTTTCGTACCATTCAACTATTAGTATTGTTTAACAGTTACATTTTTGTTAAAAAGGAGAGAGAGGGAGAGAAATAGTCGCGCAAAGAAATTTAAAAAAAATCGACGTCAACAGAAGCGACGTTGAAAACTAAAATTATTTTCAAGCTGGATATGACCTTGAAATAGGGAAATTGAGTATCAGTCAAACGTTAAATTGCATTCGATTGTCATTGATTTTCGGCAGTTTTATTATCAAAAAAATTTACTAGAGACATAATTAAGCTTGATTATGAACTCGGCTCTCGACTCATATTTGCAACATCAACAGGAAAAGATTTATTGGACAAATTTGGAGATTCCAAAGATCGCGATATGGAGATCTGACGTTGAATTTTCCAGTTCATCGTTAAACGTTTTCAATGTATGCTTGTTTAGATTTCTGCTTGACTAAGCTGCATGATGCACAAATGTCCTGTAAGCCATCCAGATATCCAGATCATCGAATTTTTCTTTATTGTTGTCTAGAAGATTGAAAACATGTTTTATCAAAGCGAAATTCGCGTTGAGATCGGTCGAAGGGTTTGTAATTGAGTTATCAAAGAGAAACGATAATAGTATTTTTCTCGCTCGTCCATTATCATTTCCAACATGTCTTTAGAAAATTGAAGAAAGAAAAATAAGTGACATTTATGTACGGCTTCTTGATTTTTGATTCAATGAGTCAATGACTTTCTGTTAATCTTCGAGATTTCTTATGCAAGATGAACCTTAAAAAAATACAGGCTGCCTCTTCTTCAGTTTGACCGATACTTAATTGCAATATTTCAAGGTCATATCAGGCTTGAAAAAATTTCTAATTTCCAAAAGTCTTTCGAATGACCTTCAAGTGCATTCTTTTCTGAATAACCTTTATGACCTTGAAATATGACTTTGAAATATGGCAATTGACGAGTCTGAGGTTCTTTTTGCATTGAAAAATTCAATAAAGGAAAAATTTGCCTAAAATCATTCTAAATTGTACTCCGAGCTTAATTGATGATTAAACTCTCATTCCCTTGGTCTGGATGTTTTCCAAAAATCTTAATCGGAAATAATTACGATCGCTTATATGTTCAGGTAATTTAATTATTCTTATTCATGTGATTAATCACTAGTTCTCTCATTTATTTCATTACAGATATTCACTAATGAACTAGACTAGCAAATGGTTATGAAGAATCAAGAATAAATAATGAATGGTTCAAAACAAGTTAATTAATCATATCCTTAGAATGATAAATCTTTTTTCAGACTTGATTGAATTAAATTATTCGATAAGAAATTTTATTGATGAACTGTATGTTTTCTTAGCTGATATAATATGAGAACACTTTAATCAGCCAAACATAATATATCAATAACTATAAAACAAATTTATTGGTTGAATCAGAATGTTGAATTCTCTATGAATGATATTGAATTTTCTGAGAATTTTCGACTCTCATTTGTAAACAGGTAGTTTGGAAGCTCGAGCTTTTCTTGATTCAATTAGGTTTTTAGGTGCAGTTTTCAGATCATAAGCTTGACCAATCAGAGCCATTAGATCAATAAAGGCAGCATTTGTGTTCCATTGACCAAACCAACCAAATTCTGATGCCTTATAATCTTGAGGAAAAGTGTGATGATAATTGTGATAAAATTCACCAACGGGAATCAACCACGCAATCCATTTAGCCTCCGATGGATATATAGTTTTATCATAAGGTTTATCTCCCCAAAGATGAGCTGCTGAGTTGACTAACCAAGTTCCATGCAATGAGATTACATATCGAACTCCAGTCATTAATAAACAGTGAAAAAGTGAAATTTGATAGCAATAGAACGGAATTAGAGTTGGAACGAGAATCAATGTAATGATCAAAAGTAGTGTATAATATTTTGTACTCCAAATTACTACTGGGTCACTCAGAACATCGTCCATATCAATTGAAGCACTTTTCCTGACATTATCCGGGTGTCGCTTGACCAATAACCATCCTTGATGAGCGAAAAAGAAACCGCGTTTCGCGTTATGAGGATCGGCATCTGTCTCTGAGAACTTATGATGAGTCCGATGGTCACGAACCCAAGTTCCTAGACTTTTTTGACCTGCCGAGGTGAAGGCTAAAGCGAGAAACACTCTCAATGGAGTTTTAGCTTTGAAAGATCGATGAGACCAAAGCCGATGAGCACCCACTCCGATACCAACAGCGTTGACAAAAACGCAGTAAAAAGCTTCTAATAAATGAAAAATAATAAGATAACTTATTCCTTTCAATGTTCAACTTACCGAATGCCAAAAGTTTAAGAAAATTGTTAATCTCCTCTGGATAATTGATCAGATAAAATACTTCCAATAAAACTGATGAATGGACAAAAAGGTGAAGAAAAATTTGACCAAAAAGTAATTCATAAACTAAATTACTTTTAGTTATCGTTTTGATTGTCCACTTCAACCACATCGTATTAATAAAACAACAAATATAAATCTTTTCGTAACTTAAATCAATTGATGCTTGACACTGACTTACAATGAGAAAGAAAAGTTTTCTTGACAACAATTTTTTCTGCCAATTAATTCAAAGGGAAATTAAATTGATACGCTAATTTCTGGACAATCACCAATAAAAAGGAAATTAATTAGAATTCAATCGTTAATGAAGATTAATTAACGACAAATGAATAGAACGTAGGTTATAATGAATATGAGATTCAGAATCATCCTAAATGATTAAGTTGATGAAAGTTCAGCGACTCTAAATGATCAATTTCACCTGAATGAAGATTTTTCCAAGAGACAATTAACTTTAATCATCTATGAACTCGATGATGACAAGACCATTTGACAATTACAAGTAAATTGTGACATTTGTTTCTCAATTGTTGACATGATTATGATGGATATTTATCACTAGTTAGTTAACAACGCGAACAATAAGAAAACTAATTAGATAAACTTTCGTTTAAATGAACAATTTATTTATTTATATTTTGCGATTAAACTGGTGGATTAATTGTTCTTGATATCATGATGATCAAGGTTCTTACAAACAGTAGGAACTTAGCACCTAAAATCAGATGATTTTGAGAGATGAACTTTAATCGCGCCTTTTAAATTCATGATTCTCGATTGAAATGTTAGTTGAATGAATACGAAAATCAAATATTCTCAATATTACAAAGAATCACAATCAATGTTATTGATTTTACTTCGAAATTCATGTTGTTTGTGTTCACATTATCGCCAAGATGAACCTGTTTGTGGAACCTCTAAGTTTTTTCAGCTTATTTAGATGACCATGAGCTCTGAAATATTTATCAACGATAATTTTGACATTAGTTGATAAATTTTCAACATTATCCAAATAAGGGATAATCTTTTCATCCAAATCGAGGAAAGTTTTACATCGATGGACGGTAATCCACTGGTGAAATCACAGAGACGAAACTTAAGTTCAGTGATTGGATTTCCGGTAGCAAGTAGATTAGCTAATGCTGCACATGGACATGGAAGTCTTGTCGTAATATTTTTAGTTTTAAACACTATTAATGAAGAAACAACAGAGAGATTGATTATCAAATTATCAACAATCAGATTTTCGGCATTACCTTGACATTAGGGAGAAACAAAGAGAGTTTAATACTCTCAAGAAAACGAAGTTGATCTGTATGGATATATTTTCCGGTCAATTCCTTCTGAGTAATTTTCTTTACCAAGACCATGTATGGAGCATCTGAACATTGAAGAATAGATGAAATTAGTTATTGATAGATCGGATTTCAATTTACTCACATTCTAAGTGTGTGATTTTCTGTAGTCGAGTTTGAACCAAAGTTCTCCATCGTGAACAAACTATAAAAGGATGAAGAAAAGTAAACAAAATATTAGATGATTGATTAGTAATCAAATTGGAAGAAAAATTAACGTTTCATTTTCTTACCTCTTCTTAAGTTATCCAAAGTCGGAAGATCGGAAATATGATCAAAAATCAATTCAAAACAAAGATCAGGTAAATCGTTGATATTCATCTTAATTTTGATTTGAAAACCTTTTCGATCAAAATAAACTGACAATTTGAATTTGTTTTCGTTTTAAAATTTAAATAATCACTTGGATCAGATGATTTGATTATTAACCGAAAATCAATTTGAGTTCAATTGTTTACCCGCGTATTTCAAATACTCGATTCATTTGATACTCAAATGATTTTATTGATTTAGTGAATTAAATTGCAATTTACCGTCGTTATATTTTTCTTGCTCTTAGCCTTATACATTTCACTGAGGTGGAAATTTAGTTTTAGGTTTTAAATATTTTTCCATAATTCTGTTGTTTGGTTACAATACAATTCAATTGCGAATTGGAGTTTGCTTGTTCTTGGTACTGAAAATTTATCGAAAAATCTGTGGCCTGTATGGATTGAATTTTGGAAATTTTGACGCAACTATTTTCTAATTTTATCGTCTCCAGGTCGATTTTATGTTACGTATTAATCTTGAGCTAATTGTCCACCTGAGCTTTTTGCATTCGAATGCAGATTTTCAATGTTAATCAAAAGCGAATTTAATGAGATTTAATTAAAATTCGAAGAAAAAAGGCCGTTACAAACTTCCATTCTTTTCGAAAAATAATGCTATTATTCCAAGTAAATAGCCTGAGATCAAAATGACGAAAGAAATGAATGAATAATTGATCGTGATTGGAGCGACTGATTCTCGTTTATCGACTTGAATATTTAGACATGATTGAGGAGCATTCGGAATATTATTAATTTTTAGTAAAATTTTGATCAGATTTGAATTTTGAACAATTTTCTTCTCGAATCCATCATAGCCTCTTTTAGATAATATTTCATTAGACTTTGGTGAGTTGTGTTTATTAATTAAATATAATGCCAATGAATTAAAGATGAAATTGTCCGACAAATCTAACGGACTTTGTAGCTCATCTTTGGTGTTTATTGAACATCCAGGATGTTTCAGGAAAGAAAATGTAAGTTCATCGGTAATGGCTACATGATTGGATTGTCTACAAATATCATAAAATTCCGTCCATTTTACTGTTTCAGAGACATAAATCTCAGATGAGATCTTTTTAACGATTGGTGAAATCCCGTTTTGTATTTCGAATCGGCAACTACTCGCAAAGGGTGTAACTGGCTTATAATTGTTCTTGAGAATATCTTCCAAAGTTTCTAGCTTGAGATAATTAACACTCGATACAAGGCCAGTTCTCAATGATGTTGTTAAAAGGATTCCAATGGTCAAGAGTAAAAATGACAACACACAAATGATTGAACTTTTAGCTATTTTCGATAGAGTTTTGAAATTTTGAGAGACAATGAACTCGAACTGACTCCATAAAATACTAGATAATTTGAGATTTGGTGATTGTTGTTTAGCTTTCAAACATACGATAATTGTAATTCCCCCAAAGAATCCTGATAATATTATCCAGAACACTAAATCAAACGAATAAACAAAATCGAAAAAAGTTGAATAATCGACATTGACTTTCAATTGTTTCTTATAAGCAAGGTAACAATGATATTCGTATGCTGGTGAAATTGTGGTCAAATTAATTCCAAGACTATTAAGTTTAACCAAAGATGGAGGCCTAAGAAAATCACCTCTACCCTGTTGTAGACCAGCCAGTTCACCAGAACATAATCCGTCAGATGAACATGAAGCACCAAAAGAATCAGCAGAAACAAATGAAACATTGATATTCTCCAGAATTGATAAAAATTCCGCTTTTATGAACGGAACGATGAAACCTGATAATTTTGTTGGACTTTCAACAGAAGCATATCCTTCACGATTTGCAAGCAAAACGCGAATTGGATTCGTCATGAATCAATTGGCCTATTCCACAAGTTTTAATAACATCAACGATCAATTAATATCATATAAATGTCTCTAAGATTCAACATCCATTAATCCTATTAAATTATTCACAAGACTCAATTAAATTAAAATTCTAAATAATTAATTATTATTAATAGTTATTTCTAAACCTTTCTGATGAGTTTCGATACAAAGTTTAGTGATCAATATTTTTTACGATTAACATGAAATTCAATATTAATGTCAAAAGAATGATAGGTTTTCCCCCTGTCACTTGATTAATTAGTTTGATTATCAAATAAAATCGATAGAGCAGATAAAAGAAAACACTTAAGATGATAATTTATTTATTATGATTGTTATCCAATCTCAAGAGCAATTGATCAAAATTAGAAAAGATTAAATTAAAGAAATGAAATCGCTTGATAATAGAAAAGTATTGAAGAACCAGGATCAGGATAATATCAATAGAGTTAATTGTTGATAATATTGAAAAAGTTTTGACAATCGTGATTGAGATAATATCTAATTTCTCATAACGAACAATGAATCAAATTGATTGCATTTGAATTAATAATACAAGTAAAGGGTGTTGCAGCTAAAAATGGTAAATTATCTTACCTTAAATTGTTATAAGGAGATGACGATTTAATTTAATTGTTTACATTTTTCTAGTTCTTATCACAATTTAAGTTATAAGTGCGATTGCACTTATTGGCTCACTAGATGTTTTCGTAGGTTAACAATGTCTTTAGGGGCAGTTTTCAAATCGTAAGCTTGACCAATTAAAGCCATCAGATCAATAAAAGCGGCAAATAAATTAACTTGACCAAACCAGCCATATTCTGAGGCTTTGTAGTCTTGAGGAAAGGTGTGGTGATAATTGTGATAAAATTCACCTACAGGAATCAACCATGTAAATAATTTAGTCTCAACTGAATTGGTCATCTTATCATAAGGTTTATCTCCCCAAAGATGAGCTGCTGAGTTGACTAACCAAGTTCCATGCCATGAAAATACATAGCGAACTCCGTCATTAATAAACAGTGGAATAGTGAGATTTGATAGCAATAGAACGGGATTAGAGTTGGAATGAGAATCAATGTAATGATCAAAAGAAGTGGATAATATTTTGTACTCCAAATTACTACTGGATCACTTAGAACATCGTCCATATCAATTTTAGAAAGTTTTTCTACACTAACTGGATGTCGCTTGACCAACAACCATCCTTGATGAGCGAAAAAGAAACCACGTTTCGCGTTATGAGGATCGGCATCTGTCTCTGAGAACTTATGATGAGTCCGATGGTCACGAACCCAAGTTCCTAGACTTTTTTGACCTGCCGAGGTGAAGGCTAAAGCGAGAAACACTCGCAATGGAGTTTTAGCTTTGAAGGATCGATGAGACCAAAGCCGATGAGCACCCACTCCAACACCGAGACCAGTGAAAAATAAAGCATAGAAAAGCCCTAATAATTGTATAAGATATTACGATGAATTATTAGTATTAAAATATCAAATTTATTAAACTTACCGAATGCCAAAAGTTTAAGAAAATTGTTAATCTCCTCTGGATAATTGATCAGATAAAATATTTCCAATAAAACTGATGAATGGACAAAAAGGTGAAGAAAAATTTGGTCCAAAAGTAATTCATAAACTAAATCATTTTTAGTTTTTGATTCTATTTTCCATTTAATTGTCAACATCGTAGAAATCAAACAATAATATTATTGAATTGTAACTTAACCAATCGACACTTAATGAAAATAAGGAAGACAAGTTTCTGGCTAAGGATTTTTTTCTCAAAACTCTTGAAATTATCATTAATCTAATGAATCTGATCACATGTTGATATTAGCTATTAAATAGCAAGGATACTTAAGCAAGAGAGAGAGAGAGAGAGAGATGATTTGATTAAATCGTAATCAAGCTAAACAGCTAATTTAAGAATCAGACTCAATCAGAAACATTAGAATTAATTATTTCCAAAGAGTCATTAGTCTGCCGAGTCAATTAACATTAGAGTACGTTTATTGTCTGAGCGTAAGCGAAGACCTTACGTCGAAAAATCAAAATTTCGTGGAACGATAGCGATCGTAATTTTGGTCCAATCTTTACCGAATTTTCAGAATAGGTTCAGATGATGGTTCTCATCACCTGTATAGTTTTTGGTGCAGATTGGCCCACTCCCGAAAATTAGTAATTTTTCTTCACGCTAGATAGCGATAGCATCTATCACCATAGTAACGCGCTACCGCTAATTACAAATTTTTTTGATTCTCTTTCTTTTTACTTTCTCTTCTTTCTTTTTTAATTCACTCTTTCTTTTTCTTTCTCTCAGTCTCTTTCTCTCAGTCTCTTTCTCTCAGTCTCTTTCTCTTTCTTCTCTCTCTTCTCTCTCTCTCTTCTCTCTCTCAGTCTCTTTCTCTCAGTCTCTTCTCTCAGTCCTTCTCTCAGTCCTTCTCTCAGTCCTCTCTCTCAGTCTCTTTCTCTCAGTTTCTTTCTCTCAGTTTCTTTCTCTCAGTCCTTTCTCTCAGTCTCTTCTCTCAGTCTCTTTTTTCATTCTTTTCTTTCTTTCTTTCTTCTTCTTCTTCTTTCTTCTCTCAGTCTCTTCTCTCAGTTTCTTTCTTTCTTTTTCTTTCTTCTTTCTCTTTCTCTTTCTCTTTCTTTCTTTCTCTTTCTTTCTTTCTCTTTCTCTTTCTCTCAGTCTCTTTCTCTCAGTCTCTTTCTCTCAGTCTCTTTCTCTCAGTCTCTTTTTTTCATTCTTTTTCTTTCTTTCTCTTCTTTCTCTCCTTTTCCAGCATACACGCGCTCAGACGTTACTGTCGCTGCAGTATGCCTAGTAATATCTTATCATTATGAACTTTTCGTTGTGACGTATGAGCTCTTATATCATCTGAGATTCGTTTGCAGCAAAAAGAGATTAAAACTCTCTCTCTCTTTGTTTATTTTATCTAATATAAAGTTTAAAATAACGGGAATGGGACATGGGACTGATTCGGTTGCAATAAAATTTGACTTTGAGCCTCAAGCGATGTATTACATATGAAGGAACCTTCAACAAATGAAAGAGATTTGAACTCTTGTCTTTGAGTCTTCGTCCCTGGAAAATTAGTTAAGAGATTTGGACACTGACAATCCAAGTAATAAATGGCCTGAGATCAAAATGACGAAAGAAATGAATGAATAATTGATCGTAATTGGAGCAACTGATTTTTGTTTTATCAATTTGAATATTTAGACACGATTGAGGAGCATTCAGAATATTGATAATTTTCAGTAAAATTTTGATCAGATTTAAACTCTGAACAGTTTGGGTCATCTTTGGTGTTAATTGAGTATCCAGAATATTTGAATAATAAATGAGTGATTTTTATAACTTATTTATTACATGTATGAAATTAGGTGATGATTAGGTTATGAAATTTTAAGGACAATTAATTTGAGGAGAAAAGATCAAATTATAATTACATGTAAATCACTTAAATGCAATTGATTCGTTGTAATGTATCGAACAGCCGAGAATCAGGATAACAGTGAACAATTGATCTAATGAGTATTTCAGTATTTAACTTGACAGGAACAGTTTTCAAGTCATATGATTGACCAATAAATTCATTTGACAGTTTTGTCAGTTTTGAAAATTTATCGAAAATTTTGTAGACTGTATTGATTGTAGAATACACGATGAAAATTTCGATGCAACTCATTGTTAGCTAAATTTTCGTCTTTCGTATTAATGTAATAATCGATTTGTCGATTATGTTTTTGGCAATAATCTTTAATGGCTTGAATATTATTCGGATCTTTAGACATGGAGTCCGATCCAAACACCAGAGTTGATAGATGAGGTAGCAATTTGATAACTTCAATCTCAACTGATTCTGAAACATTTGAATGAACACAAAGATATCGACAGTTTGGAAATTTTTCAACAGTCTGAATTATGAACTCGTCGTGGAACTATGAAAATTAGAAAAAGAAAATGGATTAATATTAATTGTTGTTTAGATATTTGCAACTTCTTACCCATGCACTGATCGTAATTTCCAATCCAATTACGTTGTAATTTTTGTCAATTCGATCGAATCGAATCGGATCTCGGTAGACAGTTATCTTGATAGCGAGATATTGTAGATTTGGGCAAAAGTTCAAGAATTTAAGTGTCCAGCAATCGCTCAAACAGTTTCCAATATCAAGATATTGAAGCTTTTCAAGCACCGGAATCTTGTATTTATACTCAGCACAATCTAAAGAGAGCGAATCGAAAATCAATAAGTTTGGAAATTTAATGCTAAGAACTTACGTTTAGTTTCAGATTCGTGGTCACAGTAAACAGAAAGAGTTTTGAGATTTGTCATGAATTTGGAAAATTTTCCAACATGGATGAACCTTACATGGCCTCCGACTGCAGAATTGCCGAGTGTTCTCAATTTCTTCAGATGACCAAATGCCTTGAAATAGCTTCGTATCACCTCATCAAAGTGAGTCGCTAGAACTTTGATCTCACCTAGAAACGGTGTTATAAGCTCATTCACACTTCTCATGAGCTTACATTTATGTCGTTCGTTGTATTCATAATTGTAAAAACATAAGCCTTCAATTGGATTCGCGTTAGCAAGTAGATGAGCTAAAGTAGAGCAAGAACATGGATTCTTTGAGCTTTGAAAATTGATCGTCTGAAAAACAATGAGAATCAATGAGAGAAACTATTTTACTTCTGCGATTAATTAACTTACCTTTACATTGGGAAGAAGTTCAGTGAGACGGATTTTCTCAAGCAAATTCATGTTTTCTGTAGAAACACATTTACCCACCACTTGAAGGCGAAAACACTGTGGAAAATCAGAATCCAGACAAGTACCTACAGTTGTTGATGTGACAGAAAAACCCGTGAGGTTAGATGGACAATAGATTAACATGATTTTACTTACAATCGAAGTGTTTGACTTTTTTTAATCGAATTTGAATCAAAGTTTTCCACCGAGAACAAACTGTCAAATGAATGAAAACGAAAGTATTGTAACATGGGCTCGAGAGAAAACACTCTTCAGACTTTTCTCACCTTTCATCAATTTTGGAAATTGCTGGAGATCATGAAACTGGTCGAAGATCATAAGTAAACAATCATTAGGTAAATCGTTGATTCTCATTGTGGTGACAAATTAACTTTACACAATCCAATTGGAATGATGTTAATCAGTAGGAAATCAATCAAGTAGTCGTAGAAATAAAAAAGTATAATGGTGATCTGATTCATCCAAAAGTTGTAATTTGGTTACATTTGAACTTTAAACTAATCAGAATCTGATTATCAGATGATTAGATACAAAAGTTAATCGTTTAACCACCCGCGCTTTTTGAATCCAGATGATTATCAATTCAACCGCTACAATTTAATTTATTACAGTAGTGATTTCACTTAGAGCAACAACGAATTCATAGTCTCCCCCTAGCGGATTAGTGTCATTAGGCTTGGAAAAGGTAAAAGGTTAGTTCACCTTTTTTTATAAGAAATTAACCTTTTTGGTTATGTAGAGGGCGCTGAAATTTGCTCTAAGTGAAGTTGCTAGCCAATTGGTTAGTGTCGTGGACTCTGGTCTACGATGACACGGGTTCAATCCCGGCTTGACTACCTTCCCTCAATTGTAATTGTCAAATAGACGGATTAAAAATTTAAAAACAAAAAGAAAAATTGTATTTCGAATTGGCGCTGTTAAGCCAATCTCCCCTAAATGGGAACCTGTAACCCTGAAAAATAATAAATGTTCTAAGTGAAATCACTACTGTACTAAAATAGGGAATACTTGATGGACAATTAATCAATTGGACTCGATATTTGACGTTTAAAGACAATTTTTAATAAAAGAATCAATACAGAATGTATAAGCTTGATCATCATAACTGTTTTTTTATTTGACCTTCAAAGGTCATAAATGCTTTAAAAAGCAAATTAAATACATTAACCTCACATTTTCTTGAGAAATTAATTGATCCCAATTTAACCTCTCATTTTCTTGAAAAATTAAATGATCCTAATTTAACCTTAGAAGTTGACAAAATGTTAATCATGATACAATTATGGATCCAATCAAAGTCTCTCAGTGTTGATTGTGATCAAGCCAAAAAGAAGAGGCAAAATGATCCTAATTACGAACCCATACATAATATTTTAATTAGTTGGATTTTTTTTATTGTTAGGTTCGATTATAAATGGAGAGTTAAAACGTACAATCTTTACACTTCATTTATGTAGAAAGTGATTAAAAAACAATCGATTAAGTTCATGAAACATAAATAGTTTCGCATTTGTAGAACCAAAATAAACATCGATTTTACGATTTTGTGAGTGACAAAAGTTTTTCACGACTTGTTGATCTGCTGAATCTCTCCCGGCATGTTCGATCAACAATAATGACAAATGAGGTAATGTACTAATTATATGGATCAATTCATCTGAAGATAGCGAAGATTCACCCCTAATACTTAAGTATCGACAGTTTGGAAACTTTTCAATAGTTTTGATCATCTTTTCTGAATTCTGTTATAATTTAGAAAAAAAGAAGTGAAATCGTTAGCTGGTGGTTGAACAACTGCTTGTTAATGGAAATCTTACCCAGCGAAAAATAAATAAATCCAATCTTTGTACATTAAAATTTCTGTTGATTTGATGCATTAGATCCATTCGATAAGAATTCACAATCAGAAAAAGGTTGAGTACATTTGGACACAAGTTCAAGAATTTTGTAAGAGTATATGACCCACCACTTGAAGTATCTACAAGCTGAAGATCTAAAAGATTTCCAAATATCGGTAATTGATTTTCAACCTGAAAAAAATCTATTAAACGATGAAAGAGATTTGGTCAAATTTTTATATCGAGATGATGGAAAACTTACCATCAGATTCATGATCACAAAAAGTAACAAGTCGCTCGAGATTCGTCAAAAATTGGGCGAATTTCAGAACATGGAGTAAATTCACATACTGGGAGTGCTTTTCAATAGAATTTCCAAGAGATTTCAATTTCTTAAGATGACCAAAAGTTCTGAGATAACCTGTAACTATTAGATCATTACCGATTCCTAGGAATTGAATATCACTCAAAAATGATGTTATTCTTTTTTCTTCTCTTTTCAAGATGTTACATTCGTGGTTCATTTCAAAGCGATGTTTATATTTCAATTCAAGCCCAACACTCAATCCTTTAATTTGTTTCGTTTTGGCAAGTAAATTAATTAATGCAGAACAAGAACATTGCTTAGTGAGATTTTCAAGATGGATTATCTATATGATGAGAATAAATTTCAAATTAAAAAGATGAATGAAACAAGTTTCGTTTAATAAAACTTTTTTTTTACCTTAACATTAGGAAGAAGTTTAGAGAGTTTAATTTTCATCAAGAACTTTCTGCTTATTGTGATGTTACATTTACGAGCTAATGGAAGATGATTTTGTTCAAGCGAATGATCAATCCGCCTTAATCGAGTGGCCAATGTAACTATGGGTTAAATTTGGTAGGAAGTCTCATTAATGTCTATTTAAATCAACAGAAATCAATAATTACCATGAAAGTGAGTGATCTTCTTCAGTCTCTTTTCCGCTAATATCTTCCAGCGACGACAAACTGTAATTACAGCAATTAATTAACATTCAAGTATCAATTGAATAGACGACTACGATTGAGTTATATGGTCTTTATGATAGAAATCAATAGTTTCCACTTACTTTTCATCAATGTAGCAAATTGTCGCAATTGATAAAACTGATCAAAAATCAAAAGTGAACAATCATCAGGCAAATCATTGATATTCATTGTTGAAAGTTACATAAAACAATCTAAAAAATAAACCACACGATAAAAGATACAGAAAGAACTTTTCTTGACCGAAAAACTTGGTTGTTTGAAATTCAAATTTCTTGTTGAAAATTTAACCTGTCAACCTAACTGGTGGTCAGTTACTGACCATTTGAAAAGTTTATCTCTATCCCCGCGCCTTTCAAATCAATGTTTCATTGTCATTCCGAATGCTATTTGCTTGAATGGACAATTTATGGCTTGTCCAAATTATAATTCCTAACGCATTCATACATTGGAATAATTTTTTGTAGTAAATTTGGACAAAGCTCGACGATAATTAGCCATTTTGGTAAGTGGCTAAATGGCTAATAGCCAGCTAATCAAATCTTAAGTTAAGATTCTTAACTGCCAGTATGATGGTAAACATGATTGTAAGGAAAATCCAATTTGTTTACAGATGAAATTCATTGATTGAATGATCAATTTCTTTTTGGCGCTAATCACTTGTGCCAATGCTTGAGCGGCAAGATCATGAATCTTTGCAACAGGTGATTTGAAACATAGAGACTCAAGAGGTTCCTTGTAGGCTAACCGGAATCAACTCGATCACCAAGATCTTCGTTGATCTTTCATTAGAGCTCGAATCACATTCAAACAATGAACTTTCTGCCAATCTTCAGCTGATTGTTTGGAACAAATTTCAACCAACCTGTTGATTACATGACCAAGTAATTTGTTTCGATTCTCTTTTGGTTCAGAAGAAACAATCGCTTGAGTAACAAAAGGTAAACCAGCACTTCGACGGGTAATACACTTTGGTCCACTCGATTCGATTCCTTGACTTTCGTTGGCAAGATCGGCGAGAATCTCATCAAGCAGAGATTCGACCACTTTCAAACACGAACAAGGTTTTCTCCAGATACACTTGACCACCATAGAGAAACCAGTGTAAGCTTGTTCAAAGCACCACGATGCTTGAGCTCCTTTAGATGATGAACAAAATAGTTTAGAACCTTTTCCACGAAACAACAATCAATGATTGTCGATGATGGAGGACATGATTTTAGATCAATCGGACTGTGGTCAAGTTTTTCACAAATTTTTCCAAGAATTAGAGATGATTCTTTGATTGTTTTCCAACCGAAAATCAGCAACATTTGAGAGGTTATATCAAGACGCTTTTCAGCGACAATTGGACTAGATGGACATTCACGTCCCATTATTTTGTTAACTAATTCATCGTCAAGTGGTTTCAGGTCCATTGGTAAAAATCCTTCAGGTGAATCATTACAAACGATACAACTGACCACTTCACTTGCATCGAAACAAATTTTACTGATACGATCAATTAATATGATCCATTCTGGTTGACGTAAAGTGAAACAATCAAGGTCAAGAGATTCATTTAATCCATGGATAGATGTTAATCTACTTTGGATTGGATTATAAAAAGCACCATCGATAATTGACTCTTTGGTCTCAAGAATCGCTTCTCAATCTGATCAGTTAAGATTCCGAGTAAATCAAGATTAATGTCAATTCGAGCAGCATCGAGAGAGACAATTTTGGTTAAATATCGGAACAGGTGAGATGGTTAGCTAACATTGATCGGATTAATATCGAATAACATTTTTTATTTTATCAATCGAATTTTTTGCATTCAAATTAAACGAAAGGTCAATTACAAACGAAAATACTTCTAGATTTAACCTAAAGTTATTCTGCAAGTTGATTCCTCTATTAATTTAATAAAAATTCGAGGCCAAAACACCGTTAAAACGCTTTCAAGACGAATTTCAAATTTTGATAGGGATAACAATTAATCAATTGGACACGATATTTGACAACTAAAGACAATTTCCAATAAAAGAACCGATATCAACTGATTTTTTGTTAGACCTTCAAAGGTCAAAAATGCTTTGAGAAGCGAATAAAATACATTAACCTCTCATTTTCTTGAGAAATTATGTATCCAATCAAAATCTCTCTGTGTTGATTGTGATCAAGACAAAAGATTATACAAAACGATATTAATTACGAAGAGTTAAGAGTAAGAAACGTTTAATCCTTAGAGTTCATTTATAAAAAAAATGAATTGTGAAACTTTCGATAAAGTTCATGAGACATCAATAGTTCCTCATCTGTAGAACCAAAATAAACATCAATCTTAGGATTTTGTGAATGACAATAGTATTTGACGATTTGTTTTTCAGCTAAATCTGTCAAATCATTTTCGATCAGCAATAGTGATAAATGAGGCAGTATACTTATAATCTGGATCAAATCCCGTGAAGATATTGAAACAGAACACCAGATACTCAAGTACCGCAAGTTTGGAAAGTTTTCAATAGTTTTTAGTATTAAAATCTTTTGTCGAACCTGTTATAATTTGAAAGAAAAAAGCGAAATCGAAATTAATCTTGATGGTTTAACAGATAATATTTTGTGGCTATTAAAGTCTTACCGTAAGACGTAAATTCAATCTTTGGACATTTAAGTTTTTGTTGATTTGATGAATTTCATGAACTCCAGGATAATAACGAATAGTCAGAGAAAGGTCGAGTAAATTTGGACACGAGTTCAAGAATTTTGTGGAAGTACATCCATCACTTGAACTGAGCCAAAGATGTAAAAGATTTCCAAATATCGGTATTAGGTTTAGAGTATATGACCTATCTCTTGGAGCATCTACAAACTGAAGATCTAAAAGATCTCCAAATCTCCAATGATTTTCGTCGAAAACAAAATCTAATAAAAGATAAAAGAGATTTAGTCAAATTTTGATATCGAGATAATGGGAAACTTACCATTATCAAACTCTTCATTACCAATATTAAGAGGTCCACCACCAAAATCACCACAAAAAGTAACAAGTCGCTCGATATTCGTCAGAAATTGGGCGAAGTCTAAAACATGGCGTAAATTTACGGCCTGGAAATTATTTCCAAAAGAATTTCCAAGAGATTTCAATTTTTTGAGATGACCAAATCTTTTAGATAACTTGTAATCAGCAGGTCATTACTATTTCCTAGAAATTGAATATCACTTAGGAATGATGTTATTGTTTTTTCTTCTCTTTTCAAGGTGTCACATTTGTGTTCCACTTCAAATCGATAACCAAACCGACTAGTTAGGACCCGACGACGTGATTCGAGCTCAACACTCAAGCCATTAATTTTATTCACGTTGGCGAGTGAATGAGCTAATGCAGCACAGGAACAGTTCTGAGTCAGATTTTCAATATGGATTACCTAACATGGAATGAGAATAAATTTCAAATTAATATCATCGATAAACAAAGTTTTGTCTATGCATAACTTACCTTAACATTAGGAAGAAGTTCAGAGAGTTTAATTTTCATCAAGGAGTCTTGGCTTATTTTGAGAATACATCTATGAGCCAATAGAAAATGACTTTGTTGAAGTGAATAGTCAATCTGCATTGATGGAGTAGCCAATGTAACTATAGTCGGTATAAAATCCTCATTAATATTTCATTCAAATCAATAGAAATCAAAATAATTCTTACCGTTCAAGTGAGTGATCTTCTCCAGTCTATTTTCCATTAAATTTTTCCAGCGACGACAAACTGTAAATACATGAATTTATTACCATTCAACTTAGTACTAGTGATTAATTTAGATGATCTTCATGAAATGAATCAATCATTTCCACTTACCTTTCATCAATGTAACGAACTGTCTGAATTGATGAAACTGATCAAAAATCAAAAGTAAACAAATATCAGGTAAATCACTGAGACTCATTATTGAAAGTTGAATGGAACAATTTAAACAATAATTGACTTGAAAGATACAAAAGGTTGAAAGCTGTCAATTAATTATCAAAAAGTCGTAGAAAATGAATCGAATGAAACAATCAAACTTTGATTGTTTTGATTATCAGAACAATAATTCAATTGTTAGAAGATACTCAACTTTTTCTTTTTTACTCTTTTGGACACCAACTGATTATTTACAGAGATGAATCAGCTGGTTATATCGAAAGAGTTCATCTCTGCCCAACCCGCGACCTTTAAATCAATAATTAACTTGTAATTCTGCCAATTCTGGACATGAAAGATATTCAACCATCATGATGATTGTAAGGAAGATCCAATTAATGATCAGAAATCAATCAGTGACCATGATGATGATAAAGAAAGATTTTTCGATAAAAGTAAAATTAATTTCATCGAAGATCCAATCCAGTTAATTACAATTGGTAAAGTTTATTTAGAACAATTAATTTCTTCAGTTGATTGTAACTTTTTCCATTCATCTCTTACCTGGAAAATCATTTATTAATACAATTATCCTGTTTAAACAAATGCATACGGAATGACGATGAAACATTGATTTGAAAGGCGCGGGTGGATAGAGATAAACTCTTCAAGTGGTCAGTAACTGACCACCAGTTAAGTTGACAGGTTAAATTTTCCACAAGAAATTTGAATTTCAAACCACCAAAGTTTTTCGGTCAAGAAAAGTTCTTTGTTTCTTTTATCGTGTGGTTTATTTTTTAGATTGTTTCATGTAACTTTCAACAATGAATATCAACGATTTACCTGATGATTGTTTACTTTTGATTTTTGATCAGTTTTATCAATTGCGACAATTTCCAATATTGATGAAAGGTAAGTGGAAATGATTGATTCATTCAATATAAATCACTATTCTTAATCAATAGCTTCATGTTGAATTGATATTTTGATTCTAATGAGTTAATGTAATTAAAGTTTGTAGACGCTGGAAAATATCAGCGGAAAAGAGACTGAGGAAGATCACTCACTTTGATGGTAAGTATTGATTTCTGTTGATTTAAATAAACATTAATGAGACTTTCTGCCAAATTTAAACTATAGTTACATTGACCACTCGATTAAGGCGAATTTATCATTCGCTTGAACAAAATCATCTTCCATTAGCTCGTAAATGTATCATCACAATAAACAGAAAGTTCTTGAGGAAAATTAAACTCTCTAAACTTCTTCCTAATGTTAAGGTAAAAAAAAAGTTTTATTAAACGAAACTTGTTTCATTCGTCTTTTTAATTTGAAATTTATTCACATTATATAGATAATCCATCTTGAAAATCTCACTAAGCAATGTTCTTGTTCTGCATTAATTAATTTACTTGCCAAAACGCAACAAATTAAAGGATTGAGTGTTGGGCTTGAATTGAAATATAAACATCGCTTTGAAATGAACCACGAATGTAACATTTTGAAAAGAGAAGAAAAAAGAATAACATCATTTTTGAGTGATATTCAATTTCTAGGAATCGGAAATGATCTAATAGTCACAAATTATCTCAGGACATTTGGTCATCTTAAGAAATTGAAATCTCTTGGAAATTCTATTGAAAAGCACTCCCAGTATGTGAATTTACTCCATGTTCTGAAATTCTCCCAATTTTTGACGAATCTCGAACGACTTGTTACTTTTTGTGATCATGAATCTGATGGTAAGTTTAGCATCATCTCGATATCAAAATTTGACCAAATCTCTTTCATCTTTTAATAGATTTTTTTCACGTCGAAAATCAATTACCGATATTTGGAAATCTTTTAGATCTTCAGCTTGTAGATACTTCAAGAGAAGGGTCATATACTCTCACAAAATTCTTGAACTTGTGTCCAAATGTACTCAACCTTTTTCTGATTGTGAATTCTTATCGAATGGATCTAATGCATCAAATCAACAGAAATTTTAATGTACAAAGATTGGATTTATTTATTTTTCGCTGGGTAAGATTTCCATAAACAATCATTTGTTCAGCCACCAGCTAACGATTTCGCTTCTTTTTTTCTAAATTATAACAGAATTCAGAAAAGATAATCAAAACTATTGAAAAGTTTCCAAACTGTCGATACTTAAGTATCAGGGGTGAAACTTCGCTATCTTCACATGAATTGATCCATATAATTAGAACATTACCTCATTTGTCATTATTGTTGATCGAACATGCCGGGAGAGATTCAGCAGATCAACAAGTCGTGAAAAACTTTTGTCACTCACAAAATCGTAAAATCGATGTTTATTTTGGTTCTACAAATGCGAAACTATTTATGTCTCATGAACTTAATCAATTGTTGTTTAATCACTTTCTACATAAATGAAGTGTAAAGATTGTACGTTTTAACTCTCCATTTATAATCGAACCTAACAATAAAAAAAATCCAACTAATTTAAATATAATGTATGGGTTCGTAATTAGGATCATTTTGTCTCTTCTTTTTGGCTTGATCACAATCAACACTGAGAGAATTTGATTTGATCCATAATTGTGTCATGATCAAAATTTTGTTAACTTCTAAGGTTAAATTAGGATCATTTAATTTCTCAAGAAAATGAGAGTTTGACGAATTTAATTTGCTTGCAAATCATGAAAATGATCAACTAATCCACTTGTTGATTGGTTGTTTTTCCAGCTAAGAGATGAATGGAAAAAGTTACAATCAACTGAAGAAATTAATTGTTCTAAATAAACTTTACCAATTGTAATTAACTGGATTGGATCTTCAATGAAATTAATTTTACTTTTATCGAAAAATCTTTCTTTATCATCATCATGATCACTTATTGATTTTTGATCATTAATTAGATTAAATAAAACCACTCGAAGTGAATCTCTTTTATCAAGATTGGTGAATATACTTGATAACAATTTAAATGAACAATTTAAAAGTGAACCTTAGGAAAGTTGATTAGTCGGTGGTTGATTTTATCTTTATTATTATTTATGTTGATACTGAGAGACTGAGAGAGAGTTTCGTTTAATAAAACTTTTTTTTTACCTTAACATTAGGAAAAAGTTTAGAGAGTTTAATTTTCATCAAGAACTTTCTGCTTATTGTGATGATACATTTATGAGCTAATAGAAGATGATTTTGTTGCAATCCGCCTTAATCGAGTGGCCAATGTAACTATGGGTTAAATTTGGTAGGAAGTCTCATTAATGTCTATTTAAATCAACAGAAATCAATACTTACCATGAAAGTGAGTGATCTTCCTCAGTCTCTTTTCCGCTAATATCTTCCAGCGACGACAAACTGTAATTAAAGCAATTAGCATTCAAATATCAATTGAATAGACAACTACGATTAAGTTAGATGATCTTTATGATAGAAATCAATAATTTCCACCTACCTTCCATAAATGTAGCAAATTGTCGCAATTGATAAAAGTGATCAAAAATCAAAAGTAATTAATCATCAGGTAAATCGTTGATATTCATTGTTAAAAGTTACATGAAATCTAAAAAATAAACCACACGATAAAAGAAACAAAGAACTTTTCTTGACCGAAAAACTTTGGTGGTTTGAAATTCAAATTTCTTGTGGAAAATTTAACCTGTCAACTCCAACTGACGGTCAGTTACTGACCATTTGAATAGTTTATCTCTATCGAACCGCGCCTTTCAAATCAATGTTTCATTCTCATTCCGTATACTATTTGTTTAAACAGGACAATTTATGGCTTGTCTAAATTATAATTCCTGACTCATTCATACATTGGAATAATTGTTTGTAGTAAATTTGGACAAAGCTCGGTGAATTTAGTAGATTAACAAGTGTCTTTATCATCGTGTTAGATAAGTTTGTTTACATTGTTAGTTTCAAATAAAACACTTTACAATCATACCAATCGGGATATGAAGAATTACTTTCGACCTCGATTGCATAACTTAAATGTATTAATGAATACATGGAGTATTACATGAATTTTTGAATTATTATTTGCAATTGAAGCGACTGATTCTTTTTATCAACTTGAATCTCGAGACAAGGTTAGAGCTTATTCGGGTATTTTAAAACAGCTCGATTCTTCTTGTTAGGTTGGATTATAAATGTAGAATCAGAAACTTTTAATCCTTAGACTTCATTTATGTAGAAATGGATTATCAAACTTTCGATAAAGTTCATTAGACATCATTAGTTCCTTATTTGAATAACCAAAGTAAACATCAATTTTAGGATTTTGCGAGTGACAATAGTTTTTGATGATTTGTGTTTTTGCTAAATCGGTGCAATCATTTTTGACATGCAATAATGACAAATGAGGTAATGTACTTATAATCTGTATCAAATCTTGTGAGGGTAGTAAACATGAACTACAGATACTCAAATATCGACAGTTCGGAAACTTTTCAGTGGTTGTTAGCATCTTTTCTTGATCCTGCTATAATTTAAAAGAAAGAAGCGAAATTGTTAGTTAGCTTTGATAGTTTACCAAATAATTATTAGTGGCTATTAAATTCTTACCGCATAAAATTGTAAATCCAATCTTTGGACATTGAAGTTTCTGTTGATTTGACGAATTTGATCAATTTTAGCAAAATACACACTCAGAGAAAGGTTGATTAAATTTGGACACAAGTTCAAAAATTTTGTGAAAGTAGATCCATCATTTGAAATACTTTCAAGACGAAGATGTAAAATATTGTTAAATATCGGTAATTGGTCTTGGACGCAAACAAAATCTAATAAAAGATAAACGAGATTTAGTCAAATTTTGTTATCGAGATAATAACAAACTTACCATCAGACTCATCGTTACAAAAAGCAACAAGTCGCTCGAGATTCGTCAAAAATTGGGCAAATTTAAGAACATGGAGTGAATTTACAGGATAGAAGTAATTTGAAGAACCAAGAGATTTCAATTTCTTAAGATGACCAAAAGTTCTGAGATAACTTGTAACTATTAAGTCATTACTAATTCCTAAAAATTCAATATCACTCAGAAATGATGTTAACCTTTTTTCTTCTCTTTTTAAAATTTTACATTCATGACTTTTATCATAGCGACTATAATTCTTAAGCCTTGATTCAAGCTCAACGCTCAAGCCTTTAATTTGATTCGCTTTGGACAGTAAATGAACTAATGCAGAGCAAAGACAGTTTTGAGCGTAATTTTCAAGATGGATTATCTATATGATGAGAATAAATTTCAAATTAAAAAGACGAATGAAACAAGTTTCGTTTAATAAAACTTTTTTTTTACCTTAACATTAGGAAAAAGTTTAGAGAGTTTAATTTTCATCAAGAACTTTCTGCTTATTGTGATGATACATTTACGAGCTAATAGAAGATTATTTTGTTCAAGCGAATGATCAATCCGCCTTAATCGAGTGGCCAATGTAACTATGGGTTAAATTTGGTAGGAAGTCTCATTAATGTCTATGCAAATCAACAGAAATCAATACTTACCATCAAAGTGAGTGATCTTCTTCAGTCTCTTTTCTACTAATATCTTCCAGCGGCGACAAACTGTAATTACAGCAATTAATTAGCATTCAAATATCAATTGAATGGACAACTACGATTAAGTTAGATGATCTTTATGATAGAAATCAATAATTTCCACTTACCTTTCATAAATGTAGCAAATTGTCGCAATTGATAAAAGTGATCAAAAATCAAAAGTAAACAATCATCAGGCAAATCGTTGATATTCATTGTTGAAAGTTGCATGAAACAATCTAATCAATTATTAAAAGATTTGCGACTTTCAAAGTCTCTTTAGAACACAAACTTGGATCAGCAGATTACACGGCAAGAGATTATCGCTGCCCACCCGCGATCTTTAAATCGATCATTTTATTGTAATTCTGTAAATTTCAATCCACACCGAGAGACTTTGATTGGATCCATAATTGTATCATGATCAACATTTTGTTAACTTCTAAGGTTAAATTAGGATCATTTAATTTTTCAAGAAAAGGAGAGTTTAACGAATTTAATTTGCTTTGCAAATCGTGTGGATAATCAACTACTGTAATCCACTTGATGATTGCTTGTTTTCCCATGTAAGAGATGAATGGAAAAAGTTACAATCAACTGAAGAAATTAATTGTTCTAAATAAACTTTACCAATTGTAATTAACTGGATTGGATCTTCGATGAAATTAATTTTACTTTTATCGAAAAATCTTTCTTTATCATCATCATGACCACTGATTGATTTTTGATCATTAATTAGATTAAATAAAACCACTCGAAGTGAATCTCTTTTATCAAGATTGGTGAATATACTTGATAACAATTGAAATGAACAATTTAAAAGTGAACCTTGGGGAAGTTGATTAGTCGGTGGTTGAAAGTAATCAATATTTGTTAAGCTTCTCATGGTACATCATTCCCGATGATGAATTGATCTGATGATTGTAAGGAAGATCCAATTAGTTCATTTGTTTACAGATGAATCATCATAAATATGAATAAGATAAGGTGGATTTTTCAGTTAAGATTATGCTCAGGCTAAGAGGAGTCTATGAAAGGTTAAGGTATCAAAAAATTCAGCTAAAAATCCTACAAAACGGAAAATTAGTCCGAACGAAATCTGAGCACCCATTCATGAGAAATTCAGATTCCAAATTTATATTGTACGCAAGCGCAGTTTGACTTTTTAAGAGCGCTAAATTCAAAAAGAAAGAGAAGAGAGAGAGAAAGAGAAGAGAGAGAGAAAGAGAAGAGAGAGGAGAGAGAGAGAGAGAGAGAGAGAAAGAGAAGAGAGAGAGAAGAGAGAGAGAGAGAGAGAGAGAGAGAGAGAGAAGAGAGAGAAAGAGAAGAGAGAGAGAAAGAGAGAGAGAGAAAGAGAGAGAGAAAGAGAAGAAAGAGAGAAAGAGAAGAGAGAGAGAAAGAAGAGAGAGAAAGAGAAGAGAGAGAAGAGAAGAGAGAGAGAAAGAGAGAGAGAGAGAAGAGAGAGAGAAAGAGAAGAGAGAGAGAAAGAGAAGAGAGAGAGAAAGAGAAGAGAGAGAGAAAGAGAGAGAGAGAAAGAAGAGAGAGAGAGAGAGAAGAGAGAGAGAGAGAGAGAGAAAGAGAAGAGAGAGAGAGAAGAGAGAGAGAGAAGAGAAGAGAGAGAAGAGAAGAGAGAGAGAAAGAGAAGAGAGAGAGAAGAGAGAGGAGAAAGAGAAGAGAGAGAGAGAAAGAGAAGAGAGAGAGAGAGAGAGAGAGAGAGAGAGAGAGAGAGAAAGAGAAGAGAGAGAGAAAGAGAAGAGAGAGAAAGAGAAGAGAGAGAGAGAAGAGAAGAGAGAGAGAGAGAGAGAGAGAGAGAGAGAAGAGAGAGAGAAAGAGAAGAGAGAGAGAAAGAGAAGAGAGAGAGAAAGAGAAGAGAGAGAGAGAGAAAGAGAAGAGAGAGAAAGAGAAGAGAGAGAGAGAAGAGAGAGAGAGAAGAGAGAGAGAGAAAGAGAAGAGACGAGAGAGAAAGAGAAGAGAGAGAGAGAAGAGAGAGAAAGAGACGAGAGAGAAAGAGAAGAGACGAGAGAGAAAGAGAAGAGAGAGAGAGAAAGAGAAGAGAGAGAGAAAGAGAAGAGAGAGAAGAGAGAAGAGAGAGAGAGAAGAGAGAGAGAGAGAAGAGAGAGAGAAAGAGAAGAGAGAGAAAGAGAAGAGAGAGAAAGAGACGAGAGAGAAAGAGAAGAGACGAGAGAAAGAGAAGAGAGAGAGAGAGAAAGAGAAGAGAGAGAGAGAGAGAAGAGAGAGAGAGAAAGAGAAGAGAGAGAGAAGAGAGAGAAGAGAGAGAGAGAGAAAGAGAAGAGAGAGAGAGAGACGAGAGCTAAAGAGAAAAGAAATTTCTTTTCGAATCCACGATTAAGAAATCATTTAAAAGAATGATTCTCATTTAATTATCCTAAATCCACGGGTCTCTCAAACAACCTTAACAAACTTTCGTAAGAAAGTTTGTTCCCGCTTGTAAATATGAATAAGATAAGGTGGATTTTTCAGTTAAGATTATGCTCAGGCTAAGAGGAGTCTATGAAAGGTTAAGGTATCAAAAAATTCAGCTAAAAATCCTACAAAACGGAAAATTAGTCCGAACGAAATCTGAGCACCCATTCATGAGAAATTCAGATTCAAAATTTATATTGTACGCAAGCGCAGTTTGACTTTTTAAGAGCGCTAAATTCAATAAGAAAGAGATGAGAGAGAAAGAAAGAGAAGAGAGAGAAAGAGATGAGAGAGAAAGAGATGAGAGAGAAAGAGATGAGAGAGAAAGAGATGAGAGAGAAAGAGATGAGAGAGAAAGAGATGAGAGAGAAAGAGAGAGAAAGAGAGAGAAAGAGAGAGAAAGAGATGAGAGAGAAAGAGAGAGAGAAAGAGAGAAAGAGAAAGAGATGAGAGAGAGATGAGAGAGAAAGAGATGAGAGAGAAAGAGAGAGAAAGAGAGAGAGAAAGAGAGAAAGAGAAAGAGAGAGAGAAAGAGAGAAAGAGAAAGAGAAAGAGAAAGAAAGAGAGAAAGAGAGAGAGAGAGAAAGAGAGAGAAAGAGAAAGAAAGAGAGAGAAAGAAATTTATTTTCGAATCCATTATTAAGAAATCATTTAAAAGAATGATTCTCATTTAATTATCCTAAATCCACGGGTCTCTCAAACAACCTTAACAAACTTTCGTAAGAAAGTTTGTTCCCGCTTGTTCTATTGATTGAAAGATCAATTTCTCTTCGGCGCTGATCACTTGACCACCATAGAGAAACCAGTGTAAGCTTGTTCAAAGGCCCCACGATGCTTGAGCTCCTTTAGATGATGAACAAAATAGTTTAGAACCTTTTCCACGAAACAGCAATAAATGATTGTCGAATTAGAGATGATTCTTTGATTGTTTTCCAACCGAAAATCAGCAACATTTGAGGGGTTATATCAAGACGCTTTTACGCGACAATTGGACTAGATGGACATTCACGTCCCATTATTTTGTTAACTAATTCATCGTCAAGTGGTTTCAGGTCCATGGGTAAAAATCCTTCAGGTGAATCATTACAAACGATACAACTGATTTTTGACCTTGCCCTTTTTACCTCATCTTATCCGAGATTTGGTCTCAACAGAACAATTCATCATTGAAAATGTTGTACCATGAGAAGCTCGACAAATATTGTAAAAAATGCATACATGTGTCATCAGTTAGCTTTAATTTACTTTCAACCACCGACTAATCAACTTCCCCAAGGTTCACTTTTAAATTGTTCATTTCAATTGTTATCAAGTATATTCACAAATCTTGATAAAAGAGATTCACTTCGAGTGGTTTTATTTAATCTAATTAATGATCAAAAATCAATAAGTGATCATGATGATGATAAAGAAAGATTTTTCGATAAAAGTAAAATTAATTTCATCGAAGATCCAATCCAGTTAATTACAATTGGTAAAGTTTATTTGGAACAATTAATTTCTTCAGTTGATTGTAACTTTTTTCATTCATCTCTTACCTGGAAAAACAATCAATCAACAGGTGGACAACAACAAAGTGGATTAGTTGATTATTTTCACGATTTGCAAAACAAATTAAATTCGTTAACCTCTCATTTTCTTGAAAAATTAAATGATCCTAATTTAACCTTAGAAGTTAACAAAATGTTGATCATGATACAATTATGGATCCAATCAAAGTCTCTCTGTGTTGATTGTGATCAAGCCAAAAAGATGATCAAAAATGTATTGGAAATTAACAACTACCAATCCAAAGTAATCTTTTCAATTGCTGGTGAAATTAAATCACTAAACAATCTGCTAACTAATCATATTTAAAATTTCTGTAAATTTGGTCACTTCACTTTTATAAAGTTGATCAGTTTTATTTTTGTTGGTAGCCTGGACTACAAATGGAAAATCAGAAATGTTTAATCCGTAGACTTCATTTATATAGAAATGAATTATGAAACTTTCGATAAAGTTCGTGAGACATCATTAGTTTGTCATCTGTAGAACCAAAGTAAACATCGATTTTACGATTTTGGGAGTGACAATAACTTTTCACTATTTGTCTTTCTGCTAAGTCATTCCGCTCATTTTCGATCAGAAATAATGACAAACGAGGTAATATAGTTATAATCTGGATCAAATCCCGTGAAGATAGCAAAGCATAACCACCAATACTTAAGTATCGACAGTTTGGAAACTTTTCAATAACTTTTAGCATCTTGTCGCGATCCTGTTATAATTTGCAAGAAAGAAGAGAGATCGTAAGTTAGTCTTGATAATTGTTTGTATTTACTAGACTTACCCAAGAAAAAAGTAGATTCAATCTTTGAACATTCAAGTTTTTGTTGATTTGATGAATTCGTTCTACTCCAACATTATGCACAATTAGAGAAAGGTTTAGTAAATTTGGACACAAGTTCAAGAATTTTGTAAAACTCGATCCTTTTTTTGAAATATTTTCAAGCTGAAGATGCAAAAGATTTCCAAATATTGGTAATTGGTTTTCGACGCGAACAAAATCTAATAAAAAGATAAGCAAAATTCAGTCAAATTTTGGCATCGAGATATTGGAGAACTTACCATTATCAAACTCATCGTTACAAAAAGTAACAAGTCGTTCGAGATTCATCAAAAATTGGGTGAATTTCAGAACATGGAGTAAATTTACAGGCTGGAAGTAATTTTCAAGGCAATTTCCAAGAGATTTTAATTTCTTAAGATGACCAAAAGTTCTGAGATAACTTGTAACTATTATGTCATTACTAATTCCGAGAAATTCAATATCACTCAGAAATGATGTTATTCTTTTTTCTTCTCTTTCTAAAATTTTACATTTATGACTCATTTCAAATCGATAATCTAGATAGCTCAAGCCTTTGATTTGATTCGTGTTGGTGAGTAAATGAACTAATAAAGCGCAAGGACAGTTTTTGGTGAAATTTTCAAGATGGATAATCTAAAATCGAATGAGAATAAATTTTAATTAATATTATATTACATTTTTCACGATGAGTTTTCATTGACTTTCGTAAGTTTTCAATTCATTTGGTCAAGTTCTCGACGAGTTTAACAACTAGCCTTTACATTGGGTAAAAAATTAAACTTTTCCAATTAAATCTTTTTCTAATTATTTTTTAATTCGACAACTAGCATAAATCTTCGATATTTATTCTAGAGATTCGATCAATTTTTGAATATGGTGCTTAAAGAAAAAAGATGCAAATACCTTGGAGAAGAGATGAAATAAATCATATAAAAAATTTGATCGAATCTCAGAAATTAAAGGTTAAAAAATCATTGAAAATGAATTTAAATGAAATTTTTTCATTTTTTACTCAATGTAAAGGCTAATTGACTAAACTCATTGAGGACTTGACCAAATGAATTGAAAACATGGCGAAAGTCACTGAGAAATGTAACTGAAGAAATTTTGGTCTATAATATCATCAATGAGAAAAGTTTTGTCTTTGTAGAACTTATTTCATACCTTAACGTTAGGAAAAAGCTTAGAGAGTTTAATTTTCATCAAGAATCTTCTGCTTATTGTGATAATACATCTATGAGTAATTGGAAGATATTGTTCAGCAGAATCACCATTCTGAATTAATGGAGTAAACAATGAAACTATGGGTCAAATTTGGTAGAAAATCCTCTTTAAAATGTCATTGAAATCGTCAGAAATCAAAATAATACTTACCGTCTAAGTGCGTGATCTTCTTCAGTCTCTTTTCCACTAATATCTTCCAGCGACGACAAACTGTAATTACATCAATTTATTAGCATTCGAATTTCAATTCAACTTACAGATAGTGATTAATTCAGATGATCTTTATGCTAGGAAACAATCATTTCCACTTACCTTTCATAAATGTAGCAAATTGTCGCAATTGATAAAACTGATCAAAAATCAAAAGTAAACAATCATTAGGTAAATCATTGATATTCATTGTTGAAAGTCGAATGAAACAATCTAAACAATAAACCACTTGATAAAAATACAGTGAGAACTTTTCTTAACCATAAATCTGGTGATTTGAAATTCAAAATTTCCTCTGTGAATTTAACCTGTAACAGGTTACCTATTGCACACTAACTAACAGTCATTTACTGACCATTTGAAGAGTTTATTTTTGCCCGACCGCGTCTTTTAAACTAATGTTTCATCTTCATTCCGTATCGCATTTGTTTGAAAAGGACATTAGCCAGGTCCATTTTTGGATCTTCGATGAAATTAATTTTACTTTTATCGAAAAATCTTTCTTTATCATCATCATGATCACTGATTGATTTTTGATCATTAATTAGATTAAATAAAACCACTCGAAGTGAATCTCTTTTATCAAGATTTGTGAATATACTTGATAACAATTGAAATGAACAATTTAAAAGTGAACCTTGGGGAAGTTGATTAGTCGGTGGTTGAAAGTAGATTAAAGCTAATTGATGACACATGATTGCAGTGAATTCTCTGATTGTTGGATCATTATCCTGAAGTAGATTAGGAATTGATCGAAGTTTCCTCATTGAACTTTGTTGGATCAACTGATTCAAAGAGAGTGAAACAAGAATCAAATTAAAGTGACCAGTTGGTCACTGGGAATACGTGAGATTGATTAAAGATTAAATCGACTATAAGAGTGTGTTGGTCTTTCGATCAATTCGCTTGAACTTGAATTCGATTCAGTTTTAAATGATTCCAGTAAATCACTTGTGTGCTCAGTTAAACTGGTAATTAAATTCTTATGAGATCGATCAGTTTCAATCTGTTTCACATGATGACGAACACAATTGTACATGAAAGATATTAAACCATCATGATGATTGTAAGGAAGATCCGATTTGTTCAATTGTTTACAGATGAAGGAATCAACTCGATCACCAAGACGTTGATCTTTCATTAGAGCTCGAATCACATTCAAACAATGAACTTTCTGCCAATCTTCAGCTGATTGTTTCGAACAAATTTCAACCAACCTGTTGATTACATGACCAAGTAATTTGTTTCGATTCTCTTTTGATTCAGAAGAAACAATCGCTTGAGTAACAAAAGGTAAACCAGCACTTCGACGGGTAATACACTTTGGTCCACTTGATTCGCTTCCTTGACTTTCGTTGTCAAGATCGGCAAGAATCTCATCAAGCAGAGATTCGACCACTTTCAAACACGGACAAGGTTTTCTCCAGATACACTTGACCATAGAGAAACCCGTGTAAGCTTGTTCAAAAGCACCACGATGCTTGAGCTCCTTTAGATGATGAACAAATGTATCAAATTGATACTATTAATGGATTAGCGGTAACAATTAATTGAGCTAAAGTAGAGCAAGAACATGGATTTTTTTGAGCTTTGAAAATTGATTGTCTGCAAACAATGAAAATCAATGAGAAATTTTATTTAAATTAGTTCGATTTTTTTGATTGTTAGGTTGAATTACAATTATAATTAAATGAAGAGTGAGAAACGTTTAATCTTTAGACTTCAGTTCAATATTGTACGTCGAAATGAATTATAGAACTTTCGAACCATTTCATCAGACATCAACTCCAGATTCTCATCTGTAGAACCAAAATAAACATCGATTTTACGATTTTGTGAGTGACAATAGTTTTTCACGACTTGTTGATCTGCTGAATCTCTCCCGGCATATTCGATCAGTAATAATGACAAATGAGGTAATGTTCTAATTATAAGGATCAATTCATGTGAAGATAGCGAAGATCTACCCCTAATACTTAAGTATCGACAGTTTGGAAACTTTTCAATAGTTTTGAGTATCTTTTCAAAATTCTGTTATAATTTGAAAAAAAGAAGTGAAATCGTTAGCTAGTCTTGGTGGTTAAACAAATGATTGTTTGTGGAAATTAAAATCTTACCCAGCAAAAAATAAATAAATCCAATCTTTGTACATTAAAATTTCTGTTGATTTGATGCATTAGATCCATTCGATAAGAATTCACAATCAGAAAAAGGTTGAGTACATTTGGACACAAGTTCAAGAATTTTGTGAGAGTATATGACCCATCACTTGAAGCATCTACAAGCTGAAGATCTAGAAGATTTCCAAATATCGGTAATTGATTTTCGACGTCAAAAAAATCTATTAAAAGATGGAAGAGATTTGGTCAAATTTTTATATCGAGATGATGGAAAACTTACCATCAGATTCATGATCACAAAAAGTAACAAGTCGTTCGAGATTCGTCAAAAATTGGGCGAATTTCAGAACATGGAGTAAATTTACATACTGTGGATGATTTCCAATAGAAGTTCCAAGAGATTTCAAATTCATAAGATGACCAAAAGTTCTGAGATAACTTGTAACTATTAGATCATTACCGATTCCTAGAAATTGAATATCACTCAAAAATGATGTTATTCTTTTTTCTTCTCTTTTCAAGATGTTACATTCGTGGTTCATTTCAAACTGATTATCATTCTTCAATTCCCGCCCAACACTCAAGCCTTTAATTTGATTCGCGTTGGCAAGTAAATGCATTAATGAAGCACAAGAACAGTTCTTAGTGAGATTTTCAACATGGATTATCTAACATCGAATGAGAACAAATTTTGAATTAATATTATGAATAAAAAAAGTTTTTCAAGACAAAACTTTTTTTTACCTTAACATTAGGAAGAAGTTTAGACAGTTCAATTTTCCTCAAGAACTTTTTGCTCATTGTGATGTTACATTTACTAGTTGATGGAAGATGATTTGGTTTGTTCGAATGTTTAAGTCGCATTAATTGAGTGACCAATGTAACTATTTAAATTTGATAGAAAGTCTCAACATTGTGTATTCAAATCAACAGAAATCAATACTTACCATCAAAGTGAGTGATCTTCTTCAGTCTCTTTTCTACTAATATCTTCCAGCGACGACAAACTGTAATTACAGCAATTAATTAGCATTCAAATATCAATTGAATTGACAACTTCGATTAAGTTAGATGATCTTTATGATAGAAATCAATCATTTCCACTTACCTTTCATCAATGTAGCAAACTGTCGCAATAGATAAAACTGATCGAAAATCAAAAGTAAACAATCATCAGGTAAATCATTGATATTCATTGTTGAAAGTTGCATGAAACTATCTAAACAATAATTAAAAGATTTAACTTTCAAAGTTTCTTTCGAACACCAACTTACTAGTGATGTTCCCGGAACATTGTTCCGATAAGTTATTACAGAGATGCATCAGTTGATTACATGGAAAGAGATTCTCTCTACACCCGCGATTTTTAAATCAATAATTTTATTGTAAATTGTAAAGTTACTGCCTTAAGAAAAGATTGAAATTAAAATTCATTCCTAGTTCGATAACGTAATGAATTCATCTAAGTTTTTCTAAAACTCAGTTGATTAAATGATCGCATCTATGTTTAATCCTTTTCAAATAAATCCCTTATAAAAATGAAGTGACCAAATTTACAGAGGATTTCAAATATTATTAGTTAGCAGATTGTTTAGTGATTTAATTTCACCGGCAATTGAAATGAATGTGTCCATTGAAGGAAATCGTAGGAAAAAGTGTTTTGCTGACATGGAGTTTTTCTTGTGATTGTAATCCTTGGAACGATTAACACCAAATATACGAACCATTAGAGCGCTGAACAGAATTGAAGCCGAATTGGAGACTGAGTAATTTGGATAACCAAAGAAAGAGATTGTCAGTTTGAGACAATCTTCGATGAAGGAATCAACTCGATCACCAAGACGTTGATCTTTCATTAGAGCTCGAATCACATTCAAACAATGAACTTTCTGCCAATCTTCAGCTGATTGTTTCGAACAAATTTCAACCAACCTGTTGATTACATGGCCAAGTAATTTATTTCGATTCTCTTTTGGTTCAGAAGAAACAATCGCTTGAGTAACAAAAGGTAAACCAGCACTTCGACGGGTAATACACTTTGGTCCACTTGATTCGCTTCCTTGACTTTCGTTGTCAAGATCGGCAAGAATCTCATCAAGCAGAGATTCGACCACTTTCAAACACGGACAAGGTTTTCTCCAAATACACTTGACCACCATAGAGAAACCAGTGTAAGCTTGTTCAAAAGCACCACGATGCTTGAGCTCCTTTAGATGATGAACAAAATAGTTAAGAACCTTTTCCACGAAACAACAATCAATGATTGTCGATGATGGAGGACATGATTTCAGATCAATCGGACTGTGGTCAAGTTTTTCACAAATTTTTCCAAGAATTAAAGATGATTCTTTGATTGTTTTCCAACCGAAAATCAGCAACATTTGAGAGGTTATATCAAGACGCTTTTCAGCGACAATTGGACTAGTTGGACATTCACGTCCCATTATTTTGTTGACTAATTCATCGTCAAGTGGTTTCAGGTCCATTGGTAAAAATCCTTCAGGTGAATCATTACAAACGATACAACTGACCACTTCACTTGCATCGAAACAAATTTTACCAATACGATCAATCAATGAGATCCATTCTGGTTGACGTAAAGTGAAACAATCAAGGTCAAGAGATTCAATTAATCCATGGATAGAGGTTAATCTACAATGGATTGGATTATAAACAGCACCATCGATGATTGACTCTTTGGTCTCAAGAATCGCCTTCGCAACCTCATCAGTTAAGATTCCGAGTAAATCAAGATTAATGTCAGTTGGTGAAAACAATTTTATCGATGAAATCAAGTAGCATGGAAGTGCTTTCGGCGACGATTGAACAATCCTTTATACTCAACAAGTGTCCAAAAGTCCGAAGTGAAACCAAACACAGAGTGTAAAGACTTTGCCTTAATGAAAGTGCAATTGTTGATTTGAGAAGATTCCAAATGATATCAATCAATTTAATCAGAGTTGAGTAAAGTCGAGTTTGAACATTGGCAGGCCATTCCTGACGAGAAGCGATTATTTTACAGGTGTCAGCTTCGAGAAGTTTCAAATCTCTAAGAATATCAGGAGTCTTTGATAGTTCTAAAGTGTCACCAATCAAACTCTAATGAAAAAACAAGAAAAAAACACCAACTTAATAGAAAAAAAATCAGACTAATTGTTGAGAAATGACAAAATTACCTCAATCTCATCCAAACGTTTTCTCCATCGTTCCTAAGTTGGCATTTCTTTTGCTTGCGAGACAGAATAATTTAATAGAATTAAAAGAAATAAATTTCAAATGAACACCGAAAACTGAATTATCTTAAACAGTTCTTTCAATAAAAGAATCAATTAGATAGAGAATATTCTTGGTATCTTTAATAACAGTTTATCAAAATTCATAAATAGATAATTAAAAATATTGAACAAAAATAAAACTGATCAACTTTATAAAATGAAGTGACCAAATTTACAGAGAATTTTAAATATGATTAGTTAGCAGATTGTTTAGTGATTTAATTTCACCGGCAATTGAAAAGATTACTTTGGATTGGTAGTTGTTAATTTCCAATCCATTTTTGATCATCTTTTTGGCTTGATCACAATCAACACAGAGAGACTTTGATTGGATCCATAATTGTATCATGATTAACATTTTGTTAACTTCTAAGGTTAAATTAGGATCATTTAATTTCGACAGAAAATGAGAGGTTAACGAATTTAATTTGTTTTGCAAATCGTGAAAATAATCAACTAATCCACTTTGTTGTTGTCCACCTGTTGATTGATTGTTTTTCCAGGTAAGAGATGAATGGAAAAAGTTACAATCAACAGAAGAAATTAATTGTTCCAAATAAACTTTACCAATTGTAATTAACTGGATTGGATCTTCGATGAAATTAATTTTACTTTTATCGAAAAATCTTTCTTTATCATCATCATGATCACTGATTGATTTTTGATCATTAATTAGATTAAATAAAACCACTCGAAGTGAATCTCTTTTATCAAGATTTGTGAATATACTTGATAACAATTGAAATGAACAATTTAAAAGTGAACCTTGGGGAAGTTGATTAGTCGGTGGTTGAAAGTAGATTAAAGCTAATTGATGACACATGATTGCAGTGAATTCTCTGATTGTTGGATCATTATCCTGAAGTAGATTAGGAATTGATCGCCATAGAGAAGCGATTGATGGAAGATAAAACTTTCTCGATCTATTAAATGCTGCAATTTTTATCAATATTGGTAAAAGTGACCCAACAATAGTGACCGCAATCTTCCTGGACAAATCACTTCGATCGATACTACATATTGATATAACGGCCTCACAATATTTGTTGAGCTTCTCATGGTACAACATTCCCGATGATGAATTGATCTGGTGAGACCAAATATCGGATAAGATGAGGTAAAAAAGGGCCAAAGTTTCCTCATTGACCTTTGCAGGATCAACTGATTCAAAGAGAGTGAAACAAGAATCAAATAAAAGTGACCAGTTGGTTAATTGGTCACTGGGAATACGAGAGATTGCACAGTGAAGGAGATAAAATAGTTGTTGAACATTTCGTTGAGGCTGGAATGATGTTAATGAACCATTTTCGAAGAGACATTTATATTCGGGACATGATGATATAAATTGCAGAACTTTGATTGGTTCGATCACTTTCGTTTGAGGTTCGACTTCAAATGAAGCTTCAGGAACGTTCAGCTCGAAATCGGACATTATCTCATCGCGAACCGACCCTTCCAGTGGATCCAATTTCTTTACCAAAGAATCGGACAAGAATTTGAACAAAACTGTTCGAAAGTGTATCATCTCTGTTGGTAGTGTGGGCGAGGAGAGTATAAAGATCACTTTGTTTCGTATATCGATTGGGGAATAATAAAGGGAAAAGTAGATTAATTTGACGAGAAAATCTTGACAACTAGCAAATTGCACATTCTGTGGATTGGATTTGAATTGCGAGAGTAAAATTAAGCAAATTGTGTGTAGATCACAGACCATTTGATCTTCAAAAATTATTAATTGTTCCCTTAATAGGATTTCCACCGTCATTATAAATCGACTATAAGAATGTAATGGTCTTTCGATCAATTCGCTTGAACTTGAATTCGACCCTGTTTTAAATGATTCCAGTAAATCACTTGTGTGCTCAGTTAAACTGGCAATTAAATTCTTATGAGATCGATCAGTTTCAATCTGTTTCACATGATGACGAACACAATTGTACATGAATGATATTAAACCATCATGATGATTGTAAGGAAGATCTGATTTGTTCAATTGTTTACAGATGAATTCCATTGATTGAAAGATCAATTTCTCTTCGGCGCTGATCACTTGTGCCAATGCTTGAGCGGCAAGATCACGAATCTTTGCAACAGGTGATTTGAAACATAGAGACTCAAGAGGTTCCTTGTAGGCTAACAGGAGACAATCGGACTCTTGAATTGTAGGCCAAAGACGAAGGATAATCAAGATGATTGGTAGCACATGATGACCGTCGATTTGTTGAATATTTGTAGAAATGAATGTGTCCATTGAAGGAAATCGTAGGAAAAAGTGTTTTGCTGACATGGAGTTTTTCTTGTGATTGTAATCCTTGGAACGATTAACACCAAATATACGAACCATTAGAGCGCTGAACAGAATTGAAGCCGAATTGGAGACTGAATAATTTGGATAACCAAAGAAAGAGATTGTCAGTTTGAGACAATCTTCAATGAAGGAATCAACTCGATCACCAAGACGTTGATCTTTCATTAGAGCTCGAATCACATTCAAACAATGAACTTTCTGCCAATCTTCAGCTGATTGTTTCGAACAAATTTCAACCAACCTGTTGATTACATGACCAAGTAATTTGTTTCGATTCTCTTTTGGTTCAGAAGAAACAATCGCTTGAGTAACAAAAGGTAAACCAGCACTTCGACGAGTAATACACTTTGGTCCACTTGATTCACTTCCTTGACTTTCGTTGTCAAGATCGGCGAGAATCTCATCAAGCAGAGATTCGACCACTTTCAAACACGGACAAGGTTTTCTCCAGATACACTTGACCACCATAGAGAAACCAGTGTAAGCTTGTTCAAAGGCACCACGATGCTTGAGTTCCTTTAGATGATGAACAAAATAGTTTAGAACCTTTTCCACGAAACAACAATCAATGATTGTCGATGATGGATGACATGACTTCAGATCAATCGGACTATGGTCAAGTTTTTCGCAAATTTTTCCAAGAATTAAAGATGATTCTTTGATTGTTTTCCAACCGAAAATCAGCAACATTTGAGAGGTTATATCAAGACGCTTTTCAGCGACGATTGGACTAGATGGACATTCACGTCCCATCATTTTGTTGACTAATTCATCGTCAAGTGGTTTCAGGTCCATTGGTAAAAATCCTTCAGGTGAATCATTACAAACGATACAACTGACCACTTCACTTGCATCGAAACAAATTTTACCAATACGATCAATCAATGAGATCCATTCTGGTTGACGTAAAGTGAAACAATCAAGGTCAAGAGATTCAATTAATCCATGGATAGAGGTTAATCTACTATGGATTGGATTATAAACAGCACCATCGATGATTGACTCTTTGGTCTCAAGAATCGCCTTTTCAACCTGATCAGTTAAGATGCCCAGTAAATCAAGATTAATGTCAATTCGAGCAGGTAAATCATCGAGAGAGACAATTTTGGTTAAACATCGGAACAGGTAAGATGCTGAGATAACATTGATCGGATTAATATTGAGCAACATTGTGAAAGCTTTTTCTCGGATTAGCAAAATATCCTCAGGTGTTAATTGGATGACATTCGTTTTGACCAGAGTGACCAGAACTGTTATAACTAATTGTTTAGTCTCTTCTAAACTGTCCTCAATTAGACAATTCATCAGGGTGATATAAATTGAACTTGAAAGTTCAAGGGATGAGAAAATATTCTTTGGCTCAAATTCATCAATGGATGAGAAATTGTTGATGATCATTTGGATCAATTCGAGGGCCAATGTGCGTCGAGCAAAATAACCATCAATGTAAAGATTATTGAAACAAATCTCACAAATTCTAATTACGAATGATTTGTAGATTGTAACACAATCTTGTTGACGCGATTCTCTGATTGCAGTTTCCAGGGAGCACTTTAATCGTTTGAATAGTTTATCCATTAGGACCAGAAATCGTTGACGATTACATGGCTCTTGAATGGTCAGTCCCATGTTGAGTGATTCCTTGATTAAATCTAATTGCTCAGCGGGAAGTGGAGTTGATAATTTACGAGTCTCGATGATTACACCAAGTGATTGGAGACGAGTTGATTCATCGTAATGATAAATTGACTCTCGTAATAATCCTTGAGTATTTAAAGGTTCATTGTATGAAGGTTGATTGTTACAAAGGTGAAGAAGTTTCAATTTAAATTTAAGATTAACTTTAGGATCATCAAGAAGACCAAGGCCAACTAGACGATTAATTATGAACGGATCTTTCTTACAGAGTTTCGGTATAATCACATCGATAACTTTGAGACTTGCATTGGATGTTGTTTGGGTTAGTTTATCAACGAAAATTTGTAATTTATGTGAACATATTCTGGCGACCAAATCAACGAGATAATTGGGAACATCGTTACGATCTTCGAGAAATTTAAAACAATAATCAACCAACGAAGGACAGAATATGAATGACTTTTCAACACCTAAAATTTCAACGGCAATACAAATGGCATGGAATAGTGATCCTTGATAATCGTCAAGGTAAGAATCGATTCGGGATAACAGGAGACGACCAAGTTCATCTTTACGATAAAGATGATCATATTGTAATAGATTTCGTAGACTATCAAAACATAATTGTTTGATTATATCAACAGAAGTTTCCAAGCGATCAGAGATATGATTGTATGTACAGAAAAAGAGTCGATCCTCAACTTCTTGAGGCAATTTACCGGTGGTTTTGTTCAATGATTGGCAAAGTTGAAGACAATATTTGGCCTTAATGACATTTACTTCGTTATCCGAATGGTGAAGTGGCTCTTGGGGATGGAGGAAAAATGTCTGATCAAATTCATAGATGAACGATAACAGCTCAGGATCAGGGAACTCACAGATCAAACTATTGATACAAGCAAGTTTTATACTCTCAGGAAATTGTTTAGTTTCAATGGTGTTCATTAATTCAGTGTAACTTATGTCAAAAAACTGTAGAAAATAAAAAACGATTGCAATTAGAATTGTGTATGAAAGAGACTGAGAAAGAGAGAGATAGTTACCTTCCGTTGAACAGTGACCCATAAATGGACTGCGATGCAAACAAGATCAGAAGAATATAAAATTTTGGTGAAAACAATTTTATCGATGAAATCAAGTAGCATGGAAGTGCTTTCGGCGGCGATTGAACAATCCTTTATACTCAACAAGTGTCCAAGAGTCCGAAGTGAAACCAAACACAGAGTGTAAAGACTTTGCCTTAATGAAAGTGCAATTGTTGATTTGAGAAGATTCCAAATGATATCAATCAATTTAATCAGAGTTGAGTAAAGTCGAGTTTGAACATTGGCAGGCCATTCCTGACGAGAAGCGATTATTTTACAGGTGTCAGCTTCGAGAAGTTTCAAATCTCTAAGAATGTCAGGAGTCTTTGGTAGTTCTAAAGTGTCACCAATCAAATTCTAATGAAGAAACAAGAAAAAAACAATAACTTAATTGAAAAAAAATCAGACTAATTGTTGAGAAATGACAAAATTACCTCAATCTCATCCAAACGTTTTCTCCATCGCTCCCAAGTTGGCATTTCTTTTGCTTGTGAGACAAAATAACTTAATGGAATAAAAAGAAATAAATTTCAAATGAACAACGAAAACTGAATTATCTTGAACAGTTCTTTCAATCAAAGAATCAATTAGATGACAATTTAATTATTCAAATTCCACGTGTTTACCACAACCACATGTTCCGTTGAAAGAACAGTAGCTCCATCTGAAGGAAAATTTATGAATCATTTTCTTTTTTAAACTGAACGTCTAGTTCGGTACCATGTACATGGTTAAATGCCTAATGCATTTGTCAATTACGACGATAATAAATTTTTTGGTTCGCAATTCAGTTGAATAGAAAAGGCAAATTCTGTTGAATATTTTAATCAATTTTCTATCTCATATACAATTGAGCTTATGATTGAATCATATCTTTAAGAGGTTTTAGGAATTCGGCAATTAGGAAATTTTTCAACGATTCCGATAGCGAACTTATGAAAGAGTTAAAAGTTTTCACCATTTACAGAATTGGTAACATGAATATCATATTGTACATTTTAAGTGCGTAAATTTTTGCATTCAAATTTGAACCAAATTTTTCAATCACGAACAAACTGTAATTAGAAACAAAGAGAAGAATGAAGAAAATTTTCTTAAATAAACTTTTCTTTGAAAATTCATTATTTATTTCACTTATTTACTTATTTTGGAAATTGTTTCAACTGATTAAGCTGAAAATGGAAATTAAAATTAAACAATTATCGAGTAGACTGTTGATATTCATCCTGATTAAACTTTCAAACGAAAACCAATTTATCAAAAGATATTCAATTTAATTATGATATAGCAATCGATTGATTAATCTTTGTCTGTAATTTGATTAATAACTGGCAGTTATTAACTGCACTAAAGTAACTGTACTTTGTACTAGTAAGGATGATTATTATGAAATGATTATGAAATTATCATGTGATTAATTATTGTTTTCAATGGTTAATTGATTGTTTGCATGTTGATTTTTGCTTTTGATAAGACACAATGCCACCCACAATTTAAACATCATCTTTATTATACAATTTAAAGTCTAACCGTTGGACTAAACTTTCAAAATTGATTATCGGTCGATTGGCTTGATAAATGAAAGAGACAACAAAAGTGGAGGCTATTCACCCTTTGGTCGGCGTCTCTTCATCTTCAAACACCAAAGTTAATGAAGATTTGATTAGCTGACTATTAGCCACTTAGCCACTTAGCCACTTATCAAAATGGCTAATGATTTATTAATACAACAATTAAACCTAAAACTAACTAAGCAATCGTTACTGATGCCAGAGCCATTAGATTCTGCAAGTGGCTATTAGTTAATGTTCAGTGAACATTGTTCATTTACTCCTGTGTCTTGCCTACTCTCTGAATGGGTGTTGAACTGTAATCACTTTCATCTTGCAACTAGTGAATTATTATTAAGATCACAATGAATATCAACGATTTACCTGATGATTGTTTAATATTGATTTTCGAACAGTTCTTCGATCTCAAACAATTTCCAACCTTATCAAAGAGTAAGTAACGTCCAGAGAATTTTTTCACCATAGAGATTCATTTACTTTAAAAGTTGGATGTTTTTTCATTCAAATTGTATTTATGATTACAGTTTGTTCTCGATGGCGAATTTTGGTTCAAGAGCGATTGAAGAAAGTAACACACTTGAAATGTAAGTACTCAATAGATTATTGATAATCTCTAAATGCCTCAGAGTTTCTTGGAATAATTTACAATTGCTGGTTATGATTTTTGTTCCAAAATTCTATTTACTTATTCTTATTGAAGATGTGTCAAAATTGTCAGAATTACAAACAGGATGGAAAAATTATACGGGAAAATATGTTCTTACGAATAAGGCGACTTTTCTAGAGCGAATTAAACTCTCTCAAGTTCTTCCAAATGTCTATGTAAGTAAAGTTTGTTAACAATGATGATGAACTCGCTCATTCATGGTAATTGTTCTGATCTTTGTTCCAACTCAGAGCATAAATTTGCAAAATGGTTCATCTGGTATATTAGCTAATCTTCTTGGCACTGGAAACTCAATCTGCATCCTTTTTATCAATAATGAGTTAAATTCTCAATTCATAATCGACAAAAATCAATTGGATGAAAAGATCATACCTCATTTGGAAAGTGTTGAGAAATTGGCCACTAACAATGACCAGTTGGTCAAAAAGTATCTCAAGAATCATGGTCATTTAAAGAGATTGAAAAAATTTGGCTATCGATTAATTCCGGTGAATATGATGCATGTTATTAGTTTCGCCGCATCATTGATTAATCTCGAGCTTCTTTATGTGGTTTGTGACAGAACATTTGAAAAAGGTTAGAAAGCGTTTCTCATTCTCGGGTCAATCTTATTCTAAACTCTATCTAAATTCATTCTCACAATTTTAGGATGGATCGAAAATTACATTGGTCCAAAGTTTGAAAAACTTGAAAGTCTCTATTATCGTTCCAAGTCGAGTACTTGTTATGCTACTAAATTCGTCGACTTTTGTCCAAATTTACGCAATTTCCACCTGACTTTTAAAAACATTATTCCAATGGATGAATGCGTCAAACATTATAATTTAGAAAAACTGTCCATTCTTATTCAACGGGTAAGTCTTTTTATAAATTTCCGATCGATTGATTATCAAGATGATTTTTCAATAATCGATAAGTTTGAATGTCCGTTAATGTTTCATTACTTGTTTCTCGAATTTTCAGGCGAGAGAAGTCAATATTATTTATCTTGCAAGAAAATTTCCTAACATTCGTCACTTGATAATCACTGGTGCTGTCACACAATCAGATCTTATTGAAATGATCAAATTATTACCACATTTGTCCAATTTGTCTCTAAGTGGTTGCCTTACACATCATTGCAAAATTACAGCTCTAAATGAATATTTTCTGTCACAAAATCGTAAAATTGATTTAAAAATTAATCGAATCGATTATAAAATCTAATTTTTCGCTACATTAATAAATCATTTCGATATTAAGTAGATTAATTTAAGTTCACTTTCTAGACTATCGCTTGTTTAAATTTGTCACCAGCAAATGGTAAAATATTAATAGCAAACTTTTCTTAACTGATTTTCGTACTTATTGTTTGGCTGAGACGATGTTGATGGTCATTGTTTTTGTCATTTGACCTCGAAGTGTAAAAAGTTATTGGTTGAACATCGGAACAGGTAAGATGCTGAGATAACATTGATCGGATTTATATTGAGTAACATTGTGAAAGCTTTTTCTCGGATTAGGATCAATTATGAACGATTTGTAAATTGTAACACAATCTTGTTGACGCGATTCTCTGATTGCAGTTTCCAGGGAGCACTTTAATCGTTTGAATAGTTTATCCATTAGGACCAGAAATCGTTGACGATTACATGGCTCTTGAATGGTCAGTCCCATGTTGAGTGATTCCTTGATTAAATCTAATTGCTCAGCGGGAAGTGGAGTTGATAATTTACGAGTCTCGATGATTACACCAAGTGATTGGAGACGAGTTGATTCATCGTAATGATAAATTGACTCTCGTAATAATCCTTGAGTATTTAAAGGTTCATTGTATGAAGGTTGATTGTTACAAAGATGAAGAAGTTTCAAATTTCATTGATTTGAAAGGCGCGGTCCGATAGAGATAAACTTTTCAAATGGTCAGTAACTGACCGTCAGTTAGAGCTGCACATGTTAAATTTTCAAAATTTTGAATTTCAAACAACTAAAGTTTCAAGAAAAGTTCTTTCTGTATCTTTTATCAAGTGGTTTATTTTTTAGATTGTTTCATGTAACTTTCAACAATGAATATCAACGATTTACCTGATGATTGTTTACTTTTGATTTTTGATCAGTTTTATCAATTGCGACAATTTGCTACATTGATGAAAGGTAAGTGGAAATTATTGATTTCTATCATAAAGACCATCTACTTAATCATCAGTTGCAAGTTGAATTGATATTTGGGTAAGATGAGCGTTAATGGTTGGAGGTGGAGATAATAGCTATCTAACACACTTATCCCTGTGTTTGTTTAAATTAAGTTAGGTCTTCATTGAAAGGGTCAAAATCGACAGAGGAAGGCCCGGAGGGCCTGGGACAATCAAACGGGCACACAATTAACCCAAAATTCAGCTTAATTTCGACATTTTAAACTAATGGACACCAATGATAAGTGTGTTGAATAACCATAGGCTCCACCTCCAATTATTAACGCTCATCTTACCGATATTTGAATAATAATAAATTCACGTAATCGCAGTTTGTAGGCGCTGGAAAATATTAGTGGAAAAGAGACTGAAGAAGATCACTCACTTACACAGTAAGTATTATCCTAACTTCTGTTGATTTAAATGACACATTAATGAGTTTCTCTACCAAATTTAAACCATAGTTGCATTAATCACTCCATCTGAAAGATTGATGCAGCTCGATGATACTTGTGAACAAAAACATCTTCCATCGACTCATGAAGGTGTTATCACAATAAGCCAAGACTTCTTGGAGAAAATTGAACTCTCGGAGCTCCTTTCTAATGTTAAGGTAAGGAATAAGTTTAACAGAGACGAAATTTTTCTCATTCATCTCATTAATTTCAAATTTATGCTCATTTGATATTAGATAATCCATCTTGAAAATTTCGCTGATAATTGTCTCTGCGTTGCATTAGCTCATTTACTCACCAACGCGAATCAAATTAAAGGCTTGAGCTGTTTTGATTATCCACCTCAAATGAATCACGAATGTAACATCATGAAAAGAATAACACCATTTCTGAGTCATATTCAAGTTCTACGAATTAGTAATTACGCATTATTAACAAGTTATCTCAGAACTTTTGGTCATCTTAAGAAATTGAAATCTCTTGGTTCTTCAAATTACTTCCAGCCTGTAAATTTACTCCATGTTCTTAAATTTGCCCAGTTTTTGACAAATCTCGAGCGACTTGTTGCTTTTTGTGATGATGAGTTTGATTATCGTAAGTTTTCATTATCTCTATGCTAAAATTTGACCTAATTTCGATTATCTTTTATTAGATTTTATTCAACTAGAAAGCCATTTACCGATATTTGGAAATCTTTTGCATCTTCAGCTTCAAGATAAATCGCTAAATGGATCTAATTTCATAAAATTCTTGAACTTGTGTCCAAATTTAATCAACCTTTCTCTGACTGTGTTTCTTGGTAAAATGGACAGAATTCATCAAATCAACAGAAACTTCAATGTCCAAAGATTGGATTTATTTTTACCTCCTGTGGTAAGACTTTAGTATTAATAGCTACAATTAATTGTTTGGTAAATTATCAAGACTGCAACTCATATCTGTAACTAACGATTTCGCTTCATTCTTTCAAATTTTTACAGGGGCTAGAAAAGAAACTAAAAACTACTGAAAAGTTTCCGAACTGTCGATACTTGAGTATCAGTAGTGTATGTGTACTACCTTCACAAGATTTGATCCAGATTATAAGTACATTACCTAACTTGTCGTTATTGCATGTCCAAAATGATTGCACCGATTTAGCAGAAATACAAATCGTGAAAAACTATTGTCACTCGCAAAATCCTAAAATTGATGTTTATTTTGGTTCTACAGATGAGAAACTAATGATGTCTCATGAACTTTATCGAAAGTTTTGTAATTCATTTCTACATATATCAAGTCGGGAAGTTAAACATTTCTGATTTTCGATTTATAATCGAACCTAACAAAAAAATCGAACTGATTATAATTCAATATCAGTTTGTTTGTATCATCTTTTGGCTTGATCACAATCAACAAAGAGAGAGTTTGATTAAATCCATAATTGTATCATGATTAACATTTTGTTAACTTCTAATTTCACTTTGGTTTGAGGTTCGACTTCAAATGAAGCTTCGGGAACGTTCAGCTCGAAATCGGACATTATCTCATCGCGAACCGACCCTTCCAGTGGATCCAATTTCTTTACCAAAGAATCGGACAAGAATTTGAACAAAACTGTTCGAAAGTGTATCATCTCTGTTGGTAGTGTGGGCGAGGAGAGTATAAAGATCACTTTGTTTCGTACATCGATTGGGGAATAATAAAGGGAAAAGTAGATTAATTTGACGAGAAAATCTTGACAACTAGCAAATTGCACATTCTGTGGATTGGATTTGAATTGCGAGATTAAAATTAAGCAAATTGTGTGTAGATCACAGACCATTTGATCTTCAAAAATGATCAATTGTTCCCTTAATAGGATTTCCACCGTCATTATAAATCGACTATAAGAATGTAATGGTCTTTCGATCAATTCACTTGAACTTGAATTCGATCCAGTTTTAAATGATTCCAGTAAATCACTTGTGTGCTCAGTTAAACTGGTAATTAAATTCTTATGAGATCGATCAGTTTCAATCTGTTTCACATGATGACGAATACAATTGTACATGAAAGATATTAAATCTAATTGCTCAGCGGGAAGTGGAGTTGATAATTTACGAGTCTCGATGATTACACCAAGTGATTGGAGACGAGTTGATTCATCGTAATGATAAATTGACTCTCGTAATAATCCTTGAGTATTTAAAGGTTCATTGTATGAAGGTTGATTGTTACAAAGGTGAAGAAGTTTCAATTTTAATGATGATCATATGATACCATTTGATTATTTCGTAGTCGTATACACAATCGGATGATAAAAGAGTTCGAAGACACGTGCATATCGAACAAACTAAGCCGAAATGAGTCGATTAAATAGAGATACGTCAACTGATCAATTATTATAATCATGTCGGAAATCGTGATCCCGATTGGTATGATTGTAAAGTGTTTTACTTGAAACTAACAATGTAAACAAACTTATCTAACACGAAGATAAAGACACTTGTTACGTTACTAAATTCATCGAGCTTCGTCCAAATTTACAACAAAAAACTATTCCAATGTATGAATGCATTAGGAATTATAATTTGGACAAGCCATAAATTGTCCATTCAAACAAATAACATTCGGAATGACAATGAAACATTGATTTGAAAGGCGCGGGTGGATAGAGATAAACTCTTCAAGTGGTCAGTAACCGACCACCAGTTAGGTTGACAGGTTATATTAAATATATTTTCAACAAGAAATTTGAATTTCGAACAACCACGTTTTTCGGTCAAGAAAAGTTCTTTCTGCTCTTTTTATCGTGTGGTTTATTTTTTAGATTGTTTCATGAAATTTTCAAAAATGAATATCATCGATTTACCTGATGATTGTTTACTTTTGATTTTTGATCAGTTTTATCAATTGCGACAGTTTGCTACATTGATGAAAGGTAAGTGGAAATGATTGATTCTTTCTTTCTTGATAACTAGTTGTCAGTTGCATTGATAGTTTAATGTTAATTAATTCACGTAATTACAGTTTGTCCGCGCTGGAAAATATTAGCGGAAAAGAGACTGAAGAAGATCACTCACTTGGACAGTAAGTATTAGATTGATCTTTGTTGTTTAAAATGACATATTAATACGGATTTTCTGCCAAATTTAAACCATAGTTTTATTGTTTACTTCAAATGGATTGACGCAGCTCGATGATACTCTTGAACAAAGACATTTCCCATCGACTCGTAAATGTGTTATCACAATAAGCCCAGATTTCTTGAAGAAAATTGAACTCTCGAAGCTTCTTCCTAATGTTAAGGTAAGAAATAAGTTTTACAAAGACAAAACTTTTCTTATTGATGATATTAATTCAAAATTTATTCTCATTCGATGTTAGTTAATCCATCTTGAAAATTTCACTGGTAATTGTATTTGCGATGCATTAGCTCAATTACTCACCAAAGCGAATCAAATTAAAGGCTTGAGCTGTTTTGATTATAATTCTACAATGAATCACGAATGTAACAGCATAGAAAGAATAACATCATTTCTGAGTGATATTCAAGTTCTACGAATTAGTAATTACGCAATATCTACAAGGTATCTCAGAACCTTTGGTCATCTCAAGAAATTGAAATCTTTTGGCTCTTCAAATTACTTCCAGTCTACCAGATTTTACATCGAGGAGGTGCATTTACGCTATGTTCTGAAATTCGCCCAATGTTTGACGAATCTCGAGCAACTTACTACTTATTGTGATGATGAATTTTATGATGGTAAGTTTTCCATCATCTCTATATCAAAATCCGACTAAATCTCATTTTTTTTAGATTCATTTCTCGTCGAAAGCCAATTACCGATATTTGGAAATCTTCTACATCTCGAGCTTGTCGATGCTTCAAATGATGGATCTACTTTCACAAAATTTTTGAACTTGTGTCCAAATTTACTCAACCTTTCTCTGACTGTGTTTTATGCTAAAATTAATCGAATTCGTCAAATCAACAGAAACTTCAATGTCCAAAGATTGGATTTACGATTTTATTTGGTAAGACTTTAATAGCTACAAATAATGGTTTGGTTTACTATCAGAACTGACTAACGATTTCGCTTCTTTTTTTCAAATTATAACAGGATCGAGAAAATATACTAAAATTTATGGAAAAGTTTCCGAACTGTCGATACTTGAGTATCAGTAGTTTAAGTTTATCACGACAAGATTTGATCCAGATTATAAGTACATTACCTCATTTGTCGTTATTGCATGCCAAAGATAATTGGATCGATTTAGCAAAAATACAAATCAAAAACTATTGTCACTCGCAAAATCCTAAAATTGATGTTTACTTTGGTTCTACAGATGAGAAACTAATGATGTCTCATGAACTTTATCGAAAGTTTCGTAATTCATTTCTACCTTTTATTAAGTCGGGAAGTTAAACATTTCTGATTTTCCATTTATCATCGAACCTAACGAAAAAATCGGACTGATTTTAATTTAATATCAGTTCGTTTGTATAATCTTTTTGGCTCGATCACAATCAACACAGAGAGACTTTGATTGGATCCACAATTGTATCATGATTACATCCATTGCGAATGACTGTCGATTCGAGATACAAATTGATAATACCCGAATAAGCTCCAATCTTGTCTCGATATTCAAGTTGATAAAAAGAATCAGTCGCAACTGATTATTCATTCAAAATTCATGTTATACTATTCATAAATTATTTTCAATGATTAAAATTTATCAATAATCGACTATCATTCTACTCTGTGATAATCCATCGAAACCAATCCATCTAAAACTTGGCTCATTCCTCATTCGAGATAATCTAAAATCGATTTTAGTTTTTTCTTTCAATCGATTGACCGTTGCCAAGAGCAACCGGTTACTAAGAGAAAAAGAAAGAGAAGAAAAGATTTTGTAAGAGTTTTGTTTGTAGGTTCAAAAGAAAATTTTCTCTCTTTTGGTTTTCCTTTTTTCTTCTCTCAAAATTGTTTAGTTTATAAACTCTTCAAATGGTCAGTAACTGACCACCAGTTAGGTTGACAGGTTATATTTTCAACAAGAAATTTGAATTTCGAACAACCACGTTTTTCGGTCAAGAAAAGTTCTTTCTGCTCTTTTTATCGTGTGGTTTATTTTTCAGATTGTTTCATGCATCTTTCAACAATGAATATCAACGATTTACACGATGACTGTTTGCTTTTGATTTTTGATCAGTTTTATCAATTGCGACAATTTCCGATATTGATGAAAGGTAAGTAAAAATGATTGATTCATTCAATATTAATTATGATTCTTAATCAATAGTTTCAAGTTGAATTGATATTTTAATTCTAATGAGTTAATATACGCAAAGTTTGTAGGCGCTGGAAAATATTATCGGAAAAGAGTTTGAAGAAGATCACTCACTTGGACAGTAAGTATTATATTGATCTTTGTTATCCAAAATGTAATATTAATACGGATTTTCTGTCAAATTTAAATTCATTAAAGTTTCATTTTCTAATCACTTAATGCAGATTGATGATTCTCTTAAAGAACCTTATCTTTCATTGACTCGTAAATGTACTCTGACAATTAGACCAGGCTCCTTGAAGAAAATTAAACTCTCAAACTTCTTCTCAATGTTAAGGTAAGTTATACAAAGAAAAACTTTTCTCATTCATAATATTAATTAATCATTTATTCTCGTTCATTGGTAGATAATCCATCTTGAAAATTTAAAACTGAAACGACGCTGTCTTTGCGCTGCATTAGCTCAATTACTCGCTAAATTTTCGCACAAGTCAACTCGTAGACTTAAAGGCTTGAACTTATTTGATCATAATATCAAAATGAATTTTCACGAATGTAACATCGTGAGAAGAGCAGAGCAAAGTATAACACCATTTCTGAGTGATATTGAATTTCTAGGAATTAGTAATGACTTAATAGTTACAAGTTATCTCAGAACTTTTGGTCATCTGTTGAAATTGAAATCTCTTGGCTCTCCTAAATATTGCCAGGCTGTAAATTTACTCCGTGTTCTGAAATTCGCCCATTTTTTGACGAATCTTGAGCAACTTACTACTTATTGTGATGATGAATCTTATGATTGTAAGTTTGTTTATTATCTCGATAACAAAATTGGACTAAATTTCGTTTATTTTTTTTTAGATTTTGTTCAAGTCGAAAACCAAATACCGATATTTGGAAATCTTTTACATCTTAAACTTACAGATTATTCGTATGACAGATCAACTTTTGCAAAATTTTTGAACTTGTGTCCAAATTTACTCGACCTTTCTCTGGAATTGATTACTAATGACATTGACCAAATTCACCAAATCAACAGAAACTTCAATGTCCAAAGATTGGATTTACGTTTTGTTACGCAGGTAAGACTTCAATAGCTACAAAAAATTATTTGGTAAACTAACAAGACTACCTAATGATTCCACTTTTTTCTTTCAAATCATAACAGGATCCAGAACAGATTTTAAAAACCATTGAAAAGTTTCCAAACTGTCGATACTTAAGTATGAGTGCTTATTATGCTTCACTATCTCCAGACGAACTGATCCAGATTATAAGATCATTACCTCATTTGTCATTATTTCATGTCAAACATGATTCGAAAAATTTAGCAGAAAAACAAATCGTGAAAAACCATTGTCACTCACAAAATCCTAAAATCGATGTTTACTTTGGTTCTAAAGATGGAAAACTATTGATGTTTCATAAACTTTATCGAAAGTTTCAAAACCATTTCTACATAAATGAAGTCTGAAGATGTAGCTGTTAATTTCCAATCCACTTTTGATCATCTTTTTGGCTCAACAATCAACACAGAAAAACTTTGATTGGATCCATAATTGTATCATGATTAACATTTTGTTAACTTCTAAGGTTAAATTAGGATCATTTAATTTCGACAGAAAATGAGAGGTTAACGAATTTAATTTGTTTTGCAAATCGTGAAAATAATCAACTTGTTGATTGATTGTTTTTCGAGGTAAGAGATGAATGGAAAAAGTTACAATCAACTGAAGAAATTAATCTTTCCAAATAAACTTTACCAATTGTAATTAACTGGATTGGATTTTTCTTGTGATTGTAATCCTATGAACGATTAACACCAAAAATACGAACCATTAGAGCGCTGAACAGAATTGAAGCCGAATTGGAAACTGAATTACATTATATCTGTATCTTGAACAGTTCATTCAATCAAAGAATCAATTAGATGACAACAATTTAATTATTCAAATTCCACGTGTTTACCACAACCACATGTTCCGTTGAACAGTAACTCCATCTGAAGGAAAATTTATGAATCATTTTCTTTTTTTGGTTCGCAATTCAGTTGAATAGAAAAGGCAAATTCTGTTGAATATTTTAATCAATTTTCTATCTCATATACAATTGAGCTTATGATTGAATCATATCTTTAAGAGGTTTTAGGAATTCGGCAATTAGGAAATTTTCCAACGATTCCGATAGCGAACTTATGGAAGAGTTAAAAGTTTTCACCATTTACAGAATTGGTAACATGAATATCATATTGTACATTTTAAGTGCGTAAATTTTTGCATTCAAATTTGAATCAAATTTTTCAATCGCGAACAAACTGTAATTAGAAACAAAGAGAAGAATGAAGAAAATTTTCTTAAATAAACTTTTCTTTGAAAATTCATTATTTATTTCACTTATTTACTTATTTTGGAAATTGTTTCAACTGATTAAGCTGAAAATGGAAATTAAAATTAAACAATTATCGAGTAGACTGTTGATATTCATCCTGATTAAACTTTCAAACGAAAACCAATTTATCAAAAGATATTCGATTTAAATATGATATAGCAATCGATTGATTAATCTTTGTCTGTAATTTGATTAATAACTGGCAATTATTAACTGCACTAAAGTAACTGTACTTTGAACTAGTAAGGATGATAAACTATCATGTGATTAATTATTGTTTTTAATGGTTAATTGATTGTTTGCATGTTGATTTTTGCTTTTGATAAGACACAATGCCACCCACAATTTAAACATCATCTTTATTATACAATTTAAAGTCTAACCGTTGGACTAAACTTTCAAAATTGATTATCGGTCGATTGGCTTGATAAATGAAAGAGACAACAAAAGTGGAGGCTATTCATCCTTTGGTCGGCGTCTCTTCATCTTCAAACACCAAAGTTAATGAAGATTTGATTAGCCGACTATTAGCCACTTATCAAAATGGCTAATGATTTATTAACACAACAATTAAACCTAAAACTAACTAAGCAATCGTTACTGATGCCAGAGCCATTAGATTCTGCAAGTGGCTATTAGTTAATGTTCAGTGAACATTGTTCATTTACTCCTGTGTCTTGCCTACTCTCTGAATGGGTGTTGAACTGTAATCACTTTCATCTTGCAACTAGTGAATTATTATTAAGATCACAATGAATATCAACGATTTACCTGATGATTGTTTAATATTGATTTTCGAACAGTTCTTCGATCTCAAACAATTTCCAACCTTATCAAAGAGTAAGTAACGTCAGAGAATTTTTCACCATAGAGATTCATTTACTTTAAAAGTTGGATGTTTTTTCATTCAAATTGTATTTATGATTACAGTTTGTTCTCGATGGCGAATTTTGGTTCAAGAGCGATTGAAGAAAGTAACACACTTGAAATGTAAGTACTCAATAGATTATTGATAATCTCTAAATGCCTCAGAGTTTCTTGGAATAATTTACAATTGCTGGTTATGATTTTTGTTCCAAAATTCTATTTACTTATTCTTATTGAAGATGTGTCAAAATTGTCAGAATTACAAACAGGATGGAAAAATTATACGGGAAAATATGTTCTTACGAATAAGGCGACTTTTCTAGAGCGAATTAAACTCTCTCAAGTTCTTCCAAATGTCTATGTAAGTAAAGTTTGTTAACAATGATGATGAACTCGCTCATTCATGGTAATTGTTCTGATCTTTGTTCCAACTCAGAGCATAAATTTGCAAAATGGTTCATCTGGTATATTAGCTAATCTTCTTGGCACTGGAAACTCAATCTGCATCCTTTTTATCTATAATGAGTTAAATTCTCAATTTATAAACGACAAAATCAATTGGATGAAAAGATCATACCTCATTTGGAAAGTGTTGAGAAATTAGGCACTAACAATGACCAGTTGCTTAAAAAGTATCTCAAGAATCATGGTCATTTAAAGAGATTGAAAAAATTTGGCTATACGGCAATGTCGGTGAATATGATGCATGTTATTAATTTCGCCGCATCATTGATTAATCTCGAGCTTCTTAATGTGGTTTGTGACACAACATTTGATGAAAAGGGTTAGAAAGCTTTTCTCATTCTCGGGTCAATCTTATTCTAAACTCTATCTAAATTCATTCTCACAATTTTAGGATGGATCGAAAATTACATTGGTCCAAAGTTTGAAAAACTTGAAAGTCTCTATTATTGTTCCAAGTCGAGTACTTGTTATGCTACTAAATTCGTCGACTTTTGTCCAAATTTACGCAATTTCTACCTGACTTTTAAAAGCATTATTCAAATGGATGAATGCGTCAAACATTATAATTTAGAAAGACTGTCCATTTTTATTAAACAGGTAAGTCTTTTTATCAATTCCCGATCGATTGATTATCAAGAAGATTTTTCAATAATTGATAAGTTTGAATGTTCGTTAATGTTTCATTACTTGTTTCTCGAATTTTCAGGCTCGTAAAATCAATATTATTTATCTTGCAAGAAAATTCCCTAACATTCGTCACTTGATAATCACTGGATTTGTCACACAATCAGATCTTATTGAAATGATCAAATTATTACCACATTTGTCCAATTTGTCTCTAAGTGGTTGCCTTGCACATCATTGCAAAATTACAGCTCTAAATGAATATTTTCTGTCACAAAATTGTAAAATTGATTTAAAAATTAATCGAATCGATTATAAAATCTAATTTTTCGCTACATTAATAAATCATTTCGATATTAAGTTGATTAATTTAAGTTCACTTTCTAGACTATCGCTTGTTTAAATTTGTCACCAGTAAATGGTAAAATATTAATAGCAAACTTTTCTTAACTGATTTTCGTACTTATTGTTTGGCTGAGACGATGTTGATGGTCATTGTTTTTGTCATTTGACCTCGAAGTGTAAAAAGTTTTTGGTTGAACATCGGAACAGGTAAGATGCTGAGATAACATTACTCGGATTAATATTGAGTAACATTGTGAAAGATTTTTCTTGGATTAGGATCAATTGTAACACAGTCTTCTTGACATGATTCTCTGATTGCAGTTTCCAGGGAGCACTTTAATCGTTTGAATAGTTTATCCATTAGGAGTCTGATGGTAAGTTTGTTATTATCTCGATAACAAAATTGGACTAAATCGTGTTTATCTTTTATTAGATTTTGAGCGTCCAAGACCAATTACCGATATTTAGAAATATTTTACATCTTCGCCTTGAAAATATTTCATCAAATGGTTTGACTTTTACAAAATTCTTGAACTTGTGCCCAAATTTACTCAATTTTTCTCTGAATATGAATGAATATCGAATGGAACTAATTCACCAAATCAACATAAACTTCAATGTCCAAAGATTGGGTTTACATTTTTATTGGGTAAATTTAATAGCCACAAATAATTATTTGGTAACTTATCAAGGTCAACTAACGATTTCGCTTCTTTCAAATTTTTACAGAATCGAGAAGAGATACCAAAATTTATTGAAAAGTTCCCAAACTGTAGATACTTGGTGTAATGCTTCACTATCTTCATCAGGTTTGATCCAGATTATAAGTACATTACCATATTTGTCATTATTGCAGGTCAAAAATGATTGGACCGATTTAGCAGAAATACAAATCATCAAAAACTATTGTCACTCGCAAAATCCTAAAATTGATGTTTACTTTGGTTATTCAAATAAGAAACTAATGATGTCTAATGAACTTTATCGAAAGTTTGATAATTCATTTCTACATAAATGAAGTCTAAAGATTAAAAGTTTCTGATTCTACATTTATAATCCAACCTAACAAGAAGAATCGAGCTGATTAAAAATACTCGAATAAGCTCCAACCTTGTCTCGAGATTCAAGTTGATAAAAAGAATCAGTCGCTCCAATGGCAACTAATAATTCAAAAATTCATATACTCCATGTATTCGTTACTACATTTAAGTTATACAATCAAGGTCGAAAGTAATTTTTCATATCCCGATTGGTATGATTGTAAAGTGTTTTACTCGAAACTAACAATGTAAACAAACTTATCTATAACGATGATAAAGACACTTGTTACGTTACGCAATTCTTCGATTTTTGTCCAAATTTACTACAAAAAATTATTCCAATGTATGAATGCGTTAGGAATTATAATTTGGACAAGCCATAAATTGTCCATTCAAACAAATAGCATTCGGAATGACAATGAAACATTGATTTGAAAGGCGCGGGTTGGTAGAGATAACCTCTTCAAATGGTCAGTAACTGACCACCAGTTAGGTTGACAGGTTATATTTTCAACAAGAAATTTGAATTTCAAACTACCAAAGTTTTTCGGTTGAGAAAAGTTCTTTCTGTATCTTTTATCGTGTGGTTTATTTTTTAGATTGTTTCATGAAATTTTCAAAAATGAATATCATCGATTTACCTGATGATTGTTTACTTTTGATTTTTGATCAGTTTTATCAATATCGACAGTTTGCTACATTGATGAAAGGTAAGTGGAAATGATTGATTCTTTCTTTCTTGATAACTAGTTGTCAGTTGCATTGATAGTTTAATGTTAATTAATTCACGTAATTACAGTTTGTCCGCGCTGGAAAATATTAGCGGAAAAGAGACTGAAGAAGATCACTCACTTGGACAGTAAGTATTAGATTGATCTTTGTTGTTTAAAATGACATATTAATACGGATTTTCTGCCAAATTTAAACCATAGTTTTATTGTTTACTTCAAATGGATTGACGCAGCTCAATGATACTCTTGAACAAAGACATTTCCCATCGACTCGTAAATGTGTTATCACAATGCGCCCAGATTCCTTGAAGCAAATTGAACCCTCGAAGCTTTTTCCTAATGTTAAGGTAAAAAAATAAGTTTTACAAAGACAAAACTTTTCTTATTGATGATATTAATTCAAAATTTATTCTCATTCGATGTTAGTTAATCCATCTTGAAAATTTCACTGGTAATTGTATTTGCGATGCATTAGCTCAATTACTCACCAAAGCGAATCAAATTAAAGGCTTGAGCTGTTTTGATTATAATTCTACAATGAATCACGAATGTAACAGCATAGAAAGAATAACATCATTTCTGAGTGATATTCAAGTTCTACGAACTACTAATTACGCAATATCTACAAGTTATCTCAGAACTTTTGGTCATCTTAAGAAAGTGAAATCTTTTGGCTCTTCAAATTTTTTCCGGTCTAAAAGATTTTGCATCGATGATGTGCATTTACGCTATGTTCTGAAATTCGCCCAATGTTTGACGAATCTCGAGCAACTTACTACTTATTGTGATGATAAATTTGATGATGGTAAGTTTTCCATCTCTATATCGAAAGTCGACTAAATCTCATTTATCTTTTTTAGATTTTGTTCTCGTCGAAAGCCAATTACCGATATTTGGAAATCTTCTACATCTCGAGCTTGTCGATGCTTCAAATAATGGATCTACTCTCACAAAATTTTTGAACTTGTGTCCAAATTTACTCAACTTTTCTCTGACTGTGTATTTTAATAAAATGAATCGAATTCTTCAAATCAACAGAAACTTCAATGTCCAAAGATTGGATTTAGATTTTTTTACTAAGGTAAGACTTTAATAGCTACAAATAAGTGTTTGGTTTACTATCAAAGCTGACTAACGATTTCGCTTCTTTTTTTCAAATTATAACAGGATCGAGAAAATATACTAAAATTTATAGAAAAGTTTCCGAACTGTCGATACTTGAGTATCAGAAATAGTTTATATTTACTATCTTCACAAGATTTGATCCAGATTAAAAGTAAATTACCTCATTTGTCGTTACTGCATTTCAAAAATGATTGGACCGATTTAGCAGAAATACAAACCATCAAAAACTATTGTCACTCGCAAAATCCTAAAATTGATGTTTACTTTGGTTCTGAAGATGACAAACTAATGATGTCTCATGAAATTTATCGAAAGTTTCGTAATTCATTTCTGCCTTATATTAAGTCAGGAAGTTAAACGTTTCTGATTTTCCATTAATCATCGAGCCTAACGAAAAAATCGGACTGATTTTAATTTAATATCAGTTCGTTTGTATAATCTTTTTGGCTCGATCACAATCAACACAGAGAGACTTTGATAATATCCGAATAACCTCAAACCTTGTCTCGATATTCAAGTTGATAAAAAGAATCAGTCGCAACTGATTATTCATTCAAAATTCATGTTATACTATTCATAAATTATTTTCAATGATTAAAATTTATCAATAATCGACTATCATTCTACTCTGTGATAATCCATCGAAACCAATCCATCTAAAACTTGGCTCATTCCTCATTCGAGATAATCTAAAATCGATTTTTATTTTTTCTTTCAATCGATTGACCGTTGCCAAGAGCAACCGGTTACTAAGAGAAAAAGAAAGAGAAGAAAAGATTTTGTAAGAAAAACAAAGAAAATCATTGACATTTGAGAATAGTAAACAAACCAAATCAATTTAATTCTGTTGATCGTTTTAATTTTGTTCGTAATCACAATTAACTTGGACTTTCTTTTCATGCATATTGTTAAAATCAGTGAGTAATTTGATTGTTTACAGGTGAATTCCATTGATTGAAAGATCAATTTCTCTATGACGCTGATCACTTGTGCCAATACTTGAGCGGCAAGATCACGAATCTTTGCAACAGGTGATTTGAAACATAGAGGCTCAAGAGGTTCCTTGTAGGTTAACAGGAGACAACTCGATCACCTAGACGTTGATCTTTCATTAGAGCTCGAATCACATTCAAACAATGAACTTTCTGCCAATCTTCAGCTGATTGTTTCGAACAAATTTCAACCAACCTGTTGATTACATGACCAAGTAATTTGTTTCGATTCTCTTTTGATTCAGAAGAAACAATCGCTTGAGTAACAAAAGGTAAACCAGCACTTCGACGGGTAATACACTTTGGTCCACTTGATTCGCTTCCGTGACTTTCATTGGCAAGATCGGCGAGAATCTCATCAAGCAGAGATTCAACCACTTTCAAACACCCACAAGGTTTTCTCCAGATACACTTGACCACCATAGAGAAACCAGTGTAAGCTTGTTCAAAGGCCCCACGATGCTTGAGCTCCTTTAGATGATGAACAAAATAGTTTAGAACCTTTTCCACGAAACAACAATCAATGATTGTCGATGATGGAGGACATGATTTTAGATCAATCGGACTGTGGTCAAGTTTTTCACAAATTTTTCCAAGAATTAGAGATGATTCTTTGATTGTTTTCCAACCGAAAATCAGCAACATTTGAGAGGTTATATCAAGACGCTTTTCAGCGACAATTGGACTAGTTGGACATTCACGTCCCATTATTTTGTTGACTAATTCATCGTCAAGTGGTTTCAGGTCCATTGGTAAAAATCCTTCAGGTGAATCATTACAAACGATACAACTGACCACTTCACTTGCATCGAAACAAATTTTACCAATACGATCAATCAATGAGATCCATTCTGGTTGACGTAAAGTGAAACAATCAAGGTCAAGAGATTCAATTAATCCATGGATAGAGGTTAATCTACAATGGATTGGATTATAAACAGCACCATCGATGATTGACTCTTTGGTCTCAAGAATCGCCTTCTCAACCTGATCAGTTAAGATTCCGAGTAAATCAAGATTAATGTCAATTCGAGCAGGTAAATCAAATTCGTTTTGAAATTTGCATATGATATAGCAATCGATTGACACATTGATTTTGTCTGTAATTTGATTAATAACTGACAGTCAAGATTTGATTAGCTGGCTATTAGCCACTTATCAAAATGGCTAAGGATTTATTAATACAATTATCCTGTTTAAACAAATAGCATACGAAATTACGAATCGTAATTTCGTAATTTACGATGAAACATTGATTTGAAAGGCGCGGGGATAGAGATAACCTCTTCAAATGGTCAGTAACTGACCACCAGTTAGGTTGACAGGTTGAATTTTTAAAAAGAAATTTGAATTGTAAACTACCAAAGTTTTTCGGTTAAGAAAAGTTCTTTCTGTATCTTTTATCAAGTGGTTTATTGTTTAGATTGTTTCATGTAACTTTCAACAATGAATATCAACGATTTACCTGATGATTGTTTACTTTTGATTTTTGATCAGTTTTATCAATTGCGACAATTTGCTAAATTGATGAAAGGTGAGTATAATGATTGATTTCTATCATGAAGATCATCTACATTTACTTAATCATTAGTTGAATTGATATCTGAATTCTAATGAATTAATGTAATTAAAGTTTGTCGGCGCTGGAAAATACTGGCGGAAAAGGGACTGAAGAAGATCAATTACTTTGATGGTAAGTACATGTATTGTATATTGTAGATTGATTAAAATGAAATTTTCATGAGCATTTTCTATCAATTTAAACCATAGTTACATTGGACACTCCATTTTTTGAGATTGGTGATTCTGCTAAACTAAGTCATCTTCCATTGACTCGTAAATGTATTCTCACAATAAGCAGAAAGTTCTTGAGGAAAATTAATTTCTCTAAACTTCTCCCTAATGTTGCGGTAAGAAATAAGTTTTATTAGACAAAACTTTTTTCATTCGTCTTTTTAATTTGAAATTTATTCTCATTATATAGATAATCCACCTTGAAAATTACGCTCAAAACTGTCTTTGCTCTGCATTAGTTCATTTACTGTCCAAAGCGAATCAAATTAAAGGCTTGAGCGTTGAGCTTGAATCAAAGTATAAGAGTCGCTATGATAAAAGTCATGCATGTAAAACTTTGCAAAGAGAAGAAAAAAGAATAACATCATTTCTGAGTGATATTGAATTTTTAGGAATCAGTAATGACTTAATAGTTACAAGTTATCTCAATACTTTTGGCCATCTTAAGAATTGAAATCGCTCGGTTCTCCAAAATATTGCCAGGCTGTAAATTTACTCCATGTTCTTAAATTTGCCCAATTTTTGACGAATCTCGAGCGACTTGTTGCTTTTTGTAATGATGAGTCTGATGGTAAGTTTGTTATTATCTCGATAACAAAATTGGACTAAATCGTGTTTATCTTTTATTAGATTTTGTTCGCGTCCAAGACCAATTACCGATATTTAGAAATATTTTACATCTTCGCCTTGAAAATATTTCATCAAATGGTTTGACTTTTACAAAATTCTTGAACTTGTGTCCAAATTTACTCAACCTTTCTCTGGACATGAATCCATATCGAATGGAACTAATTCACAAAATCAACATAAACTTCAATGTCCAAAGATTGGATTTACATTCCAATTCGGTAAGATTTTAATAGCCAAAAGTCATTATTTGGTAAACTATCAAGGTCACCTAACGATTTCGCTTCTTTCAAATTTTTACAGGATCGAGAAAAGATACTAAAATTTATGGAAAAGTTTCCAAACTGTCGATACTTGAGTATTTGGTATAATGCTTCACTATCTTCATCTGGTTTGATCCAGATTATAAGTACATTACCTAATTTGTCATTATTGCAGGTCAAAAATGATTGTACCGATTTAGCAGCAATACAAATCATCAAAAACTATTGTCACTCGCAGAATCCTAAAATTGATGTTTACTTTGGTTATTCAAATAAGAAACTAATGATGTCTAATGAACTTTATCGAAAGTTTGATAATCCATTTCTACATAAATGAAGTCTAAAGATTAAAAGTTTCTGATTCTACATTTGTAATCCAACCTAACAAGAAGAATCGAGCTGATTAAAAATACCGGAATAACCTCCAACCTTGTCTCGAGATTTAAGTTGATAAAAATGGCAACTAATAATTCAAAAATTCATAAACTCAATGTATTCGTTACTACATTTAAGTTATACAATCGAGGTCGAAAGTAATTTTTCATATCCCGATTGGTATGATTGTAAAGTGTTTTACTTGAAACTAACAATGTAAACAAACTTATCTAACACAATGATAAAGACACTTGTTACGTTACTAAATTCATCGATTTTTGTCCAAATTTACTAAAAAAATTATTCCAATGTATGAATGCGTTAGGAATTATAATTTGGACAAGCCATAAATTGTCCATTCAAACAAATAGCATTCGGAATGACAATGAAACATTGATTTGAAAGGCGCGGGTTGGTAGAGATAACCTCTTCAAATGGTCAGTAACTGACCACCAGTTAGGTTGACAGGTTATATTTTCAACAAGAAATTTGAATTTCAAACTACCAAAGTTTTTCGGTTGAGAAAAGTTCTTTCTGTATCTTTTATCGTGTGGTTTATTTTTTAGATTGTTTCATGAAATTTTCAAAAATGAATATCATCGATTTACCTGATGATTGTTTACTTGTGATTTTTGATCAGTTTTATCAATATCGACAGTTTGCTACATTGATGAAAGGTAAGTGGAAATGATTGATTCTTTCTTTCTTGATAACTAGTTGTCAGTTGCATTGATAGTTTAATGTTAATTAATTCACGTAATTACAGTTTGTCCGCGCTGGAAAATATTAGCGGAAAAGAGACTGAAGAAGATCACTCACTTGGACAGTAAGTATTAGATTGATCTTTGTTGTTTAAAATGGCATATTAATACGGATTTTCTGCCAAATTTAAACCATAGTTTTATTGTTTACTTCAAATGGATTGACGCAGCTCAATGATACTCTTGAACAAAGACATTTCCCATCGACTCGTAAATGTGTTATCACAATAAGCCCAGATTCCTTGAAGCAAATTGAACCCTCGAAGCTTTTTCCTAATGTTAAGGTAAAAAAATAAGTTTTACAAAGACAAAACTTTTCTTATTGATGATATTAATTCAAAATTTATTCTCATTCGATGTTAGTTAATCCATCTTGAAAATTTCACTGGTAATTGTATTTGCGATGCATTAGCTCAATTACTCACCAAAGCGAATCAAATTAAAGGCTTGAGCTGTTTTGATTATAATTCTACAATGAATCACGAATGTAACAGCATAGAAAGAATAACATCATTTCTGAGTGATATTCAAGTTCTACGAACTACTAATTACGCAATATCTACAAGTTATCTCAGAACTTTTGGTCATCTTAAGAAAGTGAAATCTTTTGGCTCTTCAAATTTTTTCCGGTCTAAAAGATTTTGCATCGATGATGTGCATTTACGCTATGTTCTGAAATTCGCCCAATTTTGACGAATCTCGAGCAACTTACTACTTATTGTGATGATAAATTTGATGATGGTAAGTTTTCCATCTCTATATCGAAAGTCGACTAAATCTCATTTATCTTTTTTAGATTTTGTTCTCGTCGAAAGCCAATTACCGATATTTGGAAATCTTCTACATCTCGAGCTTGTCGATGCTTCAAATAATGGATCTACTCTCACAAAATTTTTGAACTTGTGTCCAAATTTACTCAACTTTTCTCTGACTGTGTATTTTAATAAAATGAATCGAATTCTTCAAATCAACAGAAACTTCAATGTCCAAAGATTGGATTTAGATTTTTTTACTAAGGTAAGACTTTAATAGCTACAAATAAGTGTTTGGTTTACTATCAAAGCTGACTAACGATTTCGCTTCTTTTTTTCAAATTATAACAGGATCGAGAAAATATACTAAAATTTATAGAAAAGTTTCCGAACTGTCGATACTTGAGTATCAGAAATAGTTTATATTTACTATCTTCACAAGATTTGATCCAGATTAAAAGTAAATTACCTCATTTGTCGTTACTGCATTTCAAAAATGATTGGACCGATTTAGCAGAAATACAAACCATCAAAAACTATTGTCACTCGCAAAATCCTAAAATTGATGTTTACTTTGGTTCTGAAGATGACAAACTATTGATGTCTCATGAAATTTATCGAAAGTTTCGTAATTCATTTCTGCCTTATATTAAGTCAGGAAGTTAAACGTTTCTGATTTTCCATTAATCATCGAGCCTAACGAAAAAATCGGACTGATTTTAATTTAATATCAGTTCGTTTGTATAATCTTTTTGGCTCGATCACAATCAACACAGAGACTTTGATAATATCCGAATAACCTCAACCTTGTCTCGATATTCAAGTTGATAAAAGAATCAGTCGCAACTGATTATTCATTCAAAATTCATGTTATACTATTCATAAATTATTTTCAATGATTAAAATTTATCAATAATCGACTATCATTCTACTCTGTGATAATCCATCGAAACCAATCCATCTAAAACTTGGCTCATTCCTCATTCGAGATAATCTAAAATCGATTTTTATTTTTTCTTTCAATCGATTGACCGTTGCCAAGAGCAACCGGTTACTAAGAAAAGAAAGAAGAAAAGATTTTGTAAGAAAACAAAGAAAATCATTGACATTTGAGAATAGTAAACAAACCAAATCAATTTAATTCTGTTGATCGTTTTAATTTTGTTCGTAATCACAATTAACTTGGACTTTCTTTTCATGCATATTGTTAAAATCAGTGAGTAATTTGATTGTTTACAGATGAATTCCATTGATTGAAAGATCAATTTCTCTATGACGCTGATCACTTGTGCCAATACTTGAGCGGCAAGATCACGAATCTTTGCAACAGGTGATTTGAAACATAGAGGCTCAAGAGCAAAGAGTAATATAAGAAGAGAGAGCGATCAACAGCAAAAGAGCTGTTTGATAAATCTCGCAGTCGCCATGTGTTTTCCTCTTTCTTTGTCAACTAAATTGTGTAAAGTTTTCGAATGATTTTAGGCCATTTCAACGAGATTTTAATTGAGCTTGAATTTAACATTTAATAGACCAAAATCTCGTTGAAAATGACCTCAAAACATTTAAAAGCTTTAACCAATTTTTTGAAAAGAGAGAAAAGAAATCAAAGAAAAAGAAAGGGAAAAAGAAACAGTGGTGACTCTCGAGTTGTCAAACAGCTCTTTTCAGGAGATCGCAGTCTCTTCTTATATTACTCTTTGCTCAAGAGGTTCCTTGTAGGTTAACAGGAGACAACTCGATCACCTAGACGTTGATCTTTCATTAGAGCTCGAATCACATTCAAACAATGAACTTTCTGCCAATCTTCAGCTGATTGTTTCGAACAAATTTCAACCAACCTGTTGATTACATGACCAAGTAATTTGTTTCGATTCTCTTTTGATTCAGAAGAAACAATCGCTTGAGTAACAAAAGGTAAACCAGCACTTCGACGGGTAATACACTTTGGTCCACTTGATTCGCTTCCGTGACTTTCATTGGCAAGATCGGCGAGAATCTCATCAAGCAGAGATTCAACCACTTTCAAACACCCACAAGGTTTTCTCCAGATACACTTGACCACCATAGAAACCAGTGTAAGCTTGTTCAAAGGCACCACGATGCTTGAGCTCCTTTAGATGATGAACAAAATAGTTTAGAACCTTTTCCACGAAACAACAATCAATGATTGTCGATGATGGAGGACATGATTTTAGATCAATCGGACTGTGGTCAAGTTTTTCACAAATTTTTCCAAGAATTAGAGATGATTCTTTGATTGTTTTCCAACCGAAAATCAGCAACATTTGAGAGGTTATATCAAGACGCTTTTCAGCGACAATTGGACTAGTTGGACATTCACGTCCCATTATTTTGTTGACTAATTCATCGTCAAGTGGTTTCAGGTCCATTGGTAAAAATCCTTCAGGTGAATCATTACAAACGATACAACTGACCACTTCACTTGCATCGAAACAAATTTTACCAATACGATCAATCAATGAGATCCATTCTGGTTGACGTAAAGTGAAACAATCAAGGTCAAGAGATTCAATTAATCCATGGATAGAGGTTAATCTACAATGGATTGGATTATAAACAACACCATCGATGATTGACTCTTTGGTCTCAAGAATCGCCTTCTCAACCTGATCAGTTAAGATTCCGAGTAAATCAAGATTAATGTCAATTCGAGCAGGTAAATCAAATTCGTTTTGAAATTTGCATATGATATAGCAATCGATTGACACATTGATTTTGTCTGTAATTTGATTAATAACTGACAGTCAAGATTTGATTAGCTGGCTATTAGCCACTTATCAAAATAGCTAAGGATTTATTAATACAATTATCCTGTTTAAACAAATAGCATACGAAATTACGAATCGTAATTTCGTAATTTGATGAAACATTGATTTGAAAGGCGCGGGGATAGAGATAACCTCTTCAAATGGTCAGTAACTGACCACCAGTTAGGTTGACAGGTTGAATTTTTAAAAAGAAATTTGAATTGTAAACTACCAAAGTTTTTCGGTTAAGAAAAGTTCTTTCTGTATCTTTTATCAAGTGGTTTGTTGTTTAGATTGTTTCATGTAACTTTCAACAATGAATATCAACGATTTACCTGATGATTGTTTACTTTTGATTTTTGATCAGTTTTATCAATTGCGACAATTTGCTAAATTGATGAAAGGTGAGTATAATGATTGATTTCTATCATGAAGATCATCTACATTTACTTAATCATTAGTTGAATTGATATCTGAATTCTAATGAATTAATGTAATTAAAGTTTGTCGGCTGGAAAATACTGGCGGAAAAGGACTGAAGAAGATCAATTACTTTGATGGTAAGTACATGTATTGTATATTGTAGATTGATTAAAATGAAATTTTCATGAGCATTTTCTATCAATTTAAACCATAGTTACATTGGACACTCCATTTTTTGAGATTGGTGATTCTGCTAAACTAAGTCATCTTCCATTGACTCGTAAATGTATTCTCACAATAAGCAGAAAGTTCTTGAGGAAAATTAATTTCTCTAAACTTCTCCCTAATGTTGCGGTAAGAAATAAGTTTTATTAGACAAAACTTTTTTCATTCGTCTTTTTAATTTGAAATTTATTCTCATTATATAGATAATCCACCTTGAAAATTACGCTCAAAACTGTCTTTGCTCTGCATTAGTTCATTTACTGTCCAAAGCGAATCAAATTAAAGGCTTGAGCGTTGAGCTTGAATCAAAGTATAAGAGTCGCTATGATAAAAGTCATGCATGTAAAACTTTGCAAAGAGAAGAAAAAAGAATAACATCATTTCTGAGTGATATTGAATTTTTAGGAATCAGTAATGACTTAATAGTTACAAGTTATCTCAATACTTTTGGCCATCTTAAGAAATTGAAATCGCTCGGTTCTCCAAAATATTGCCAGGCTGTAAATTTACTCCATGTTCTTAAATTTGCCCAATTTTTGACGAATCTCGAGCGACTTGTTGCTTTTTGTAATGATGAGTCTGATGGTAAGTTTGTTATTATCTCGATAACAAAATTGGACTAAATCGTGTTTATCTTTTATTAGATTTTGTTCGCGTCCAAGACCAATTACCGATATTTAGAAATATTTTACATCTTCGCCTTGAAAATATTTCATCAAATGGTTTGACTTTTACAAAATTCTTGAACTTGTGTCCAAATTTACTCAACCTTTCTCTGGACATGAATCCATATCGAATGGAACTAATTCACAAAATCAACATAAACTTCAATGTCCAAAGATTGGATTTACATTCCAATTCGGTAAGATTTTAATAGCCAAAAGTCATTATTTGGTAAACTATCAAGGTCACCTAACGATTTCGCTTCTTTCAAATTTTTACAGGATCGAGAAAAGATACTAAAATTTATGGAAAAGTTTCCAAACTGTCGATACTTGAGTATTTGGTATAATGCTTCACTATCTTCATCTGGTTTGATCCAGATTATAAGTACATTACCATATTTGTCATTATTGCAGGTCAAAAATGATTGTACCGATTTAGCAGCAATACAAATCATCAAAAACTATTGTCACTCGCAGAATCCTAAAATTGATGTTTACTTTGGTTATTCAAATAAGAAACTAATGATGTCTAATGAACTTTATCGAAAGTTTGATAATCCATTTCTACATAAATGAAGTCTAAAGATTAAAAGTTTCTGATTCTACATTTGTAATCCAACCTAACAAGAAGAATCGAGCTGATTAAAAATACCGGAATAACCTCCAACCTTGTCTCGAGATTCAAGTTGATAAAAAGAATCAGTCGCTCCAATGGCAACTAATAATTCAAAAATTCATAAACTCAATGTATTCGTTACTACATTTAAGTTATACAATCGAGGTCGAAAGTAATTTTTCATATCCCGATTGGTATGATTGTGAAGTGTTTTACTTGAAACTAACAATGCAAACAAACTCATCTAACACGATGATAAAGACACTTGTTACGTTACTAAATTCTTCGATTTTTGTCCAAATTTACTACAAAAAATTATTTCAATGTATGAATGCGTCAGGAATTATAATTTGGACAAGCCATAAATTGTCCATTCAAACAAATAGTATATGGAATGACGACGAAACATTGATTTGAAAGGCGCGGTTGGATAGAGATAAATGGTCTTCAAAATGATCAAAATCTTCAAATGGTCAGTAACTGACCACCAGTTAGGTTGACAGGTTATATTTTCAACAAGAAATTTGAATTTCGAACAACCACGTTTTTCGGTCAAGAAAAGTTCTTTCTGCTTCTTTTATCGTGTTGTTTATTTTTTAGATTGTTTCATGTAACTTTTAACAATGAATATCAACGATTTACCTGATGATTGTTTACTTTTGATTTTTGATCAGTTTTATCAATTGCGACAATTTGCTACATTGATGAAAGGTAAGTGGACATGGTTGATTCATTTTTTCTTGATCACTAGTTGTGAATTGAATTAATATTAGAATGCTAATAGATTCACGTAATTACAGTTTGTCCGCTCTGGAAAATATTAGTTGAAAAGAGACTGAAGAAGATCACTCACTTGGACAGTAAGTATTATTCTGATTTCTGTTGATTTAAATGATACATTAATGAGACTCTACCAAATTTAAACCATAGTTGCATTGTTTACTCGAAATGGATTTACGCCTTCCCATGATACTCTTGAACAAAGACATCTTCCATTGTCGCATCAATGTGTTATCACAATAAGCCCAGATTCCTTGAAGAAAATTAAACTCTCGAAGCTTCTTCCTAATGTTAAGGTAAAAAAATAAGTTTTACAAAGACAAAACTTTTCTTATTGATGATATTAATTCAAAATTTATTCTCATTCGATGTTAGTTAATCCATCTTGAAAATTTCACTGGTAATTGTATTTGCGATGCATTAGCTCAATTACTCACCAACGCTAATCAAATTAAAGGCTTGAGCTGTTTTGATTATAAATTTAAAAGGAATCATGAATGTAACAACACAGAAAGAATAACACCATTTCTGAGTGATATTCAAGTTCTACGAATTACTAATTACGCAATATCTACAAGGTATCTCAGAACTTTTGGTCAACTTAAAAAATTGAAATCTTTTGGCTCTTCAAATTACTTCCAGCCTACCAGATTTTGCATCGATGATGTAAATTTACGCCATGTTCTGCAATTCGCCCAATTTTTGACGAATCTCGAGCAACTTGTTACTTTTTGTGATGATGAGTTTGATAATGGTAAGTTTTCCATCTCTATATCAAAAGTCGACTAAATCTCATTTCTCTTTTTTAGATTTTGTTCTTGTCGAAAGCCAATTACCGATATTTGGAAATCTTCTACATCTCGAGCTTATAGATGTTTCAAATGATGGATCTACTTTCACAAAATTTTTGAACTTGTGTCCAAATTTACTCAACCTTTCTTTGACTGTGCTTTTTAATAAAATTAATCGAATTCGTCAAATCAACAGAAACCACAATGTCCAAAGATTGGATTTACATTCGTTTTCGGTAAGAGTTTAATATCCACAAGTAATTATTTGGGTAATTATCAAAGCTAACTAACGATTTCGCTTCTTTCTTTCAAATTATAACAGTTTGGAGAAATGATGACAACTACTGAAAAGTTTCCGAGCTGTCGATACTTGAGTATCAGTAGTACATGTGTACTACCTTCACAAGATTTGATCCAGATTATAAGTAAACTACCTCATTTGTCGTTATTTCATGTCAAAAATGATTGCACCGATTTAGCAGAAATTCGAATTGTGAAAAACTATTGTCACTCGCAAAATCCTAAAATTGATGTTTACTTTGGTTCTAAAGAGGAGAAACTAATGATGTCTAATGAACTTTATCGAAAGTTTCGTAATTCATTTCTACCTTATATTAAGTCGGGAAGTTAAACGTTTCTGATTTCTTATTAATCATCGAACCTAACGAAAAAATCGGACTGATTGCAATTTAATATCAGTTCGTTCGTATAATCTTTTTGGCTCGATCACAATCAACACAGAGAGACTTTGATTGGATCCACAATTGTATCATGATTACATCCATTGCGAATGACTGTCGATTCGAGATACAAATTGATAATATCCGAATAAGCTCCAACCTTGTCTCGATATTCAAGTTGATAAAAAGAATCAGTCGCAACTGATTATTCATTCAAAATTCATGTTATACTATTCATAAATTATTTTCAATGATTAAAATTTATCAATAATCGACTATCATTCTACTCTGTGATAATCCATCGAAACCAATCCATCTAAAACTTGGCTCATTCCTCATTCGAGATAATCTAAAATCGATTTTTATTTTTTCTTTCAATCGATTGACCGTTGCCAAGAGCAACCGGTTACTAAGAGAAAAAGAAAGAGAAGAAAAGATTTTGTAAGAGAAACAAAGAAAATCATTGACATTTGAGAATAGTAAACAAACCAAATCAATTTAATTCTGTTGATCGTTTTAATTTTGTTCGTAATCACAATTAACTTGGACTTTCATGCATATTGTTAAAATCAGTGAGTAATTTGATCGTTTTTTCTTTTTTTGGTCGTTTTTCTTGGTTAAAGAGAAAATTTAAAATTTTCTTTCTTTTGGTTTTCGTTTTTGTTTCTCTCTCTCTCTAAATTCTTTGTTTTCATTTTTTCTCTCTATCACTTTGTAGATCACGAAACCTTTGCCCAAATTTTCCTGAGTCTTCCTGGATCTAATCATGAGGCTCATGAGTTTGGTTCTACTTCAATATCACTTGAAGTGCTTGATTTTTATATTGACAAAAAATTGAAAGAATTGGAAGATAAATTAGAAGCTGAAAGACTTGGTGGTGAAAATGATGATAATTTCAATGAATCAATTGTCAATCATTATAATTTTTGGTCATCTGATGGACGTTTAGGACCATCTCATGTTCTGTTTGATGTCACATCAATTGTGGGATCAGTTAAAACGGGATTTGATAAATTATCTCTTTCTGGTCAACATGAATTCTCCTCGATAAGAGCGAATGTCGCAGTTTTCAAAGGCAAATGGATTTACGAGGTTATGCTTGTTTCCAAAGGCATAATGCAAGTTGGTTGGTCAACTTATCGATGCTCTTTCTCTCAACAACAAGGTGTCGGTGATACCAGAGACTCGTACGCTTTTGATGGAAGTCGAATGAGAAAATGGAACCTAACAACCAATAAATACGGTGAACATTGGCATCCAGGAGATGTGATTGGTTGTGCTATCGATTTGGACAAAGGAACCATGGATTTTTATCGTAACGGTAAACACCTTGGACGAGCATTTAATCGAGTTCGATTGGGCTTAGGGTTTGCCTATTTTCCTGCCGTTAGTCTTGGTGCAAATGAATCATTGATTGCCAACTTTGGTGCTACTCCATTGAAATATCCTGTGAAAGGATATCAACCACTCGAGGCTATACCTTATAGTAACATCCGAAAGACAGAATTACTATTGGATTGGTTATTCGCTATCATACCGATGAAGATGAACAATGATTGGCTTCCAAATCAGTTTATCGTTAACTCACCCAATTCCAATCTCAATGTGAACTCATTTCTTTTGGGTAATTTGATCTTACGACGATTGGGCTCATTTCTAACCAATAAATACATCAATGAACAATGTTTACTTCGGAAACTATTGATCTGTAATAACAGCCAAATAATTCACGGGCTACTTGATCTTCTTTGGGCTCTCATGGAAAAATCTCAAATCCATGATTGTATCGATCATATTGCCACTTCACTTGTCAACTCTTACCATTTTTCACAATTTGACGATAAATCGAGTGCCTCAGCAACTGTATCTACAACCGAATCAACCTCTTTCCATACCCTTCTTGACGCTTATCATCTCTCATCACAATCTTCATTACCATCATCCTTTTGGTAAGTCAACGAGATGATTAACCATTGATATCACAATATTTACGATTCTTTTCTTACTTGATTCGCATTTCTTTTTCCTTTCAGCATTTCGACTCAAAAACAATATCTACTGGTAGCTCTTTCATTGGTTCAACATCCTCCGACCAGAATTTATCTTCTTAATCATGTTCTTTTTGATAAAGTCAAATTTCCGCAGCTTTTTATTGGACGAACTGTAATGGACGATGATCTATTAGAGAGAGAAATTTTTCCCAATTTAACTTTACAATCTCTTGCTTCTCCCGATGCATATAAAATTTTACGCAGCAGTGAGATTGAAAATGCACTCACGGAATTGGAGTCACTTCACCAAATGATTTTGGATACTCTAATTTTCCAGGATGAGCTTTGCCGAGTTATCTTTCTTACCAAATTTGATTCTTTCCTAAAAGAAACAACCAGTTCCTTGAATCCTCGTTTGATCTCCAACGGCCTGGAAGTACCAGGCTCTTCACCGGCAACTCTCGCCATTTTTCATCGATTAACATCACTAATTCGTGTTCAATATGAATCAATGATCAACGTTCTACCGATCAGTTTCTTTGTCGATCCTTGTTCAGTTTCAGCGGATGTTTGTCGAGTTGGTGGAGTGATAACTCATCTCAATAAAACTTATGAGAAAGAGATTGGTCGATACATCGAAACATCAACAACCCTCAACCCACTTTTAAAACATGTTTACGTTATTATCGATGGTCTTGTGCGACTCTATCCAACGGGTGCTCACAAACAATTGAGTAAATACTGCGCAATCAGGGAGCATTTGTTAGAACTTGCTGATTCCATTGATGAGCTGAAAAAGATGGAAAATGCTGGCGAGGAAAATAAGGAAGTGATTCAAAATACGATTCAAGTTTTGGAGAAAGAATTTCTAACTCGAGCTCGACAAATGGCTCTAATCAATTCGACGGTTTTAACATCTTCCAAACGAGCTGATATTTACTGGCTTCTCAAATTACTTCTAAATACTCTTGATCATGCTTCTTCCTGTTCATATCTATTCAGTTTCATACCCGATTATCACATTGAATCTTGTCTAAATCTGAGCTATGCGATCCGTTTCTACTTTGGTTCGACAATTTCTTCCAAGTACAAGGGAAGTTCAACATTCTCTGGACTTTTCAATCCTGAACAAGAGAAAGAATATCATGAATTACTCCAACAGTTGTGCGTTTTTATAGCTTCACATTTCGGCGATGAGAGGATCGTAAACGCTGATCTCCGTGAAAGTATTGTCCAAGCTTTGGCTTCTCTTGTCTCCAATCAAGAGACTCTACGTATTCTAGAATCAATACCACAATCTAGTCGATTAAAAATGATTAAATCACTTACTGCTCCATATGAAAATCGAGCTTGGGGACAATCTAATTGGATTCTTTTACGATTATGGAAAGGGAATGGATTTGCATTTAAATATTCATCTCCAAGTAATTTAGCCTTCAAGTTGAACATTCCCAACACGAATCGTGAAGTTTTCTCAGCTTTAAGTAACATCAAACCTTGTCCATCTCCTGTTTTCCAAAGAGAGTTAACCGAATACCTTACCTCGAATCCTGATATTTCCAATTCTTTCATCTCTTCAATTGTAAATCAGCTAAATTGGTCTTTCTCCGAGTTCATCGGGATGCTCCAAGAGATTCAAAACAATGCTCAACGACCTGAGAAAGTTTTTGTCGATGCTCGACAGTTGAAAATTTGCTGTACCTGTTTCGATTTATCAATATCGTTATTAAGAGTTCTCGAAATGTTGGCCAGTAATAGTCATCGTCTACTTGTTGCTGCTCAAGGAAACAATCTTATCACAAGTCAATTATGTAGCACTTTAAATCAAATTTTAAACCGAGTAACAGTTTCAACGGGTTCATTTGAATATGTAATTGATTTAGATATGATTGGTTTGGAATCAATCAATCATTTTCCTATTCTTAGTGCTGTTTCTGGTATTCTAATTGCTCTTGTACTCAAAGGTGAACCAGAAGATTGTGACAAAGCAATTAATGCAATCATTTGGGATGCTAATTTCCAATCAAGTAGTTTACTATTTCTAACTGGTCAAAATTTGAATTCATCTCCACGACCTTTTCGATTTGATGATTTCACTGAGGTTTCACCTCAAGAATTAGCTCAACTTCATCAAGCGGTAAATATCATCTTGACTCGTTCTCATGCAAATGAGATATCTAAAACCGTTGATAATATAAATGAAGATGATCTATGCACCATTTGCTACGCTGATAAAAAGACTGCGACTTTTGTACCTTGCGGACATTCATCATGCAGGTAACTATTATTATACCAATTCCATGAATTAAATTGAAACAATTAACCTCTTTTTTTCTCATTCTCTTACAGAGCTTGCATTTCAAGGCATTTTCTCAAGCACTCAGACTGTTTCTTTTGTAAAGCAACACTGGAACGCGCAATTTTAACGGATCCTGACAGTGTTTTATTCCCAGAGACTAAATAATAATAATAATACTGAGATAATATCATTTAAATTTGCTTAAAAGCAGCTACGATCTAAGTTAATCATTAAAAAGCTTTATACTCAACAATTTATGCAGTTAAATCGGAATAACGACGATCACGTTTGTCATTTGTTTATCATGATGAGATAGTAAAGATTATGAATGAGATGAGAATCTCTTTGTAGAATACTAATCTCTCTTAATCTAAGTCTTAATCAATTATTTACATTTATAAGAAGATAATTATTATCATCTATGGATTGTCAAGAAACGATCTTAATCCCATAGAAATTTTCAAAACTTTCCTAAGAGGTAGTTGACATATTATCTTGAGAAAGTGAACTAGCAACAACATCAAAAAACACTATTACGATCAATCAAATCTCTGTGATGTTCATATCTTTTAATTGCTTAATTACTCTAAGGTACAAAATGGTAATTGAAGGTTACAAATAATAAATTTTATTGGAAGTGAATAGCAAGTGAACCTTAGTAATTAACCAATCAATCACTTTATAGCTAATTAGTAATAGATAAATAGTCACTCACAGAGTTACAACTAATCATTTAGAGTAAATTAACTATCACTGATTGTCTTATTTTTGAATTTGGAAGAGTTTAAAATGTATCATATTGTTTACTTTTTTCTAATTAATATTATAGTTGTTAATTGTTCTATTCGTCCGTTAGTAACTACTCGTTATGGTCCAATCGAAGGTACCACCGGATCTTACATTATTAACGATCAAAATTTCGGTTATCAAGCTTTCTTAGGTATCCCGTTTGCCGAACCTCCAATCGGTGATAAGCGATTCTCGATCCCAGTGCCATTCACTGGTTCGTGGACGGAACCTTATCAGGCCACTTATTTTCGCGATGGTTGTATGCAGAACGCTGGAAAAGTTAATTTCAATATAAGTGAAGATTGTTTATATTTGAATGTTTGGCGACCAGAATTTGATCTGGCCAATTCATCGAGTCCTTTGTTGCCCGTTTATTATCATGTACATGGATCAGCGTTCATCAAAAATTCAGGTGCTACTCCTGATTATCAAGGTGATGTTTTAGCGGCGACACAGAAAATTATCACTGTCAATTCAAACTATCGTCTTGGTGTTTTTGGATTTAGCTATGGATCACCTGAGGGTATTCCAGGTAATGTGGCTATTTATGATATACTAGCGACACTTAGATGGATTCAGGATAATATTCAATCATTTGGTGGTGATCCGAAGCGGGTGACATTATCTGGCCTAAGTTCGGGCGGTAAAATAGCTACGATATTAGCAACTTCACCGAGTGAGTTCAATGCTAGATCATTGTTTTCTCGAGCAATCATGATGAGTGGATCATCAACTGATCGTCACCAAATTGAATCATCGGAGATCGGAGCAGCTAAAATGAGTTTATTAGCATCCAAAGTTAATTGTTCAAGTCAATGTGATCAATCGACTAAGTTCAATTCAAGGTTATCCGTTGAAACAATTAACTGCTTAAAGAAACAACCTGCTGATGTTTTATTGAGAGCACAAAATTCAAAGGAAATCAATGCAATCGGAGCAGCAGCCGAATACGTTTTTCTACCTGTTTATGGTACGCAATTAATTCCTGAAAAGCGATGGTTAATCACATAAAGAATCTCAATAGTGTCACTAATTTACCGATGCTTTTTGGCTTCGAAAAAGATGAATCGAAACCATTTCCCTCACTCGAACCAGTTGTAACTCTTGAAAGTGCTTTCAATTATACCAAAGAAGAAGTGACTTATGCTTTGAAAAATATAACCAAACATCAAATCGATTCCATATTCAAGTTTTACTTTTCTGGTGCCGATCCAAATAACATTTACGATCTAAAATCGCGTTCTGTTAGATTAACTTCCGATGTAAACTTTAATTGTCCTTCGTTAATTTTATCTCAACTTTACTCACTTGTAAATGATAATATTTTTCTCTACGAAAATGTTTACATTGGTCAGAATTTATCTCGTCCATTTGGTACTCAGCACAGTGATGACCAGAAATTTGGACAAGGAGCTCCTTACCGAGAGCCCGATTCTTTTACTTCAACCGACCGTCAATTCAGCTCATTACTCATGAAAGTCTATGGGGACTTCGTTAAAGGTATTGTCTTGACCGATTGGATTCCAGTTCATCTAAACAGATCGGACCCAAGCAAAGATCAAACAGTCAGACAGCTATCGCTCGAACCACAAAATGTACTTTACAAGCACCAAAAAGCGTGTATCGAATGGGCCAAACTTTTCGATTATCAATTTCCACTCGAAAACTAATCAAAATCATTCTTCAATCATGATTCAATTCAAATCGCATCAAATAGTTAGGCAACATATCCAATAGATCAATTTATCCTCAGAGTTTTTATTCAGATAGTTATAGCAAAATATCAATCAGAGTTTTGGTGTTTTATCCATTTAATTTATCATTTGATTTGATTAGTTTTCATTTGGGACAATTTGATTGATCAACTAATTCCATTACTTTTTTCTCGACTCCAGATTTGCTTTCCAAATCATTTAATAGCCGATCCACTGTATCTTTAGGTAAACTTGACGATCGTGAAAGTATCCATGCTGATTCTGTTTGTAAAATTAATTAATTGAATTCAAACAGAAAAAAGTTTGGCCTAAGCCTTGTAAGAAGATTTCTTTTTGAAAACTGCATTTCCACCTTTCTCTGAGGCTAATTGAAACTTTTTATACTAAATTCAAAACCAGAAATTCTATCAGTTGTTACACTTTATTTTTGAGTGGACGATATGACTCGAAATTCAAGTTAGTTTTGTATTTAAGTCGACTCAATGTCGACTAACTTGAGTCAACCAAGTTTATTGATTTTCGGCTTCGAATCGAGTCGCTTCGCTGATCGACTGGCTGACTCGATCGACTAGCTTCGTTATCTATAACAGGTTACCTATGACAGGGCAAATTTGCAGAAGGACATTTGAATTTCAAACTACCCGATTTTTTGGTCAAGAAAAATTCTCTCAGAGAGAATCTGTATCCTTTATCATGTGAATCACTGTTTGGATTGTTTCATGCAACTTTCAACAATGAATATCATTGATTTACCTGACGACGAACGATTTGTAAATTGTAACACAATCTTGTTGACGTGATTCTCTGATTGCAGTTTCCAGGGAGCACTTTAATCGTTTGAATAGTTTATCCATTAGGACCAGAAATCGTTGACGATTACATGGCTCTTGAATGGTCAGTCCCATGTTGAGTGATTCCTTGATTAAATCTAATTGTTCAGCGGGAAGTGGAGTTGATAATTTACGAGTCTCGATGATTACACCAAGTGATTGGAGACGAGTTGATTCATCGTAATGATAAATTGACTCTCGTAATAATCCTTGAGTATTTAAAGGTTCATTGTATGAAGGTTGATTGTTACAAAGGTGAAGAAGTTTCAATTTTCATTGATTTGAAAGGCGCGGTTTGATAGAGATAAACTCTTCAAATGGTCAGTAACTGACCGTCAGTTAGAGCTGCACAAGTTAAATTTTCAAAATTTTGAATTTCAAACAACCAAAGTTTTTTGGTCAAGAAAACTTTCTTTGATGAAAAGTTCTTTATGGATCCTTTATCATTTGAATCACTGTTTGAATTGTTTCATGCAACTTTCAAAATGAATATCAATGATTTGCCTGATGATTGTTTACTTTTGATTTTTGATCAGTTTTATCAATTCAGACAATTTGCTACATTGATGAAAGGTAAGGTGAAATGATTGATTCCTTTCATAAAGATCATCTTTCTTGATCTCTAGTTTTCCGTTGAATTTATATTTAAATGCTAATAAATTAATGTAATTACAGTTTGTAGGCGCTGGAAAACATTGGCGGAAAAGGGACTGAAGAAGATCACTCACTTAGACGGTAAGAATTATTTTGATTTCTGTTGTTTTAAATTACATTTTCATAATGACTTTCTATCAAATAAACCATAGTTATATTGACAACCACATTAATGAAGATTCAGGATTCTATTAAACAAAGTCAAGTTCCATCGACTCGTAAATGTATTATCACGATATATTGTGATAACTTTCTGCTTATAAACAGAAAGCGCTTGAAGAAAATTAAACTCTCTAAACTTCTTCCTAATGTTAAGGTAAGAAATAAGTTTTACAAAGACAAGACTATTCTCATTCATGATATTAAAATTTAAAATTAAAATTAAATAAAAAAAATTTATTCTCATTCTCTGTTAGATTATCCATCTTGAAAATTACAATGTAAACTGCCGTTGTACTTTCTTAGTTCATTTACTGGCCAACGCGAACCAAATTAAAGGCTTGAGCGGTTTAGGGCATTCATTTGAAGTGAATCACAAATGTAAAATTTTAAAACGAGAAGAAAAAAGAATAACATCATTTTTGAGTGATATTCAATTTCTAGGAATTAGTAATGACCTAATAGTTACAAGTTATCTCAGGACTTTTGGTCATTTCAAGAAATTGAAATCTCTTGGAAATGCTATTGGAAGTCACCACCAAACTGTGAATTTACTCCATGTTTTGAAATTTGCCCAGGACCTGCCGAATCTCGAGCAACTTGTTACTTTTTGTGGTGATGAGTTTGATTATCGTAAGTTTTCATTGTCTCTATGCCAAAATTTGACCTAATTTCGATTATTTTGTATTAGATTTTGTTCAACTCGGAAGCCAATTACCGATATTTGGAAATCTTTTACATCTTCAGCTTGTAGATACTTCAAAAAATGGATCGACTGTTAGTAAATTCTTGAACTTGTGTCCGAATTTACTCAACCTGTCTCTGGGTGCTCGTACTCATCCAATGATTCTATTTAATCAAATCAACAAAAACTTCAATGTCCAAAGATTGAATCTACTTGATTGGGTAAGACCTTAATAGCCACGAATTATTTGGTAAACTATCAAGACTAACTAAGGGTTTCGCTTCTTTCTAACAGGATCGAGAAAAGATACTAGAAACTATCGAAAAGTTTCCAAACTGTCGATACTTAAGTATTTGTGATTATTATTTTTCGCTATCTTCACATGAGTTGATCCAGATTATGAGTGTATTACCTCATTTGTCATTATTGTATATCAAATCTGATACGACTGATTTAGCAGAAAAACGAATCGTGAAAAACTATTGTCACTCACGAAATCCTAAAATTGATCTTTACTTTGGGTCTACAGATGAGAAACTATTGATGTCTAATGAACTTTATCGAAAGTTTCATGATTCATTTCTATAAATGGGTGAAGTCTAAGGATTGCAGGTTTCTTATTCTCCATTTATAAACCAACCTAGCAAAAAAAACCGAACTTATTTAGAGAGATCTTAGTCGTAGATAGTAGTAGAGTAGAGAGATCTTGAATCACATAAAGAATCTCAATAGTGTCACTAATTAACCGATGCTTTTTGGCTTTTCGAAAAAGACGAATCGAAACCATTTCCCTCACTCGAACCAGTTGTAACTCTTGAAAGTGCTTTCAATTATACCAAAGAAGAAGTGACTTATGCTTTGAAAAATATAACCAAACATCAAATCGATTCCATATTCAAGTTTTACTTTTCTGGTGCCGATCCAAATAACATTTACGATCTAAAATCGCGTTCTGTTAGATTAACTTCCGATGTAAACTTTAATTGTCCTTCGTTAATTTTATCTCAACTTTACTCACTTGTAAATGATAATATCTTTCTCTACGAAAATGTTTACATTGGTCAGAATTTATCTCGTCCATTTGGTACTCAGCACAGTGATGACCAGAAATTTGGACAAGGAGCTCCTTACCGAGAGCCCGATTCTTTTACTTCAACCGACCGTCAATTCAGCTCATTACTCATGAAAGTCTATGGGGACTTCGTTAAAGGTATTGTCTTGACCGATTGGATTCCAGTTCATCTAAACAGATCGGACCCAAGCAAAGATCAAACAGTCAGACAGCTATCGCTCGAACCACAAAATGTACTTTACAAGCACCAAAAAGCGTGTATCGAATGGGCCAAACTTTTCGATTATCAATTTCCACTCGAAAACTAATCAAAATCATTCTTCAATCATGATTCAATTCAAATCGCATCAAATAGTTAGGCAACATATCCAATAGATCAATTTATCCTCAGAGTTTTTATTCAGATAGTTATAGCAAAATATCAATCAGAGTTTTGGTGTTTTTATCCATTTAATTTATCATTTGATTTGATTAGTTTTCATTTGGGACAATTTGATTGATCAACTAATTCCATTACTTTTTTCTCGACTCCAGATTTGCTTTCCAAATCATTTAATAGCCGATCCACTGTATCTTTAGGTAAACTTGACGATCGTGAAAGTATCCATGCTGATTCTGTTTGTAAAATTAATTACAATTAAATGTGAAAATTTGTATATATCACTAACCAATATAATCAATAAAATAATGAACAATTAACTTACCAAATTTAAACGCCTTGAAAATATCAACACAAGAAACGACAATAGCATAGCTATTGAAATCAGTATCAGCAATTAAGTATGGAGCTTCAGGTGAGACTAAATAAGAATTGAACAATTAACGATTGATCTCTAATCTGATCAGTTAATCCAAAAAATTTGATCAATTCGATCAACTAAACTTACATCTTGAAAATTTGACCTTAAGTAAGTTACCGGTTTCCGTTATTCTCGCTGTACCAATAGCTTTAGACAATTTATCTCTGTACAATAATTATCACAATTAACCATTTAAATGAAAACACAATTGTTAATTACCTTGAATTAAATCCTTGATTATCTACTCTTACAGTTCCATCACCATTAATACTGTAATTAGCTGTTACACACTTTAGTCCAATTTCCCAGATATTATCAGTTCGAGCAATTTCATACCATTTACCTAGATACTGATTAATAATCAGAAAGAATAACCGATTAATTGTTGACAGTTAAATCAGTTAATTAGAAAAAGGAACAAAAACTAAAACTCACTTTATCCAAATCGAAACCACCAGTTGACTGAGTTGAACTTTGACAAGCCCCAGGCGATAAATTCTGTCCATTGACACTAATTACAAATGAAACAATTGACAAGTAAATTACCTTCATCATTAGTATTCAGATTGTTGATTAGCTTGATGATTTTCTTGCCTCCAAATTAAATGAACAACAGAATCAACATCAATCAATTGACTTGAAACAATCAAAACGATTCATATTTATATACAAATATTTGAATACATGGGGAGAGTGAAAGTTAATTTCAATGAAGAAGAAAAAAATTGCAATAATGATTAAGTAACTAAGGAACGATAATCAATGGTGAATATATAATTTCATCATCATCATTAGCATCACCATGTAACGATAAACATGATTACCTTGAGAAGAAAAAAACAATTTAAACTTTCGAGTTGATTAAAGAAAACTTGATTCATTTACTTTGGTCTTGTTATTGTTTTTATTTAATATTCACCAAATATCATCAATGAGTTGATTTCCCATTTTCTCAATCAACTCAATTGATGACAATCAACACAAAATCTAATTAATCAGTCAAGGTCAGTAATCTTAGTATTTGATTGTTGTATTAATCATAGGAAATGAGAGGAAATAAATTAAACAAACAATCACATACAAACAGGAAGAGTTAAAGTTTCATTGATTAATTGTTTTGTTTACTAATTAGTAACAAAGTACAACCTTCACAATTAACAACCACCATTGATAAAAGATGATAGTAAATCAATGAGATTGCAAGAAGAAAAGTTAATCATCCCGAAAGGAATATTATTTTTCTTTGATAATCAATAAATCGTTGACTGCAAATCGATGTCACCATCCAACCTTTGGATCGTCCTGACGATTTCCAGCTTATTCAAATTCTAAAGAATTGGAGTTTTTATTATTATCAATCGAAACTCAATATATTTGGAATTTCTGAGCGAGTTCAGAGAAATGAATGGTTATAACACTTTCTATCCAATTGAGAAAATAATCGATTGTTAGATAGAAGGCGATAACTACCTTTAGGAAACGAAAATTATTCTTGATAGACTGAGAAAAAGAGAGAGAGAGAAAGTTCCAAGACAATGGAAGATTAACTAGTGACATCTATTGATTTGTTCTTATAAAAAATTTCCACCAAGAACTCAGGGGTTGATGAGAAATCAAATGGAAAATTCTAATTTAATTGTTGGAATAAAAGATCAGTTAATGTGAGTAGTAGGTATGTAGCATAACGTGAAAGAGGAGGAGTCTGTGAATGAAAAAATAAAATTATATGGCCAAGACTAAATTTTAAAAGAGTCATAAACTGGCGTAGCCTCAGGCAGTTTTGTCCATTAACGTTCGGAAATGCAATAATTGATAATAAAATAAAGTGAATCAATATAACTAATAGCTGATTGCTAAGATCACTCAAACAAATCAACGTTAATGTTAAATACAAGAAAATGTTATGGATTGATTGTTTCAATTTATTACTAAAGTCACTTAAACATTTTAACGCTAACATAACAGGAAAAAGTTTTAAACAATTGATACGATTTATTAGTTAAAGTAATTCCAACATCTGCAGACTGCTAACAAAGATGATAATTGAAAGGAATAATTCTTACAATTTATTACTAAAGTCACTTGAACATTCGAATGCATGTGACAAAAGTTTAAAGTGGTTCAATTGTTTCTTTTATTATATTTCATTTATAGCTTTACTGTCTTTTACATTCGATAAAGCAAAGTATAATGTACATCTCATAAACAAGCAATTCTTCTATTGTTTGTTCTAGAATATGAAACAGCGCAGAAATGACTCCTCCTAATTCCCTTTATAAAGCAAAGCGAAAACCAAAAGTTTGTCAGTCTTGATTTTGTTCTCATCCTTGTGATTCCCTTCAAGTTACCTTTGTGCCTTTTGTGTTTTCCCCAACCATCCTCAACGTTTAGTTTTGTGTCTCTCCCCTTTCTTTGTGTCTCTCTCTTTACTTGTGTGTCTCTCTCTCTTTACTTGTGTCTCTCTCTCTCTTTACTTGTGTCTCTCTCTTTATTTGTGTCTCTCTCTCTTTACTTGTGTCTCTCTCTCTTTACTTGTGCCTCTCTCTTTCCTTGTGATTAACCTCTCTTGCTCTTTCCACCCTGTGATTTCTATCTGCTTCGGTTACTTTCAGTGTTAATCACAGCCTTTATTTTTGGATTCCATTTTATACAGTTATCGGTAAGTCAACAACTATCTAGTATAAAATTCATGCTATTTATCATCGCTATTAACATTAGTTTATTTCATCCCTTTTTTGTTTTCATCGATAATATTCACACGCTCGTTTCATCACCTTAAGTTCATAGTAATGGCTCACAAATTTACTTATCCATCAAATTATGATGAACTTTTACTTGACGCTCATCTAGCTAACCGAGAAGATGACGAAATTTGTGCCAACATAGAGCTTCCAGAGGATATTCTTATGATAGACGATGAAGCTGATCAGCTCTGCCGTGAGGCTGAATACCGCCCTCTTTCGGATATTCATGCATCATCGCCAAGTGAAAGAACAACTCCAGATTTAGTTATCGACGAAATTATCTATCCTGATCCTGAATCCTTAACAGAAACACCGATTGCTCTTGACAGTTACTCTCTTGATGATTCACGCACCATAACCATATCAGCACCATCTTCACCATGTTTCTCCATAAATTCACAAGAAAGTGATGCTGAAAATCAAATTGGATTTGGTATAGAACCTGAAATCGAATTCGAAGTGGTAAGTGATAGTGGTTGGAAAACCAACTCACGGTTTCACACATTAACTAAGCTACTCAAAGTACAAATAGGCAATGCTACATCAGTACAGCGTTTAGATTTCTTGAACATTTCAGACGCAATAAATGCTGCTTATGAACGGTTCATACAGCTCCACATTGCTGAAGCTGCACCAGCGGACATTGTTAATTTAACCTTTTCTAATCCTAGAGATGGTCGTCAACTTTACATTAACTTCAGAGCTTCAAATTTCGATAAAACAGAATTTCTAGCTAGAGCGGAAAAACTCGCTCAATCTAGCGGTGCATTTTTAGATGGTAAAGCATTAGAAATCATGATGAAAATTATGAAAAACGTGTCAGGATCTGGACGAAGGTTATCACAGTTATTACCTCCAGATAATCTTTCAACAAAACGTCGCTCAACTGTATGTATTAAGAACAAAGACGAGTTTTGTGGATATTACGCTCTAGCAGTTGGTAAATTCTTAGCAGATATGCATAAGGGGCAAAGTGCTCAATGGTCTGCGCTGATTCGTTATAATAAACACCAGAAATTGTTAGCCGCACAGCTTTTCAGTGAGCTATCTATAGATATCGACAAAGCTGTTAATATGGACAAAATCAGCGAAATTCAACAGAAATTACCATCATATCAAATCATTGTTGTTGATTCAAGGACAAAACTGCCACTTTTCAAAGGACCAGATGCTGTTAAAAAGATTATCCTCGAAAATCTGGCTGATCATTATAATTTAATCACCAATATCAAAGGATATATGCAGTATGAAGCATTTTGTGTTAGATGTTGGATAAAACATAGGCTGAATCAACATTTCTGCTTCGACTCATGTGCTCAATGTAATAGCAATCCTCCATGTTTTGAGTCAGAACCTCTTAGTTGCATCCGTTGCAAACTTGAGTTCAAAAACAATGTTTGTTATGAAAATCATCTTCTGAAAAAGATATGTATGGCAAAGATCAAATGTTCAAAGTGTTGGATAATTCATGGTACCAAAGATCCTCATATTTGTGATGTTTATCACTGCGAAAAATGTGAAGATACTTACACAGTCACACCGCATTATTGTTATCTTACACCTCTGGACCTCAAAAAGCTATTAGAACAAGATGAAGCTTATTCTGTCCTAATATTTTACGATATCGAAGCCAGCCAAGAACCTGATGATACTCCAAGCTTCCACTCTCCAAATTTACTCATATGTAATACATTATGCACTTTTTGTTTTGATTTAGAAACATACAAAAAAAGGACTGAGAAATGTGATATTTGTGGAATAGGGTATCAAATCTTCAAAGGATCTGAGTGTGTTAAAAATTTCTGCAGTTATCTCTACGAGGAAGCAGCTCAAAAAGCGAGAAAAAGATCAGCAACTGTGACTGTTATTGCACATAACCAAAAAGGATATGATGGCCATTTCTTGATTCAGGACTTTTACTCTCGAAACTTCCAAGCGATTCCTGAAATAATAATGCAGGGGTCCAAGCTTGTTTACATCAAGGTTGAAAATTTACGTTTTGTTGATTCACTTTCATTACTACAACAGCCGCTTTCTTCTCTCTGCAAGTCATTTAACATATCAGAAATGAAAAAAGGATTCTTTCCTCATTATTTCAACACAAAGGCAAACCAAAACTACAAAGGAACATTACCTGCGATAGAGTTTTACGGGTTTGATGATATGAAACCAATCATGCAAAAAGAATTCAAAACTTGGTACTTGGCTCAGCAAAACGAAGACTACGTTTTTGATATGCAGACAGAAATTGTACAGTACTGTAGGTCTGATGTGGATATATTGACGACGGCAATGATGAAATTCATTACGCTTTTCAAGCAAATAACAGACCTTAACCCCATAAAAAGAAGATTTACCTTGGCTTCTGTAGCAATGGAAATTCTTCGGGCGAAGCTTCTCCCTCCGAAACTGCTTGCGATAAGTCCGATTGATGGTTATTGTTCCAGATTACAATCAATCTCAGCAGCTGTTTGGTTAGACTACCAACAAAATATTTTAGGTAACCAATTCATAATTCAGAGGGAATTTAAAATTGGACCGTTCTATGCTGATGGGTTCGTCAAAGAACAAAACCGCGTTTATGAATTTTACGGATGTTTTTTCCATGGTTGCCCCGATTGTTATCCTGATGATGGTATCAATACTCTTCTGAGTGAACCAACAACATATTCAGAACTATTCAAACGTCTTCAAAACAAACGATCATATTATAACCAGAGAGGATTCAACTTGACCGAGATATGGGAACATGACTTCAACAAAATTAGAAAAGAGGAGTACATATCTACTAGAATTAAACATCGATATGAGATAAAAGAAACCGGATCAATAAATATCAAAGAAAGTTTCTTCGGTGGAGAACAAATAACATCAAATTTTATCATGAATGTTTACCAAACGAAAAAATCCGTTATCTAGATTTCACATCATTATATCCTCATGTTCTCAAAAAGAATTCCTTTCCAGCAGGACACCCAAAACTTATTGAAGAAGGGTTTTCAAATGATGTCTCCAAGTACTTTGGCTTCATCAAATGCAAAGTTTTACCTCCTGAAAAGTTAAATATCCCCGTTTTGCCATTGAGATTCAGCAAAAAACTTATTTTTCCTCTTTGTTTTTCCTGTTTGAATACAAGAGCGAATTTAAGCTGCAATCATACAGACCAAGAAAGAATGATAACAAACACTTGGACATCTGAAGAGCTCAATGTAGCAGTTAAAAACGGTTATCAAATAATTAAGATCTACCAAATTCTCCAGTATGATCGAACACCGAATCTTTTTAATGATTATATAGCAATGTGGCTTAAGATAAAACAGCAAGCCAGTGGTTGGCCTACATGGTGTACAGACGAAGCTTCTCAAACAAAATATATAAATGACTATGAGCAGCATGAAAAAATTGGACTAGAAAAAACGGAAATATCAAAGAATCCTGGCAAAAGGAGTATTGCAAAGCTGATGTTGAACAGTCTCTGGGGAAAGTTTGCGCAAAATCATAATTTAATGCAAACATCTATCGTCAGAAACTATGCTGAGCTTTGGAGAAAGATGAATGATGACACTCTTGAAATAATGGGTATTTTTGAAGCATCACCTGAGGTTATTCTCATCCAGCATAAAGTAGCTGCTGATTATGAAGCTGAAATATCATCATCTAAATCAAACATTGCTGTGGCGAGTTTTGTTACAGCTTATGCAAGGTTGGAGCTCTTCAATCTGATACAAACTATAGAGTCTATTAGACCAGGACGTGTATTGTATTTCGACACTGATTCAGTTGTATTTATCGAACAAGAAAATGATCCGGTTGTTAAATGCGGAGATTACCTCGGCGAACTTACTGATGAAATTCCTGATGGCTATTACTGTAATAAATTTGTTACGCTTGGTCCCAAAAATTACGCTTACGAAGTAACGTCTCCAACTGGTGAAAAGAAAACGGTCATAAAAGTTAAAGGAATAAAACTCACTTCAAAAGCTCTGGAACTTATCACATTACAGAAACTTTGTAAAATGGCAGAAGATTATACCAACGGAGAGCAATCATCCATTTCTGTTAAGCAAACTAATATCGAATCTGATAAGTACACTCATAAAGTTTGCACTAAGAAGTTTGAAAAAATATATAGAGCAGTTTCTGAAAAACGAAGAGTAATAGGCAATAATACTTTGCCCTACGGATATAAATAAATAACTTTTAAATGTAAATAGTCAACCTATTACAATGTATACAAAATTTCATCATATTTTGAAAACAACATTAAACTTTTCTTTTGTAAGCAATAAAATCCAGGTGCTGTAAAATAGAAACAAAGAACTATAGTATTCCAAACTTTATGGCACTAATAAATGACATTTGTTTTATTACTTTATTATAGCAGTTAACATTGGAAACGCTTTTGAATGATACCGAAGGCTGGATGAACCAGGAGGCGCAGCTATCGTCAGTTTTGGTATAAATAGAGACACATTTTATTTTTTGTATTCATTACATTTTCTTGTTTCATCTTGTGAAGTTGTACTTTATCTTCTACTCTGTGTCCATTTAAAGTTTTCAGTTCAAAGTTAAAGTTACTCTGTGTCCTTTTTTTTTGAAAAACATGAGTTCTCAAGTTTCATCTCCCAAGCCAATTGTTGGAAAAGTTTCATTCAGTGGTTATAGTGAGTTCTTCAAAATCAGCACTGATCTCACAAACACACACAAATGGATGGCTCCTAAATATGAACATCCGTTTAAACACAATGATCAGTGGGTATTCTCTGTTTCTCGGTACATGGATCAGTTTGTGGAGAAAAATTCGAATTGGCGTAAAAACATATACAGTGAGTTGACAGCGTTATTGTACTCTAAATACTCTGTGAGCCGATGGCTTCAACACAGACTAATGGTTACAGGAACTGGCATAATCGTCTACTGTGACGCTGAAGAAACAACTCTCGGAATAGGATGTGATATCCTTGACGCTGCTGTTGATAATCCTGGCTTATGGACTGGCAGCAATTTCTATGGATTGGCTCTCATGGATATTCGCAACCATTTTAAGGAAGTTTGGAAGCAGGACAATTTGGAAATTGTTGATGGTAAGACACAGCTAAAATCTAACAAGCGAAAATGGAATTCGAGTATTGATGACTAAAACCAAGCTTTGTATTTTTCAGTTGATCCTTGAACTTACGATGAAATTCGAATCTTTAATAAAAAGAATTGAAACTTATTACTTTTGTGTCACTATGTCAAATTTTATTTTCAAACACCCATTCACATGTATGATAGCAGGACCTACATCAAGCGGGAAAACGGTCTTAGTAGAAAGAATAATTCATCATAGAAATATATTAATACCTTCATTAAATGAGAATTCTAAAATACTGTGGTGTTATGGTCAATGGCAAGATCGTTATTCTAAACATAAAGATATACAACATCATCAAGGGATGATAGAAGATTCTTCCGGTTACGATCTCATTATCATTGACGATCTTATGCATGAATGCGGTGATGATCCGAAACTCATGCATCTTTTCACGAAAGGAAGTCATCATTTAGGAGTTTCCGTCATTTTTATAGTGCAGAATATATTTCATCAGGGTAAGAATATGAGAAATATAAGTCTGAACTGTCATTATCTTATACTAATGAAAAATCCTCGTGACAAAGCACAAATCTATGCGTTGGCTCGACAACTTTATCCAATTAATATCAAAAAGTTTGTTGCAGCCTATGAAGACGCAACAGCTTTACCTTATAGTTATATAAAGGTGGATCTTACTCCTCAAACACCTGAGAAATTTCGTGTTCAGACTAATATAATTCCATTGTCATTGAATCATTCTGTTACAGTTTATGAGATATAATGTCAATCAATATAGAAGACTATCTAAATCTTTTGAAAATAGCTTCAATGATAAAGAGTAAAAAACTGAGAACAGCTTTTCCACGATCAATACAAAGCAGATCCGTTGCTATATAAAGCAATCAAAGAAGTGATGTTGAATATAGTTAATAAAAACGTCAAGCTTACGGATAAAGAAAAGAAACAACTAGCCAGGTACAAGCATGATATTTTGAACATAGTGAAAGATAAATCAGTATCGAGAAGAAAAAAGTACATAACGCAAAGTGGAGGCTATCTTCCGATCATTATCCCGGCAGTTGTTTCACTCTTGACATCTTTAATAAATGGCTGAAATTGTTAAAAAAGAATATCCTCTCATCACTGCCAAAATCGGAACTTTACCTCAATCAGAAGAAAAATCAGCCATTGTACAAAACGCACTCAATCCTATTTTTGTACGGAAAATTCTCAAGTTGAGTCTGAAACTAGCATTTTCAGGTGTTTATAATGAAAAGATGAATCTGGTTATTAATGGGTCTGAAATCAAGAACACTAATTTACTTAAGTATTTGATTTCGGCTGTTACTGAAGAAAACTCACCGATTCTATGGCCAACCAGTTTGGTGACCATATTAAGAAGAAGTAACATATTACCTAGTGATGTGTTACACAAGTCATTGAAAAAATTGTTGAAATCAAACCATAAAAAGAGAAGTATCATCATTGATAGCAGACCCCCTCCATCCTATTCATTTCCGGTTACGTTTCCTAATATTTATGCTGAACCAATTGATGAAATCGCAACACACGAATCTGATGCAGGGATAGTGAAAAAATCTCGAAATCCGAGAAAAAGAAAATTAGTTGAAAACTTATACGACAACATAAGATTTTCTGACAGGATTGCAGACAAGAAAAAGAAGTTCGACGGACAAAATGGTAACTCATACTTCAGTTCATCAAAATGGTGTAGAATCAGCGAATGAAAAAATTGAAACAGTTTTAAAACGATTGTATTACAATGTCGAAAAAACTGGATCGCTATCTTCAGTCAATAAACTTTACATTGCTGCAAAAGAGCTAATTCCTGAAATCACGATAAATCATGTGAAAAACTGGTTAAAAACACAGCTTACATACACTTTGCATAAACAAGCTCGGAAAAAATTTAAGCGAAATAAAATAGTGGTCTGTGCAATCGATGAACAATGGGAAGCAGATTTAGTTGAAATGCAAGAGTTTTCGCGTCAGAACAAGGGGTTAAGATACATTCTAACGATAATAGATTGTTTCAGCAAGTATGCTTGGGCTATTCCAGTACACGCAAAAACAGGTATTGCAGTTACAGAGATTTTCCGAAAACTCTTTAAAAATAGAAAGCCTGAGTCTTTACGTACAGATAAAGGCAAAGAGTTTCTCAATAGCAGTTTTAAAACTCTTCTTGATAATGAATCTATTAGACATTATTCAACGAAAAACAGTAATATCAAATGTGCTATTGTTGAAAGATTTAACAGAACCCTTAAAGGTAAAATGTTCAAATACTTCACTTTTAAGGGAACCAGAAAGTACACAGATGTGTTACCAAAACTAGTGGAAAGTTATAACGCTGATTTTCATCGATCAATTAAAATGGCACCTAATTCTGTGACAAATTCTAACTCGAATGATGTCTTCAGGAATTTGTATGGTTATGATAGCCTCCTTGAAATGGTGAAAGATCAGAAAACAATATCTCCAAAGGTGTTTGAAGTAGGTTCAAAAGTACGGATTAAATATGAGCTTGGCCCGTTTGATAAATCATTCTATCCTAACTGGTCTGAACATATCTATACAATATCTTCTATTGACAAAAGCAAAGAAAAACCTTTGTACTTATTAAGAGAACACAATGGAACACCTATGGAAAGGAAATTTTACCATGAAGAGCTTCAAGAAGTATCTGAAGACGAGCATCGAATTGAGAAGATTATAAAAAGAAAAACAGTTAGGGGGCGTGTGTATTACTTTGTAAAGTGGTTAGGTTATTCAAGCAGTTACAACTCATGGATACCATCTCAGGACATTCGGAGATTGGCGT